ACTTCGACAATAACAGTATCAGTTCCACCAGGAGCAGCAGTGATAGTGGTGGTACCAGTAGTTGATCCAGTCCAAGTGGAAGTTAATGTAGTCTCAGCGTTAGTGGTAGAAGGTACTTCGACAATAACAGTATCAGTTCCACCTGGAGCAGCAGTGATAGTGGTGGTACCAGTAGTTGATCCAGTCCAAGTGGAAGTTAAAGTAGTCTCAGCGTTAGTGGTAGAGGGAACTTCAATAATGACGGTATCAGTTCCACCTGGAGTAACGGTGACAGTAGTGGTTGCAGTAGTAGATCCAGTCCATGTCGAAGTTGTGGTAGTTTGAATATTATCAACTGGAATTGGTGGGACTGGAAGACATTGTGTACAGGCTGAAGGCAGAGTGGAACCAGCTGGAACTGGACCGGAGTAGGTCACAGCACTCTGTATAGTTGGAGCAAACAATGCGCCAAAACTGAAAGTGATAGTTGAGAATCCATTAGGATCGTAACCAAGTCCAATATTGAATTTTTGAGATAATTGGAATGGAAATATACCTGTTGAAAGCGTTAAGATACCTGTAGCGGCATCATAACTCCTACCAGTGATTGGTAAATCTAATCCAATTACATTTCCGCCACCAAAACCAGCGACTTTGAATGTTTGTGTTAATGATAAGGATGCAACTCTAAGTACGGATGAAGGAGTACTCAAGTAAATTGTTTGGTTTGGATCAAAGCTTAACAAGGAGTTGGAAATCCAAGCGTCAGAACCAGCACCAACGTCAATACAACCAGACCCTTGAACAATTGTAGTTTGTTGCCAAACTTGATTGATCAAACAAATTTGACCATTATTTTGAATAGGGAAACCAATAGATCCTAATGTAGTAAATTCACCTGTTAATGCATCCAGGTAAAGTGCAATTAAACCATCGTTAGTCCACGAAACTGAATTCAAATTGTATGTAGCAGTTAACACACTTCCAGTAGCATCATAGAAGATGTTACCGGAATTGTAGAACGATGCGGCAACAATATCATACAGGGGACCTGTTATACCATTTTCAGATGAAAAAACTATAGTTCCTCCATTATTCGTAAAATCATTAAGAATTCCTGCGAATCCTACTGTTAATGCGATAAGTCCATTATTTGCCGAGATGAAAAGCTCTCCACCTGGATTAACAAGGACATTACCAGCAAAAAGATTGACGGCACTGTTTACGATGGACCAATATACATCAGGCGCAATAATGGTATCACCAATTTGTAATGTAGACCCATAGGTTACAGTATCCGTGGTGATCGTTTGACCAGCTACAAACGAGCTTAGAGTAACAGCAGTTGCAAAAATATTTTGAAATTTCATTGCAAATATAATTGCAAATGTAAATTGCAGGCGAGTATGTCTAAAGAAATTGCTGTGAAACTTATCTCAAAAGCGATACTCTTGTTGCCCTTATATATTTTTTGGATTCATAAGTTGGTATGAAGTTTCACCTTTTCTTCATCGACAATTGTAAGGCAATGAGTTCAAAAGAGAAGAGAATACTCTTTGAAATCGAAAAGGTATGTCATGCAACTTAAGTTCTAGGATAAATTACGTTAACTTGCATATGCTTTCACATAATGAAAGAAAGCCAGGCTCCACTGCACGTTTGTTATCTTTGGCCATCATGCATAATAATATTGCTTTCTATATCTGTCAGGGACTTTTAGAGTGGAACCAAATGTTGTAGACAATAAGACGCCTTTACAAACAAAATTTACACATTTGCAATACGCCAGAATTGCTGGAAGAAAATAATTTTGATTGGCCCCATCATCAGATACACATCAAGATCCTCTCCTCTTACTCATATATGCTCATTGACATTCGAGACACTCTTAACTCATTTTCAATGACTCTCGTTGTAATTTGAAGAAATATATTTCGTAAGACGAAACGAATCCTATTAAAATTTAATTCTTTCGAAATGCTACGTTTTCATCCATGAGGATATCTCTCATTATACTTTTGCTGAAATACTATGGGGGAAGTTCTGGGAGGAAACAATCTTCGAGCCTCACTTGCATATATTATTTTGAAGGTAGAACCCTGCATAACCCAGGTTTAAAAAGCTTAACAACTATTGTTTGGCAATCGTGTTGTGTATTATCGAAATAAAGTGAGTTTTTGACTCATGTACCACAAGAAAGTCCAAGATATACACGTAGAGTTATGAATTCAATAAAGCTCGTAGGAGCTCATTGAAGAGCTGAATCTCAGTCCAATCATTCAGGACTTAAGATTAAAACCATTTTACAGCGCCAAGCTCTATAGAATGAAAGTGTTCAAGAAAATAGAAGAAATGAAATTTGAGAAAAAAAAAACACACTTTAGTTCAGATCTGTATCGCGGTACTGCACGATTGTGCCTTGGAAGCCCCCAGTATACAGTACATATCTGCATAATTCATGCAACAAATCTGTTCCAAAATACTCATACAAAATATTGCAATTTCTCCAAAGTAAATCTCTATAATTGTTGCCAAAAAAATACTTACGACGATGAATATTCATTGGTATTCTATCTTTCAAGAAGCTCCGTATTGAAAGTCGGTATTCGCTTTAAGGTTTTATTGTTCAAATGTTAGCATTCCTATTCCACTTTGGTTGCAAATTTTATTTTTTAGGAAAAGTATCGCATAGAATATTTGTGACGCACAAATTTAAGCGATGCGCAGTTTCGTATGGCTAAATATACCTGGAAATTAACCTCTCCAGGGGGTTAGAGATCTCTTACTAAAAAATCTGATCTATTTCTACTCATGCCTAGAGAAAATATGACTGAGTAAAATAGCTTGCTGCTAAGTACACCAATTTAGTTGCGCTCAAAGTAAGCAGATTTTTAGATCTACAAGGCTAATACAAACAATACGCCAAAGGTAATACCGATCGAGATCAGATTCAGATCTAAAGGCTTTGTACCATCAATAATAGGCATGGATAGGCTCCATGCGTGCATCTACCTAACAATAGAGTATGAAATGTGGGATAATATACTCGAACTCGTTTCTCCTCATAGATAGAGTTCACCAATACCATGGGGATAGTTCCTAGTACAGAGGAACAATAGGATTACTTTAATGCAACGACGCTTAAAACATGAAATACGTCGATGATCAAAGAGAAAAAGAAGCTTCTCATTCTCCAGTTATTGTCTTTGGTCACGTAAGGCGAAAACTCCCATTTTTTTATTTTGTGAAATAGGCTGTGATGCTTTTTTTGCGTAATAGAGCGTAATCGGGCTAAGAGAGGCGTAATGTGATTGTGTGAAGATGACTAGCTGAAATGGAAAGCTGTTCATATTTTTTTTGTATTTTTAGCTCTACATCGTGCGCGATTACCTAAACCGAACTTATAGGCCAAGGTGAATCATCATTAACACAGTAGAGAGAGAGAGAGGAGAATGCACGAATTAGGTTTATAAAATAAATTCTCATTCTCTTGGCTAAATTGACTCGTGTATGTTTGTACGTCTTGAAGGCGCAAGTTCCACGTATTTCATCATGAACCAGTTCAGTCTGATACACCTTTTGCTGTTTTAATGATCGATTGTGCTGAGAATGGTTTATTTTTTAACGGTTTCTTTTTTTCGGTGTGTGTATACTAGCAAACACTTTTTAATGTCTATATTACCAGAGTAGTTACATCATCGAATCTACATTACGGCAGGCTCTCATAATTTAGAATCAGCTGGCTAAAATAGGAGTCGAGCGCATTTGTGAACCTCGGAGGTGAATTCTTGGAATTTGGCCCGGGGTTCTTAGGTCCAAGGATATTATTTTGGGAGCCTTACCCACGAGAGTTGTGCTACTATCCAGGTTACGTTTGTTGTGTCATGTGGGGCCAAAGTGCATAATGCCTGAAGGGAAAAGACGATGAGGCGACATATATTTTTTGCAGCCATCTGGGCTCCACAACCCGTTTGAACATGCATACACCGTAAAGGTGCCTAAAAAAGAACAGAAGAAGCCAAAAAAAGAAACTAAAAAGAAACTAATGAGAAAAACATCCTCTCCTCCCTTCCCAGTGCATGCTTGAAATATCTACGATGCTAAACAGGTGCGACCTAACAAGAATTACGGAGGCTCTCCTCTCCTCTCCTCTCCTCTCCTCTCTTCTCTTCTCTTCTCTTCTCCTCCTCCGTTCCCAATGCATTTACGGTGGGAGAGCTGGTGAAGGAATGGCAAGCATTCTGGGGCCATCCCTCCCCTCTCCAGAGCTAAAAGTGTTTACGGTGCAAGAATGGGGTTGCAGGCTAACGTGAGAAAATTACGGAAGAGAACAAAGACAAAAAGAAATAGGAATAGAAATTACGCAGATTGTTTATGGATGGGCAACTCTTTACTTTCTGGGCTATTTTGCTCTCTCCTTCTCTCTCTCTCTCTCTTTCTCTTTGTCTATCCATCTCGTTCCCTCTGTCTCTCATCGCTTCACTCCTCTTAGAAACGCAGCCAAGCATAAGAACCTTCCCTCTTCCATCCTTCCTCTAATCTCTCTACTACCTAACTTCAAATGTGTGCCTGCATAGAACTCAACCTACACTCCGGGTAACTACTCCATTTCTGGCCAATAACAGCTACCTTTTTTCCATTATGTGCGCACTAAAGCAAAATATGAAAATTCACTTAGCGGTTTGAAGTGAACTGGAGAGAAGAAGTATTTTCAACTCTGATTGAATCATACAAACGAGATATACCTATAGAGAAATGTCCTTCTTAAGAGATTTGATAGATTTTGCGCTTCCAGTAGCTTACGCTGAAGAGGTATGTAGTTTTGAGAGAGAGGTGGAGAGAAAACACAGGGTTGGGCGATAGGCGGGACAATGATGAGCGCATTGGCGGTAAATAGCAGCGGGCTACCACGATATTTTGACACTGTAGGGACCAGAACTGTCATGTTTTTGAGGCAAATTTGGGAGCTAGAGACAGGGAAGAGCTCTCAGTGTGAAAATTGGGACAACCCAGACGTGGTATCCGTCCCCGTGATGGGGGGTGTCTATTTTTGTGTGTGACGCAATGGTTGTCTCAACACTAGCCAGTCACCATACTTTTCAGACGCTGTGTTTTTCTTTTGTTCATTTTTATTCCTTGATTTTACTAACATGATGTCAATTTTAGCCAGAAAACGAAGACGAAGTCGAAGAATCTGCCAAGGTGGAAGAAGAAGAAGAAGCCGAAGCTGAAGATCAAGAAGAAGCAGTTGAAGACGCAGAAGGCGACGACGAAGGAGATGACGAAGATGAAGACGATGAAGACGATGAAGATGACGAAGACGAACTCAAAGATCCATTAGACACTTTACGTGATGAATGTCAAGAGACTTCTGCCTGTAAGCCATACGTTCACCATTTCCACGAATGTATTGAAAGAGTCACCAAGGAAATGGAAGAGGAAGACTATGAACTGAAACACTACAAGGAAGACTGTGTTGAAGAATTCTTCCACTTACAACATTGTATTAACGACTGTGTTGCACCAAAGTTATTCCACAAGTTAAAGTAAGTTGATCCAACTCCTTCACCTGTTCATTTTTTTTTAGGCAAGGGTGTGTGAGGTGTACTTTGCTGTTCTATGTGAAAATGCATGCCACCACACCTTGTGCTAACACCACCCACCGTCACAAACACCCCCGATTCATTCAATAGGGACTCCTAGGTTCCCTTCTATGTAATATCTTTTTGACCAAACTCCCACGATAGGAATATGATAATTACGAATGAATTCAAAACTAGAGGAAAAAACTATATATAAAAACAATCAAAAAAGAAAAGAATAAAATACATTATTATACTATACTATCTTATATCGTATATACAGAAATAAAGGCATACATTAACTGACGTGCTGTAGCATTTACAATAACAGTAGCACCACACCATACCATTAAGCATGTAGCCTATAATGTGCAGGATAGCTCTCTAGCGCAACGAAGAAATGGTAATTGGTGTGTCCTGCACATTGAGTGGCCAAACCGCACAGTCCTCGAATGAAAAATCCAGTGATAAATTGCTTACGCTTTTTTAATTCCGGGCTCACTGTGCTAACTCCAGGCCAGACTAGACCAGTGTACAAGGGCTAGTTCAATGGGACCAACTGGCGATAATTCCACTTATTTCTGGTCGATTTTTCGTCTTCTCTTCAGTGCTGACCTTCTGCTCGGAGCACATTCTCCCAGCCTCTTTCTTTCTGCCCCTTTCACCCTGCTTCATCTCCAACTCCCACTTCTTGCTATTACCCCATTAGCACTATTTATCCTCCAAACTATGGTCAATTCCTGCATGTAACTAGTATCACGCGCTCTTTTGGACCACACTTGGCCACCCTGCCAGAATTGGCAATGTGTCTTGAATTAATCTCCAAAGTAGACCTCGAAATTGTACCAACACCCCTTTCCTCGACTGAAGAAACCCCAACCACGAGTAAATAAAAAAAAATCCCCCAAGAAAAGGTCAAACTTTTGAAAAATATTTTAAAAATAAAAACTAGAGAGAGCAATTTGTTGAAATTGAATAAAATTGGCTGACTTCTTTATACAAGAGTAACTGTTATTGAAATACTTATAATACGAATAATTAAACAAGAATAAAAAAATGTCTGCTGTTGAAACCAAACCAGTTATTGAAGAAAGAATTTACATTGGAAATGTTGATTACAAGGCAACTGAAGATGATTTGAGAGAACTCTTTAGTGAATTGAATGTGTATGTATAAGCTTAGTAATGGGGGCCGTAAAGTGGTACTCAATTCAAGGCAGTTGATTTAATTTTTTCCGGTTTTTTGGTTTTTTGAATTGTGGTCAGGCAACTCGCCTCCAAGACCATTTTTACTAACTTTATATTTTAGCACCGAAGTTGATATCCCAACTAAGAACATCTACAGCAATAAAAAGGTTTTAAACAAGCCATTGGGATTTGCCTTCGTCCAGTTCGAAACCAAGGATGATGCAGACAAGGTTATTGAAGAATTCAACGGAAAGGAGTTTAAGGGAAGAAAGGTCTATGTGAAGAAGGCTGTCCCTCCTCCAACTGAAGAGGAAAAACAAAAGAAGTTGGAGGAATTCAGAGCCAAGACCTTAGCCGCGAAGGAAAAGAAAAAGAAGGCTGCCGCTGAAGCTGCTGCTGCTGCTGCTGCTTCTGCTACTGCTGTAAGTGCGGATGCGACTACCGCTGAGGCTGATGGTGCAACTGAAGGTACAACTGAATCTAAAAAGAAGAAGCCTGCAAAGAAGCGTTCGCCAAGACCACCAAAATTACCATTGGAAGAAGGTACCAAGTCAACTGATACTGTTTTCATTACGAACCTACCATTTGACGCCAACATCAAGACTTTGACAGGTGTGTTCAAGGATTACAAGCCCGTATGGATCCATGTTCCACTCAGAAAGCCTCCATACAGGAGATCGGCTCAGGCTAAGGTTCAAAGTAAACCTCAAAAGAATAAGGGTATTGCATTTATCAAATTTTCTGACGAAGATTTGCAAAAGAAGGCCATTGAAGAATTCAATGGAATTGAAATTGGCGAGAGAAAGATTGTAGTTGACGTAGCTGTTGACGCAAGAATTCCTGTAGAAGGGGCCAAGGAAGAAAATGGAGAGAAAGAAGGTGAAGAAAAGGAGGTCAAGGAGGAGGTTGAAATCGTAGAAGAAACTGCATAAGCAATTATTCAAAATGTACAAAAAAAGAATTGAAAATGAATGAATGTGTGACTTGAATTGAATTGAATTGAATGGAGATATTTAATGAATGTCGAAAACAAGAAGCAAAGGAGACTTACATTGAAGAATCCAATAAAATGAAAAATCGAAAAATGAAAATTAAAAAAAAGTAATTCACTTATTACCTCGTCTACTTGAAGGATAAAAAATGCTAGCGCTTTAGAATCCCCAGGTAGCTTGTTTTGGAAAATAAAAAAAAAAAAGAAAAGAAAAGAAAAGTAAAAAGTTGTATACTGTGTAATCAATAGTGTATATAAATATTTGAATAAAATGATTGTATAGTGAAGATAAATAAGGTATGTAGTTGTAGTTTTCAGTTTTGGTGCTTTCCTGTTCGCCTGATCGTAATAGATAAGGCACTATTATGCACAGTTCTCAGTTCTTATGCATCTTTTCCATGCTGAAAAGAATGGCTGCAAATTGAGGCTAGGCAGGCGATAAGAGAAAATGAAACCGCACAAGAGACGAGCCAAAGCTTAAACAGAGAGCGCAAGCACCACCTACGTTATATGCTCCCATTAACCTCCTTGGAAGGAGAAAGCAAGTGGCGAAATAAAAGCAAGTGAAATGAGCAAATATGGAGATACTCCTGGACCAGTACCAAGATGAATGTGTGTGTGGTGTGTAACAGATAGCTAGTCCTTCTTCAGCTGTGGCACATCAGTAGCACATCAGGGTATAACCCTACGTATAACGTGACCAGCGCACGCTCAATAAATCGGTACGCTGCGTGCAGGATTATATTCACATACATTTTTGTGTAACTTGGCTCCAGGAAAAACGAAATAATTTTTCAGTGTCAAAAAAAAAAAGAGCGTCTTTAACCCACAATAGCTATTAAGTAGGACACTTATTTAATTACAAAATGGGTATGTAATGATAGAGATCGAATATTAGAGGGAAGGTAAACACCTAGAGAAGGGAACGACGTTGAATTCAAGATATGGAAGTGTAGAGACTCAAAGTAGTACGAGAACATGCAAGGACAAGTAAACTGTGGAAGGAAGAAAAAATACAGCAATGCACAAATGAGAGAACTGACCACCACTGAACTACGGAAAGTGGTCAAAATTAATGAAACAATGTTGTGGGCATGACTTGATCCATCGGAAGATCACAAAAGAGTAAATCTTGCACATTTACCCCAAAATACATCAGAGAAACCAACTTGAAACAAGACTGCGGGAGACTTCTTCAGCCTTCGCATCACACTCGCCCTTCACAGGTTTTCTTTCATTAACCAAAGTCACTGTTACATATACTAACATTATTCTATAGGTAGAGTTATTCGTAATCAAAGAAAGGGTGCTGGTTCTATCTTCACCGCTAACACCAGATTGAGAAATGGTGCTGCTAAGTTGAGAACCTTAGATTATGCTGAACGTCACGGTTACATTCGTGGTGTTGTCAAGCAAATCATCCACGACGCCGGTAGAGGTGCTCCATTAGCCAAGGTTGCTTTCCGTGACCCTTACAAGTACAAGATCAGAGAAGAAACCTTCATTGCTAACGAAGGTGTCTACACTGGTCAATTCATCTACGCCGGTAAGAAGGCTTCATTAAACGTCGGTAACGTTTTACCTTTAGGTTCTATGCCAGAAGGTACCATTGTCTCCAACGTTGAAGAAAAGGCTGGTGACAGAGGTGCTTTAGGTAGAACCTCAGGTAACTATGTTATCATTATCGGACACAACCCAGACGAAGGTAAGACCAGAGTCAAGTTACCATCTGGTGCCAAGAAGATCATCTCTTCCGAAGCTAGAGGTGTCATCGGTGTCGTTGCCGGTGGTGGTAGAATCGATAAGCCATTGTTAAAGGCTGGTAGAGCATTCCACAAATACAAGGTTAAGAGAAACTCATGGCCAAAGACCAGAGGTGTTGCCATGAATCCAGTTGATCACCCTCATGGTGGTGGTAACCATCAACATATTGGTAAGGCTTCTACTATTTCTAGAGGTGCTGTTCCAGGTCAAAAGGCAGGTTTGATTGCTGCTAGAAGAACTGGTTTATTACGTGGTACCCAAAAGACCCAAGATTAAATTAGGTAAAGGTAGCATTTAAATATATAACTGTACAGTAACGATAAGATGAGTGTGTATTACAGCACGCTTTTGTAGACAAGAAGATATTAGAAACTGAAGTTGGAGCAACTGATTTTGTTACAAACAATATACTTGGTGTACGGATGATTCATATTAAACTTTTCAATTTACGAGGTGGTGTGCATATAGAGAGATGGTTGGATGGACTATTCTTTAGAAGCGAAGATCTCACCTAGTTCAGGTATAGTTTGCCGAAGAGTGGTGGAGCACCATAGTAATACAAGAGCAAATCATATGGCTTTTAGTGCTTGTGACCACTATGAGTATTTGAAAAGCTCACTCTTTTTTTTTTTTTTGTTTTGTCTTCTCTTCTTAAATTCTCCTTCATCATGACATAAACTATTTACCTTTGAAATAGTGTCGTTTTTGAATTTTATTAGTTGCGCAATTATACACCTTACATATCTTAGTATATTACTATTATTCTTGCATCAAAACTGATCTCGTAAGCAGAACGGGATAGTGTACTTAAGAAAGACCCACGAGTTTGAAGGGGTTATTCACTCAATTGCCGTTCAGCCTACATCGCTACTACTCTTTATTATTACATAGAAGGTACTCGCTAACTCTTAACAAATCTACATTCTTTCCCACAGAGTTATTGCTTGCAGTACTAGGTAGGTGGAGCAATAATAATACACACATTTTCTGGAATCAAAAGTCACCAAAAGGGGATCATTGAAACTGAACAAAGGATAAGCCACCAGTAGCAATCGTTGCCAGCCAGCGAGTGACACTTTCTTTTATTCGGTGGCTGCGAAGAAGACTACTTGAGAAGACTACTTAATAGAATAACACATTTACTTCACATGCCATCAGAAGATGGCCCTACTTTTGAGATAACGATGACTACTGAGTGTTTCTATCCATGCTTTAAACTTTTATATGTGCAGAAATTAACTTTTTTGAAGACTAGGTGATGCACAATAAATATTACCGTACTCTTATTAACTAGCGACTATACATGGTAGTGCGACAGGCTATTAGTAGAGCATACCGGTTATATACTATAAAAAGGAGTGAATAACTTACAGAAAGCGCCCACTTTTTCTCCAAGCAGGCCCTGGTTCAAACAAGTGTGTACTAGTTGGAGCTCTTTAGTACAATTTATACGACCAAAGTTGCCAAGTACCAGTTCAATTTCCATTTGACCAATCTCAACCTTAATTAGGAAAACTAAGTTCTAGCAAAGTGAAATTTTCTTATCGTGCTAAAAAATTGAGGCTGCAGAGCTTAAAAAGGGAGCCGTACAGCACCGCGAAAATCGCCACCGAAAAGTGCCTAAGGTTACCAACCATTATCACAGAGGACACTAATATGGTGCAGATAGTGTATCTGTAGCCATTAGGAGAATCGGATGAGGCTGAACAAGGAATATCGTTCTGCCAACCTCCCAAGCGGCCGAAAAAAAGAAAGAACAATTAATGAGGAAAAAGAAATGAAAGACCGTTCTCTCTGGCCGATTTCATATGTCGCATCTGAGATGGTTTATCCTTCTGCATTCTCCATTTTGCATTGCATTCGTCTAACGAGAAAGTTTAGGCATCTCTACCATATTTTTATTTCCGAGCTCTTACTGAACTTCGGTTCATTTTGACTTGCCAAACGATTCTACGATGTGCTCTATTTGGCTTCCCAAATTGGAATCAGAAATCAGAAATCATATTCTAACTTAAATTATCTCTAAGCATTCCCTTAGCAGGGTGTTGCATCCCCTTTCATCTCATGCACACATTTCTTATTATGTTATCTCCCCTCCTATGACACATCGGGAAACTTAGTTTTTGCACCCACTAGTTTACCTTCTATTTCCGACTCAAGTGCAATGCACAACTCTGACTCATATGTGGGGCTGCGAGAGATGGTTGCATCTTTTCCAGTTCCACTCACCACAGGGCCATTCTGCCATCGCCAGTGCCAAATCTCTGGTAAATTTAGTGCTTTTGTTATTATTTTTTGGTTATTTTTTTTTAATTTTTTTTTTTTTTCTATCGTGCAGATTCTGGTGCCTCTCCATCCCTTCTGTTCTTAAGGTTACATTTATCTTGAATTTTCAATTCGGCATTTTCTTGTTCTTTCTTTTCTGCTATAAACTCAAGGATTATATTATTATCATGCTGCTGACATCGTGTCCTCTATGGCTGTATGATGACATAACTAATTGCACCCGGAATTACGTATTGAATGGTATATATCCAGTACTTTTCGGGGGTACGTCGTTTATAATACTAACGACCAAATCTGCGGTTTACTTATACAAGCACAGAAAGGGAAACCACTCCAACACAGGGGAACTGGAACCTTTACTTGCTGCTACCGACGCCTACGGCTCGACAGAAGGTCCCTCCGCGGAGCCCATTTCAATTAAAGAACGTCACTTTGACTTGAGAAGATTACCTGATACCAATGACGATGGAACCCCCCACGGTAAATCCGAACTCGTGTATAAAGACACGGCCGATAGAATCAGGGTGTGCTTGGAATATATTATAGTTATTCTAAGCTTAGCCTTAGAATTGTCAACATTCTTTGTGCACGATTTGCACCATGCCTTTAAGCACTACCAATACGTTCCAGTGATTAAGCTGCTTCTTTGGGCTTACATCTTCATTATCGTTACAATTAGAGTGTGTAACTTAAACAAGGTCCATTTCTACCTACCATCTCTTTGGACCCACTCAACCACGTTGTACTTCTTCAACTTTTTCCCCACCATTATCTCATTTAGATCAGCATTAATTAACACCGTCAAGGGCGGTGACCAGGTACGTTTGTACTACATTTTGGAGTTTGCATTCGCTACACTTCTTGTCTTATTAAATTTTTCAAGCAAAACTGGCGACAAGCCATCGGTATTGTACAGGACTAGCAATGGGGTTACTCCATCACCAGAAAACATTTCATCCCTTTTCCAGTTTATTTCTTATTCGTGGTTAGATCCAATGGTCTGGAAGGCTAAAAAGCAACCATTGACCATGAAGGACATTTGGGGCCTCAGAGAAGATGACTATGCCTTGGCCATATTGAAAAGTTTTGAAACTAGTAAGAAGGCTGTCAGTTTCACCTGGAAATTGTTCTCCCATTTCAAGTGGTTGTTGGCTGTCCAAATGTTTTGGGCTACTTTAGAAGCCTTCTTAATTTTCGTACCATCTATTTTACTTAAAAAGATTTTGGAATATGTCGAATCACCTGAAACTCAATCTGCTAATTTGGCTTGGTGCTTTATTATCGCTATGCCAGCATTCAAGATGTTGGATAGTTTATCCGCTGGTTGTTCGTTGTTCATCGGTAGAAGAGTGTGCTTAAGAATGAAGTCCATCATCATTGGTGAGGTTTATGCTAAAGCCTTGAGAAGAAAGATTACTGTAAGTGAAGCTGAAACTTCTGATGAAAAAGAAGAGCCTGCCACCAAGGGTACCGAAGATAACGTTGAAACTAAGTCGACCTCTTCCAAAGAAACCAAAAAGACAGCTGAACTAGGTGCCATTATCAATTTGATGGCTATCGATGCATTCAAAGTTTCAGAAATTTGTGGTTACCTTCACTTCTTTGTGGGGTCCATTTTGATGATTTTAATTTGTATCTATCTTCTTTATGGTCTTCTTGGATGGAGTGCCCTCGTTGGTGCGTTCTCTATCGTTGTACTCCTCCCACTTAATTATAAAGTGGCTTCCTATATTGGTACGTTGCAAAAGGAAATGCTTGAAGTAACTGACAAGCGTATTCAAAAGTTGAACGAAACTTTCCAGTCTATTCGTATTATAAAGTTTTTCTCTTGGGAAGATAAATTTTATGATAGTATCTTAGAAGTTAGAGCAAAGGAGATTTACGTGTTGAGTTTAAGAACTGCATGTTGGTGTGCTGGTTCTTTTATTTGGTTTGTCACCCCTACTTTAATTACTTTCTTATCATTCTACTGTTTCACTATCGTTGAAGGTAAGACCTTGACTCCACCTATTGCATTTACAGCATTATCTTTGTTCAGTTTGTTAAGAAGTCCTCTTGATCAATTGTCCGATATGACTGCAATCGTTATCCAGTCCAAAGTTTCTCTTGATAGAGTTGATGATTTTTTGAATGAAGACGAATCTACTAAGTATGATCAATTGAGCCACCTGACCCCTAGCAGCCCAGATAGTCCATACATCGGATTTGAAAAGGCCTCCTTTTCATGGAATTCTAAAGCTGAAAAAAATGATTTCAAATTAAGAGACATTAACATTGACTTTAAGGCAGGTAAGTTGAATGTTGTCATTGGAGCCACAGGTTCTGGTAAGACTTCATTATTATTGGCTCTCTTAGGTGAAATGGACTTAACTGCTGGTCAAGTCTTCTTACCTGGTATTATTCCTAGAGATGAACTTATAGTTGACCCTAGAACTGGACTCACTGAATCTGTCGCCTACTGTTCGCAAGCAGCTTGGTTATTAAATGACACCATTAGGAATAATATTGTTTTTGCTGCCTCTTTCAATGAAGAACGTTATCAAAAGGTAGTTACTGCATGTGGATTACAAAGAGATTTTGAAATCTTGAGTGCTGGAGATGCAACGGAAATCGGTGAAAAGGGTATAACTTTATCTGGAGGTCAAAAGCAAAGAGTTTCATTAGCTAGAGCCCTTTACTCTAATTCGAAACACGTCTTACTTGACGATTGTTTATCTGCTGTTGACTCTCATACTGCCTTGTGGATTTATGAAAACTGTATTTCTGGTCCATTAATGCAAGGTAGGACTTGTATCTTGGTGTCGCATAATGTTGCATTAACAGTCCAGAATGCCGAATGGGTAATCGTGATGGACAATGGTAGAGTTAAAATCCAGGGCACTCCTGAAGAATTACTAAGCTCAGGAGATTTAGGTGATGATGACTTAGTTAAACTGTCTGTTATTAATTCAAGAAATCAATCTACTACTAACTTGCAATCATTAAATGATAAAAATGCTGATTTGAAGGCCAAAACTGAAGTAATTGAAGGTAAGTTGAAGGCCGCAGCTGCAGCCTCATTGGCTAATGAAGGAGGTGAACACTTAGTCACTATCAATGATGAAATTGAAGTCAAACAAGATGGTAAATTAGTTGAAGAAGAAGCCAAATCTGATGGTGTGGTTGCTTTCAAAGTTTACGCTGATTACGCAAAAGTGTTTGGTGGATGGCCAACCTGGTTTGGTATAATTGCTACGTTTGCTGTTTGTCAAGCCATTTACATGCTGCAATCATTCTGGTTGAGAAAGTGGTCAATGAACAATGGTGTTGAAATCAAAAACATTACTGAGACTCTGATGATGGTTAACCAAATCGGTGCCGTTTACAATGGTGCCGAGATTACATCAATCGCTCAACCTGTTTTGAGAGTATTCCAAGGAGGGTATAATATGTTCTTAAGTATTTTTACAAGAGCTACAAGTGTATCTGAATTCATCTCAGTTATGGACTCAGAACAAAAATCTACTATGTACTATATCTCTATCTATGGTGCTATTGGTATAGTATATTCTGTGCTTGCATGTATCAGAGTATTCGTTACTTTCTTTGCTGGTGTTAGAGCATCAAATCGTATCTTTAAGGCTGTTTTAGATACCGTTTTACGTGCCAAATTAAGGTTTTTCGATAAGACCCCTCAAGGACGTATTATGAACAGGTTTTCCAAGGATATTGAAGCTGTAGATCAAGAATTGACTCCATTTGCTGAAGGTGTATTTGCGTGCGTTGTTACATGTGTATCAACGTTATTTTTGATCACCATTATCACACCAGGATTTTTGTTCTTTGCCATCATTATTGCCTTCCTTTACTATTTAGTCGGTATCTTTTATGTTTCAGCTTCAAGAGAATTAAAAAGATTTGAGAGTATCACTAAGTCTCCAATCCATCAACATTTCTCCGAATCGTTGAACGGAGTTGCTACAATTAGGGCCTATGGTGTTGAATCCAGATTCATGAAACAAAACTTGCAATCTATTGATGATAATAATCGTCCTTTTTTCTACCTTTGGGTTGCCAATAGATGGTTATCATTTAGAGTTGATGCTGTTGGCTCATTAGTCATGTTATTCGCTGCTATTTTCGTTATGATGTCTATTGGTAAGATTGATGCTGGTTTAGCTGGTTTATCCTTGCTGTATGCAATTGCTTTCTCGGAAAGTGCACTTTGGATTGTCAGACTTTATGCCAATGTTGAGATGAATATGAATTCTGTTGAAAGATTGCAAGAGTATCTTGATATTGAACAAGAACCAGCATATGATATTCCAGAAACTGCTCCTCAAGCCTCTTGGCCAGAAAGAGGAGAAATATCTGTGAAGGGTGTATCTTTACGTTATGCTCCAGAACTTCCAAGGGTTATCAAGAATGTATCATTTGATGTCGAGTCCTGTCACAAGATTGGAATTGTCGGTAGAACTGGTGCTGGTAAGTCAACTATTATCACAGCGTTCTTTAGATTTATTGATCCTGAAACCGGTAGTATTACCATTGATGGGGTTGATATCACCAAGATTGGGTTAAGGAATTTAAGACAAGCCATTACAATTATTCCCCAAGACCCTACATTATTCACTGGTACAATCAGATCCAACTTGGATCCATTTGATCAATATTCTGATAGCCAAATTTTCGAAGCATTGAGAAGAGTTAATTTAATTGGCTCTGAAGAAAGCATCTCATCTGCAGCTGAAGCTGCTGAAGTTGCAAGTAACGGTAGTGGTGAAAATCAAAACAAGTTCCTCAATCTTCAATCTGCAGTAACAGAAGGAGGTGGTAATCTCTCACAAGGACAAAGACAATTGATGTGCTTAGGTAGATCTTTATTGAAATCCCCTAAGGTTATTCTTTTGGATGAAGCCACCGCATCTATTGACTATAAGTCAGATGCTATGATTCAACAAACTATCAGAGATGAGTTTTCTGGATCAACCATTTTGACAATTGCTCACAGATTGAGATCCATTATAGATTACGACAAGATTTTAGTTATGGATGCAGGTACTGTCGTTGAGTACGAAGATCCTTACAAGTTAATTGCCAACACAGATTCATTATTCTACAGTATGTGTGAAAACAGTGGAGAGTTAGAATCCTTAACCAAGTTAGCCAAGGAATCATTTATTCAAAAGAAGAACAAGCAAAAGAAATAAAAACAATTTGATAACGTGTGAAGAATGATATTTTTTCAAAAAAAAAAGGTGATATGGAAGAAACAATTAAAGATATCGAGGACATGATTATGGGCTCTTCTTCAGGTTACTACTAGATTTATATATGTATGTATATTTATTATTAATAACAAAAAAAAGCAAAAAAAAAGCAAAAAAAAATATAATGAAATATCAATACCTAAAACCAATACTTAAAATGTAGAGCGAATATGTACACCAAATGCATGTTTAGCTTATGAATAGCACACACGCTAAGTATAATTTTAATAGTGCCCGATTTAACCGAACATAGACGGCCCCATTTCACCTTGTTTCTTTCCTTAAGAACAATCATGGATAAGGTGTACATATGCAGGAAATGATTCCGTGCGCGCGCGTTGTAATTTTCTTATCGATCAGTACAGCCACCACCACAACAGGGATTGACGTATCTACGGCCCTCATCCTGCAGTGTAGATGAAATCGAGATTATTAATATAACAAAAATATAAAATTGTGGGATGAACCTTCCGTTTGTTACTTCTGACCCTCAGTCAGAACCAGAAGAAGGACAATCAGCACCGAATATACCACTTGAAAATATAATGCTGAAAAAAGGCTACACCAAGCTAAATCAAGTTGATGTCATCGAGTCATCAACAGCATCAGAAGAATCATCATACCTCATTCAAGAAAATGAAAGAGAAGAAGAATATAATAGACCTTCGTTGGAGCTTCATGGAAATGTCTCTTACTTGCAGACATTAGAAGAATTACCTCAAGGACGACATTTAGGTATTTTCTCAACTATAGTATTATTTATTGGCAGGATCGTGGGATCAGGAATTTTCGCAACCCCAGCAAGTATATACCAAGATGTGGGAGGTTCTCCTTTCTTATTTTTCCTTGCATGGATCTTAGCTGCAGTGGTTGCATTTAGTGGGTTGTATGTTTATCTAGAGCTTGGATCGTTGATCCCTCGTAGTGGTGGTACCAAAGTATTTTTGGAGTTTATTTATACCAAGCCTAAATATTTAGCAAGCATAGTGTTTTCCATCTATTCTGTTATGTTTGGATTTACCTTACTGAATGCATTGGTGTTCGGGGAGTACTTCTTGCATTCCATAGGCGTAGAACCTACTGAATACCGTACAAGGCTCATAGGGTTAGGTATTATATACGCCACGGTGATTATTCATGGGGTCAGTGTTCACCATGGAGTAAAGATTCAAAACATTATCGGTGCTATGAAGCTAGCGCTCATGGGTATTATGACTTTGACAGGAATATATCTGGTATGTTTCCCAAGCTCAGTCACTGGCATAGAATCCAATTTGAAGTTTGATAAATCATTTTTCGAATCATCACAGCCATTTAGCTCCTCCCTATTCGCCAGTGCTATTATTAAAGCCAGCTTTAGCTACAATGGGTGGGGCTCTGTGCATACCGTTTCAAGTGAAATCAAAGATCCTGTACGTACTTTCAAAATAGCCGGTCCAGTATCTCTTGGCTTGGTCACGATAAGTTACGTGTTTACCAATTTGGCATATTTGGTTGTCATTCCAGGAGATGAAATATCAAATAGTGGTAAGCTAGTTGGTTCATTACTATTTGAAAAAGTCCTCGGGGAAAAGTTGGGTAGAAATTTCTTAAGTTTTGCCATTTCAATTTCATCTGCAAGCAATGTATTGGTAGTTATATACACCATATCGAGGGTTTCTCAAGAAGTTTTTCGTGAAGGCTTCCTTCCTTGTCTGGAATTCATGGCATCAAATTGGCCATGGGGCTCTCCATTACCGACTTTAATATTGAGTGCCCTATTATCCACAGCATGTATTTTGTTACCACCAAAAGGTGACATATACAACTATTTGATTGCATTAGAAGGTTATCCAGTGCAGATTTACACTGCATTAGTAACTGTTGGTGTCTATATTATTAGAAGGAGACACCCAGAGCTCAGAGCTCCTATCAGATCTAGTATAGTTGGAACTTCCTTATTACTTATCATCACACTATACCTTATGGTGTCTCCATTGACTTCCAAAGTAAGCCCTAATCCGAAGGGTTTAGAAAACTGGCCATCGTATCCATGGCTTGCCCTCTTCTGCCTTTCTCTTTGCGTGGGCTATTGGCTAATTATGTTTGTAGCTAAGCCTAGGTTCTTTGGTTATCAATTGGTTGCAGAGGAGAAGGTATTAGATGATGGGTTAATTATAAAGCAATGGAAGAAATTGTATAATATTTCTGAATTATAGATAATATATTGAAGTATATTAATATTTTGTAGGATCACAATTCTTTTTTATAATCCGTTTCTTCGAACAATGTCATCCACCCTTTCACAGTATTCCAAAAACTTAGGATCATCTAGAGTTTTTAAAATTATTCCTTTCAAAATATCATCAGAAGTATCTCGAATGTCGATAGGAAGGAAGTTTGATTCCGTCGTTGTATCAATACCAAATGTCAAATCCCCAAGTAGGCTCAAATCTGTGCCAATGATTGAATTATTTTTGCTCAGTGGATTTGAAATTTGCTTCTGTTGCTCCATTTGACGAGGCATAGGAAACTGGAAGCCACTACCATAAGATGGAATCTCTTGGGTTGGAGGGAGTAAGCTATGACGTGTAACCAGAGATTGACTTTCTTGCCAAGTTTGAGACTGAGAGAACCAAGTTTGAGAGTGTGTATCAGCTTGAAATTGTGAATTCGTTTCAGAGGAAATTGAAGGAGCACTAACCTTTCTAGTGTAAACTTCTATATCTTCTAAATACTTTAAGCATTTTGCAAATTCTTCATTTGTATAAAAACTGACTTGGAACCTCGACCTTAGAATTTTGTTCTCAGCAGTGGGATCAATGAATTTGAAAGAGAGACTCGGTTGTTTATACCTAACAGTTAGAGTATTCCCAGAGGGTGAGTGACTATTGCTTGTGGTAAACTCTGCTTGTTCCTAACACAGTTAGTATCAATATGAATTACAAATATTTTAAATTTTCGGTCTGATTATGAAACATACAAATATAGTGTATCTCCATAGGACTTTCACTTTAAATGCCAGCTCAGCTAGTGCTTCAAAGCTCAAATATAATTCAGATCTCTCGGGATGATGGTGCCAAGAAGATTCTGTCAGAGAGGGATTTAGTAGCTTTGAAAACTTCCTTAATTCGAAAACTGGCATTGCAAACTACTTCAGACTTGGCCAGCATTAGAGTCTAGTGAGCCTCCGGGCCCTCTTATTTCGAAACTGAATTGGCTGCAAAATTGTGCTGCTTAAATTTAGAGTGGTAGAAGTTTGACGATCCTGCACATAACCACAATCGTATGCTCGTATAGAGTCCGATCGGATGTGCAACATAAAGAAGATGACAAGATGATTTTTTAGAAGCAGTCCAAAACTCGTTACTAAGTAAGTGAAGCTCATCGAGTTTGAAGATTCGTTTAGAAGCTGAGTTCTACATTTATCTTCAAAGGTGTTAAATTGTGTGTATTATTACACCAATACTAGTAACAAGATTGATACAAAATGCTGACACTCATTCAGTCTTTCGATGCTCGTTTATCAGATTACCTTCACAGTCACCCATTCACATCCTCACTAATTCAATCGCCAGCGAGTAAAGTGATAACTTATCTACTCATAATTTCATTCATTATTCTCATTCTGTATGAAACCATATACTGGTCAGGAATTTACCTTGGCCTATGGGAATACCATGCTAAAGACATCTTCACTGAAGTTCCTATTCACTGTGCGCACGTTTATATTAGAGTCACCAAGATATCCGATAAAGAAGAACTCGATCAAATAAATACGTTCTTTTCGTACCACTCAAATTCCTTTTTGCACAAAAATGTTTGGAATAGATTTATTTCTTCGCCAATTAAAGATGCAACCACCATTACTTACAACTTTGAGTTCAGTCCGGAAGATTTTGAGATGAACGAAAACCCAGAGTTTGGCTCTACTGTGGAGCACTTGAAAACTAAAATTTTGAACACTTACTTAGACTCAAGGCTCGCAAATGGATCTGCGAAGAGTGGAAAGAAATTAACCAAGGATAATGTGCTTATATATAATCACAACTTCCAGCTATTAGATTCTACATTCGATAATGAATATCTCAGTAAGTGCAATGTTGAGACCGGTAATCTTATTAACTCTTACATTAATACGACGTAGCTGACTTTCACACCAAGTACATAGAAAAGCCGGAATGAGATATTTATTTTTTGCGCATCTTCAATTACGAATGAAGGCTATTACAAACGAAGTAACTCTGCCTAGTTTCGTCTCAATATATATCTGCAAGCAATTGCTTTAGCTTATGTATTATTGTATATTATTACGCAAATATTAAATTGTAACGATCTATATTGCCTCTCTTCCATCTGATACAGCACCCTGGTGAGTATTCTATAGTACCTAAAGCAGCACTTTCTGCGACAAAACTACTGTCACAGCAACTACAACGAACTTGATACTTAATTTAGGGCCCTTTTCATCTTCCCATAAAGGCATCTTACAAATTTGAGACGTTATAGCTATACTTATTTTACCTATAATAATATACCGATTTTATGTGCAAACTAATTAAGATCTGGACTACGTGATAGGCCGAAAGAGTTGGATGTAAAGCCTATACGGAATATTTTTCAAGTTCGCTCTAAAAAATAAAGTATAAAGCTGTATTTTTTGTTTTATTTTGCATGGGGTGTTGATTTCCAAAACATTTGATGAAAAGATGGGTCTGCTACAAAAATATCTAACATCAATACATACAATTTTGAGCTAAATACTAGTGTTTAGTGTAGCTAAGCTTTAGAAGAGTAGCAAAGCTCTTATACGACTTGCTTTCGTAAATGAAAGATTCAGCCTCACGAAGAGTTTTTTTTACGCACTGTAAGAGATTCACAATTTCCAGGCGTGCTTCATTACGCATAAATCAAAAAGTCAGAAACACCCCAGCGCCTTAGAAACAAAGAACACTGACCCGATCATAAAATAATATTCTGTGCTTTACGGTACACCGAGATCGTGTTCACCTTAATTTTAGTGCTTAGAAAATAAAAATCCAATTTCGGAAGAAACTGAGCATATTGAAGCTTCTTGCATGATATTTCGTAAATGCAAAGTCTCAATGTTCAATCAAATGCGGTAATTCTCTGACACTATTGCCAATACTATTGCTCTAAGTCCATACCATTTTATTTATCCATAAGTAGCTATTTCCATGCGGGATGTCAGAACTAGGCGTGCGCAGTTGCAGGTACATTTATACTCTCAAATTAAAGCAAGTTGCCGTTAAGAGAACGTCAACAAAAAAGATACAAAATTTAAAGGCGGTTCGTTTTAACAGTTGAGCCCCACAAGTTGCAGCATCGCTGCAATGAAAAATAAACCACTTTCATGTAGCAAAAGATTAACAATTTTAGTATAATTGTTATAAATGTGGAGAATTGCCGGCAAAAAGGTGATTACCTGAATTTTATCGACGAACAGGAGTATCATTATAATGTTAAAATCGGAAGCCTTCCTATTTTTCTTTTTTTTGTCTAGCTTTGCTTCTGCAAGTTTTATCCATGGATTTTTGCATGGATTTTCAAAGAGGTATATCAATCCGATTGTTGATTTAACCAGAAGAACTGTCACTTCCACTATTGATTACGAACCAACTACTACCTATACATGGACCGAACTGTATTCTACTACAGCATTATATAATATTGTCTTTTTGACTATCCCAGTTACAACAACAACTTCAACTTGGACTGATAGTATTACATCTACTTCGACAGGAGAGGGTACTATTGGGGGCACTAGGACTGCGCTTGTGGACGTACCTATTCCTACGACTACTGTTACCTCCTCCTATGCCATTGGATATACTTCAATGACTACTATTCCTGGAACAATTGGAGGTACCGCTACGGTTGTAGTTGAGGTCCCTTTTTCAACATCAAGTGTAATTACTTATGTAAAACGTGACTACCCCTACACAACGTATACCTGGGCTGAATCATATACCACAACAAGACTTTACTCTTTGGTTTTGGTACCAATTCCTACAAATACTGTTACAGTAACTTGGTCAAATCTGGAGACAGCAACCACCACCCAAACAGCAGCAATTGGTGATACTGCTACAATTTTGGTTGATGTCCCTACACCTACTACCACAGTTACCTCTACTTGGACGGGATCTAGCACGTATACGACCACTGAAACAGCAAGTGAAGGTGGAACAGCAACTGTTGTAATTGAAGTCCCTACTCCTACTGTTACAATAACCTCAACTTGGACAAACTCTTTTTCAACAACCACAACAATTTCTGCAAGTGAAGGCGGCACTGCAACAGTTTTAGTTGATGTCCCTACTCCTACTACGACAGTCACTTCTTGGTGGATAAGTTCTACTACCTCTTCAACTACTGTCTCCGCAAGTGAAGGAGGAACAGCTTCGGTAATTGTAGACGTCCCTATCCCAACTTTCACGACAACGATACTTTCTCCTGACTTCGATGAGGCGGTAACAATAACATTCGGTGGAAATGTTGAAGGCAAATCTGCCTCATTAGTAATATTTGTACCAGATATAGTGACTGCAACTTCAACCTGGACAGGGTCAGACACCTCTACTACTACAGAAGATGCTGGACCTGGAACGGAAACCACTGTTGTCGTGGAAATTCCTATCCCAACTATAACGACCTCCTTATCTACTAATGTTGATGTAGCAGTGACATCAACTTTCACAGCTGCTATCGGTGAAACTGCTTCAGTAGTCATATACTTACCGAATTCGTCATCGACTACTTCATCATCGACTACGTCGTCATCGACTACTTCGTCATCGACTGCGTCGTCATCGATTACTTCATCATCAGCTAGTGATTCATCATCGACAACTGATTCATCATCGACTACAGATTCATCGTCCACTACAGATTCATCATCAACTACAGATTTTTCATCAACCACTTTAAGTTCTAGTGCCACCTCAGTCAGTACGTCATCTTCGAGTCTTTCCTCATACAGCGATTTATCCTCGAGTACTGGCATTTCTTCAACTAGTTCAAGTAATTTTGACGGATCATCTACGGTACCTAGCTCTTCTGTCTCTTCATCAGTAAGTCCCTCTTCATCGTTCTCTTCATCGACAGCGTCAGGTCTCAGCTCTACCTCAAGTGTCCCAACATCAAATGGCTGTCAATATAGCGGATTGTTGGATGCCGGGTTTACTGCCAAGATATACGAATATACAGTAGCAGAAGAGTCTGTCAATGATATAGGTTACTATGAAAACGAATACGAATCGTATACTACTTTGAAAACTATCTACGGAGCAATAGATATCAATTCTGTGATTTCGAATGGTATTAACTCCATAAATGGTTACAACCGCTCAGGTTCACACTTTACCATTGTATTGGAGGGTTATCTTCGTCCAGAATTAAGTGGAGTTCACAAGATTCAGATAAGTGACATTAAATCTGGAGCTGCAGTATTCTTTGGAGATGGAGAAGCCTTTAGTTGTGGACAATCTTTGACAAAAAGACTCGAAGCGGAACCAATTATTGTTTCAAATGAGGGGGTATTGAACACTGAACTTGTCGCTTATAACTATTATCCTATCAGAATTGTCTATGTAAACGTAGATGCATCGTCAGAATTTGGTTTTGAAGTCATAGGACCCGACGGAAGCACCAATACCATAAGTGAGAGTATTTTCACATTCAGATCCGCTTCCAGTAGTTCGATAAAGCATTTAGTTTCTTCAAGAACCAGCTTTTCTTCTGGTTCAACTGCAACTGTGACAAAATCCAATACAATTGTTGAGACAGTTACTTCATGTTCTGATGGCGTATGCACTAAAGTTCCAATTACCAAGACAGTGCCAGTGAGTACTGAGACCAACACAATGACTATTAAAACCTTAGTTACCATTACCTCGTGTTCGGATGGAAGATGTGTTCTTGAAACTTCAAGGGTAACTCCAGATGAAAGCCATGAAACAACAGAAACAGGTATACAGACAACTGTTCTTACAGTGACATCATGCTCCAATCATGTCTGTAGCGAGGTTCATTTAACTACCGACTACAGAACCGTCTCCTTGGATTATAGCCTGTATGTTACTTACTGCCCATTGTCTGTTTCTGAAACAAGCGCGATAGCCACCGCTTTATCGACGCAAGCCAACTCAGCTGAAATTGTTTCAGTGTCATCGACGGAAGATGTCACCTCTTCCAGTGGCAATCCGACTAGCACATTAGTAGTTTCAACCTACGAAGGATCTGGGTCCAAAAACGAGATTTACTTAACCTTCATCTTATCAGTGTTCTTCTACCTTGTTTAACCCAAATTTAGTGTATTTCATTATATAAATAGAAAACTTAACTTTATGATTCCAATTTAACTTTTGTTATCTATTCATCATTCAAGGTGTATCGCCCTTCTTTAATAATGCGAAATTCAACTAATCGACCCTCAGTAATTGTCCATAGCTTTATGATCTTCTCTAACTTCGATTCTAGTGATAGATCATGCAACTTGTTCAATTCCTCTTCGTTATCTTTATCTACGGTTTTAGAGCCACTATTGTTAGAGGTACCATTACTTCCCGTACTACCACTTACAGGAGCAGTGAACTCAAAATCTCCTTCGAAGTCCTCTAAATCAAGCTCTTCGTCATTATCTGAGCCCCGTTGATGAGTGAACTTAGAGAGATCAAATTCGATAAGATTAAGATTATTCTCATCTCCATTTGAAGGGCGGCTATCTAAAATACTAGGATTAAGGTTCAAAATTGCCTTGTTGACCAACCCATAACACTTATTTCTTAAAGACAAGTTGAACAAATTTCTCAACTCTTCAGGAAGATCCTTTTGCTCTTCAATATTCTTAACATTTGGATCAAATTTGAAACATAAAAGCAGCATTGTAATTTCTAGCTCCTTCAAGAGTTTTGTCAGATTGATAACTTTATTTATCAAATTTTCTCTAACAAATGTTAATATATCACTTAAAAATACCTTTTCCTTTTCTGATGTGATTTTTGAATCGAGCTTATGGTTCCTGATCATTTCAATTAGATTCAATCTTAGTAATTTGAAGTAGAGAAGATTATTTGTATCCAAGATAGTTGGAAAGTAATCCGAAATTTTGGAAATTGCCTCTGTTATATTACCTTTCAAAATTAATAGCTTAATTTGCTTACGTTGATTTATTGTAGAGTATCCGGATGACAATGGCTGGGCCCTCTGCAGAGAAGAGGAAGAAGATGAAGGAGCTGCTACCGACGACTCCATCCTAGATACCTGATTATCATGTTGGAAATGGTTAATGATTAATTCAGAAAATTGAGAATCACTAACAGTTCCTATACTTCCTAGTTGTTTCACAAGTGTAAAGTTATCAGGGCCATGGCTGCTCTCGACTTTTGCGTTTTGATCATTTAAATCAATTCCTGTCTCTCGTGCAAAACTAATAGCAGCTTCCTGATAACCTTCTTGTATGAAATAATTCAATATAAGGCTATCAATTTTATGTTTGGCGGCTTGGGTATACATGTTTGTATCTGTAAAGAAATCCAGTTAATGAAGCACAAAGAGTGCTGTGGAATACTAATGTGGAGAGAACCATGGGGAGCGATAAGAAAATGTGCCTAGATTATATGCCGGAAGTTCATAATTATTTAGCTGTAGTTGCTATATTTTGTCTATACTGTTATTTTGCATTTATTTTAGTCTTAAATGTAGCTGAATGAGCCTGAAGGTTACGGCATTTTAAGAGTAAGTTCATAGATGCTGATCTCATATGTTTCCGTTGATATTTATCAGTTTCTATTGATATATATCGCCTGGTGCGCTTGGCTGCGAATTTATGGTTGCACAATTTTGATACGCACTCTTCGGCTCACATATCCTTCAGGTAAAGGCACTCTTGAATAGACAAGATGGTGAAGTGGTAAATTAGCAACAAATTGATAGTAAAAAGTGAGAATAGAGTAGAGAAATAAAATATTTAAAAAAGAAATAAGAGGTAGTACCATAAGAGTAAGAACTTTGTTGCATAATAACGAGATTCAATTCTCTTTTATATTTATCATCCTTCATAGCAAGGTTTAGTAATCTAAATAGTTGAAGGCATTTTCATCATAAGTAAAATCGTTGAACTCCATCCTAAAAAGTTCTTTGCTCCCTTAGAAGATCCAGTTTCATCATCATACTGCTCCCAAACGAACCCAGTCCTTTCCCATTCATTGTAAGCATTGTTGACCAAGTTCAATCTTAATTGCTCATACGTTTCCGAAACCTTAGCCTTCAAATCTTTGCTAAGGTATTCCTTAGATGCTGCCTGATAATATTGCAAGGATTCTAAGACAAGATAATTAATATTTAACCAAATTGGGGACCTCCAGTAATTCTCTCCTGATCTATACAACTCATCAGATTTAGAGAGAGATCTAATACCATATGGAGACCATAGTTCCTCTGGATCACTTAAGAGTGCAACTATATGTTCCAATTTATCGACATCATCTGCAGGGGTTAACTTAGTCAAAAACGGGAAAAGTGAAATATAGCCCTTAAAGCAAGCATATATATTTTCATCATCTTCATCTACTGAGACATCACAATATGCTTTATCTTCCTTTGACCAGTGTATCTCTTCCAAGTTCTTTACGATCTCTTCTTCATACCCCTGATACAATTCTAAATCCTCTTGATAGTCTAGTAATTTAGCAAGCAGTTTCATGGATTTAGTCATAACTCCAATCCAAGAAAGTAAATCGACGTTCAACTCAGCAACATCAGCAGGCAAAGTTCTTGGATAATCATCTAATCCACTAGCCAAACAATGGGTAAGAGTTCTTCCTCTCCATCTATACAATTCATTGTAAGAATCACGACCAAAATCCTCGTTGTAGCCAATCTGCGTCTTACGGAACATGAAGTAGTGGGACTTCAATTTAGGATATATTTCACGAGAGTAATTCAATAAGTGTGGAAGGTGTTTTTTGTCATCTCCAAATTTACCGAATTCTTCTACGATTTGGGGCTCATCAATATCAAGACCAGTGCCACCATCCCTCGACTTTTCAGCTATGTCCAAAACATAACAAAATGCCAACATTAAAGTAGGTGGATTCACAATTTCTGGACTTTGAGTAACGAATTCTTCAGGAACTCTTGCTCTCTGCTCATCTCCCAAGATTTGTTCTCTTGCAATCCATCCATTCTCGTCAATCAAGTCAAACCACGATTGAATGATTTCCAAAACCAACTCAGGGTCATAGTTCAAAAGTGGCAATAAGTGGAATCCTTCGTCCCAGTAGAATCCTCTTGGAAAGAAGGGTCTTGATGGAGCCAATGAAAATAGTTCGTATGGTCCTTCTAACTCACCCTTAAGTTGTAAGTTTTCATATGATTCTTCATCGATTTGTGTTTTCCTATCCACATAATGTTCTCCGAATGAGTAAGTCAAACCACCAAGCAATCCAGACAAGATTTCTCTACCAAATTTCACATACTTAGGGTTTTTATTAAATGGTGCAGATAAAGGTTGAAAATGACTGTCATACTTGGCATTGACCTTTTCTAGACCATTGCTAATCTTCTCATCGATATTTTCAAAGGTGATCACCTCATCAGATAAACCACTGTTATAAACTATATCAAATTCGCATTCTCCTTCGTATAGCTTTTGTACTAAATGTAGATTACCTTCAAACTTTTGCAAGTCTCTCAATATAAATAGTTGTTGTGGAGGGAAGTTCCTCAAATTTTCGTGGTTACCTTGAAGTAAATCGTTAATTGAATCTTGCATAATTGTAGTGAAGATTTCCTTAGCTTTCCAAACATTGTCGTTAGGAACTTTCAATGATAAGTGGTGTGTCTTTCTAGGATTTAAGTCAGATCTACCAATTGCATTCTTAGGATGTTTGTTTGTGATAGGACCATCATTTATCTCGATAGAGAAAAGGCCCAAGCTCTCACTTACACCGGAAAGTTTCAAGTTACCCTTGTATCCATTGGCATTCTTTGGAGTTTCCAAGAACAAGTATCCGTCCTCTTGGTTAGAATAATCTACATCTTCCATACTTGGGATGCCACCTACAGTATCTATGCCCTTTTCGGTCTCTAACCCACTGTACCAGATGAAACTAGTTGTGACCAGTTCATAGCCAACGTGAGGCTTAGAGTGAACCTTAACGGCCCATGATTTACCATCTTCGCTTTTAATAAAGTCAATTGTGATGGTGATATGACAATCCAAGTCTTCAATTACCTGTTTCCCACCAATTCTTGGATCATACTCAATCCAATTTGCTTTAGCCATATTATCATGCTGCTCATAAAAGTGTCTAAAGTTGGACAACAGCTGGTAGGTGTCAGCATTAAACCACATGAGCCCCGATAAGAGGGATCTTGGAATTCTTGGACGAACTCCAAAGTATAAAGATGATCTATAAGGCCCCCAAAGAAGTGTGTTTTCGCCAGCAAGGGCCGCAAGCTTTTCATCATCTTTTAAAATCGGTTCCTGCCCATTAATGTCAAACGAAGTAGCCGAAATCACAGTCACTAATGTAAGTACAATTGGAATTATATTTCCAAGTTTCATATCGATTACCTCTATACCTTATTAGCTTTTTGTATAAGTCTATGTTCTATATGTTAAGATTCCTTTCTAGGTGAGGTACTTCTTGATATTTGCCAACTTTATCTGCCCTCTGTATGTGTCAAGATTTTTCAGTAGCACACGAAAAATAAAAATGCTCTGGTATGAGATGAGATAAGATCTCACCAAAAGGAAGAGTAGAATCATAGATAGGCTGTATATATATATATCAAATACAGTATATGTGGCCCCAGAAAGAAGGGCTAGGAGCCCAGCTAAGTTATGGAGTCAAGGGAAATGGGATAATACGACATAATCTGACTTCATCGCCTCCATATCAGATCAGCTTCCCACGACAAAACACTTCCCCTACACTATATCGAGCAGTGAACTCTGAACAAACTATATTGCCAGTTCAGACTTCTGACTTCGATTTAAACTCTAGCATATATAAGGATCTTGAAAGCATCTATGTCCCCGAGGAAATTTTGAAATCGTACTTGGTGGAATCAAAATCGTTAACATCACCTTTGGTGTACGATCCTACCAAGGGAGATCTATTCCAATTCCATGATCTTAGAATGAAGAAAGGTAGAAAGTATGAGAAAGTTTTGGCATATGTAAGCGGTGAAACGGGAACCATACTCAATATAGCGAATGTTAAAGGAAAGGAAAAGAAACTAAGTAATGGTAACAAGATATACCTCCCACAAGTAAGTGGAACCTCATTCCAAGTGTCACTTTCAGAACCCATTAAGCAAATTCAATTTAGTAAACTCGAGGAAACTTTCGACTATATACCTTCTCACTTAATTATACGAACGGATTCAACAGTATACATTTTGAATTGCCTCCGAACACCTACCGCAGATTCCAACCAGGATGCTGGGGGCATAGAATTGACGATAATTGATGAAATACACAACTCCAAGCTTTACGGCCAAACATTTGCAGATATCTCTTTCAATCCATGGGACTATACCCAGTTTGCAGCTGTGGATGTAAAGGGAAATTTTGGGATTTGGAACATATCTACAAATACGTCGTATGTCCATAAATTGACTTTGGTTATAAAGGACTCTGAGATAATACCAGACTTAGAAGAACTATCAAACTGGAAAAAGATTAGTTGGGCTTTCAATAGAAAAAATATCCTCATAGCCACTAGATCATCACTTACTCAAGTGAATCTTGGAGCCGACATTGAGTCTAATTCCAGTAAATTAATTACATCCAATAGTTGGTCTAAAGTTTTGGATTTTAAGCAATGCTCTAATTTCGCCTTTCTTTTAACGTCGAAGGAACTTATTTGGTTACAATGGAATAAGGGTAAACCTTCACGTATATTGTCTTGGAAACATTTCCTTGACGAAAAAGATCCTTCCTTCAAATTAAAGGTAACAAGGCAAAACGGTAAGCAGCAGACTTTTCTTCTAATTGTATTTTCCCAGATCAGGCTGTTGTTATTCGTCTTCACGTTTGGTATGAAAGATGGAGTTGGCCATAGCTTACACGACCCGTACTATATTCGAACAACTACTGGTTTGCAACAAGTTGAGTTGAACAAGTTAGATCCTACATTTTACTCCCCCTTTGCAGACGAGAACAGCGACTTTATGGTCGAAGATTATGAAGAAGAAAAGGATGGATCTGACTTTGGAATATTTGAGCTTAGAACTAATTTGAACCTCACGTTTGACGTATTGACAAGTAGTCCAGACGTACATGTGGTACATAGAAGGGGAAGTGTTACTACTAGAGCCAGTCTATCAAATCCTAGTAATACCAGCAGCGTAGAATCACTGAGAAGTCTGACAAGTACAGTTACTACTGGGAGAAAGGTATTCAAGAAGTTAACCAAAGCAGATACAGAAAATATTGTGAAAACCTTGAACAATACGCAAGACATAAGTGTAGATACTGTCAAGCAGGTTCAAGATTATGCATTTAAATTAGGAAATACGAGTAGTATTGTTTTTCCTTTTACATCATTGATGGATATCTCTTCGGAGATTCCTCAATCAATAGACGATATTGCAGAATTTGATTTGATGGTCAATCAGCTTTCAAACTACTATGAAGAGCTGGAAATTTCCATTGTGAATTTTATAAACCCCATGAAAATGCTTTTTAACACGATATCCAAGTCTTCGGACTCTACAAAGAAGACAGAATCGGTTGAAAATCTTTCATCATTGATTGGTAAAATTTATAGAAAAGGAGAAATTGCTCAATACAACAATGACTGCTCCATTAGGCAGACTTCTATATTGATTGGTGGGAGTTTACTAAGGGCAAGACGACCATCGGCGAAGGAAAACTTTGATCGTGCTCTAGAAGAAGAACAGAAGGAAACACCATCAAAATTGAATGACTTGTTAAGTGGTTGGGAATCTATTGCGGAAAGCGATAAGTCATCGTCGATTCCACAAGATCAAGCTATCCTAGGAGATGGAGAAAGTGCAAGAAATTGGGGAACGTCGCAGATGACTGTTCCAGATGTATTACCAACACTAAGACTTACATCGCAGACTCAACCTACATCCTCACAAAGAAACTCACAGAAGCAAAGGAGAAAAATACCCAGAGTATCCCAATTGTCCCAGTTGTCCCAATCTCGAATTCCAAATACCTCATCGTCTCAGGTTTCCCAAACCACAACTAGGCTCACTGGATTGGCATTATCATCTCAGCAAAAAGTTGGTATATCTTCACAATTAGATGGCGGGTCACTTAATAGTTCACAATCATTATCTCAATCAAACTCGCAAAAGCGGAAATCATCCAGCCAAGGATTAACAAAGAAAAAGAAGAAAGGGGGTTTTGCATAACACTGTACAATAATACTTATAGACTAATTGGAATGTAAATTATAATAGAAGCAATACACACAAATAATACACAAGAAATCTTGATATTAAACTAAGTTTTTTCTTTCTACTCTGAGTTCAATGACAAATAAGAAACCTGCTTCAGTAGGAGAGGAACGAATACGCCCCAATAACGTGATAATCCAAGCAGTTCGACACCGACAACACAGTTGAAATGGCTTCGAGGCATATATAGAGCGACAAGATTATTCTACTTGCACTAAAGATCATTACCGTATCCAAATTCACCCTAGAAGATTTAAGTAAACCAAATATAAATGGTACTATAGCAAATCATATAGGTGAAATATCAATTTTGATTACTTTTTAGCTACTTCCTTCACATGACTACTTAAACGGAAATATATGAATGCTACGACCTCCAATATATATCTACGACATAACAGAATTGGTCTCTTTTAATATTCTAACTAGACTCGATGATAATACTTTTGGATCAACACCTTCATCGATGAGCTTAATACATAGTTGTAGCGTAGAATCGTCAATGTTTACATTAAGTAACCTTGATAACTCACTAATATGCGAATTGGGATTCGAATAACGAATCAGATCTGCCATATTAGGTGTGTTCTAGGAGTATTAACTTGTCCAAATTGATAAAATGGTCAAGTTTGTTTTTATGTTTATATCTTAGAATGGTGCGGCTGATACATACTTTAGCGAGGTCTTCCACAGCAAAGCTCCAATTCGTCCAATGTTGAGCTCGGTAAGGCTACTATACTCCCCAATTACCTTGCCTTACAATGGCACGAGAGGTTTACAGAACAGCTCATTTTATCTTAGAATGAGTTCAAGTTGCTTTTTATTCATATAAAAACTTCACTATATATCTTAAAAGACCAAACCTATTTGGTTGGATCCTCTTCAAATCTTAAATCCCAACCAATTTGTTCACCGAGCTTTGGTAAAATTTCAGCAACACTTTGAACATCCTTATCACCTCTTCCTGAAATGTTAATAACCAAGTGCTCATCCTTAGACATAGTCTTGGCTCTTTCAACACCACCGAAAACGGCATGGGAAGATTCCAATGCTGGAATAATACCTTCTAACTGGGATAATAACTTGAAGCCCTGTAAGGCTTGAGCATCAGTTGCTGCAATAAATTCAGCTCTACCAGTCAGTTTCCAGTAAGCCAATTCTGGACCAACACCTGGGTAATCCAAACCAGCAGAGACTGAGTGTGTGTCATGGACTTGACCATCGTCATCTTGCAAGACAAAAGTTTTAACACCATGGAAAACACCAGGGATACCGGCAGTTAAGGTAGCCGAGTGACGTTCAGTATCTAAACCATCACCACCAGCTTCAACACCCAACATCTTAACCTCAGTATCCTTCTCAAATGGCGAAAACATACCGGTAGCATTAGAACCACCACCTACACAGGCAACGACACAATTTGGTAATCTACCTTCATTCAACTTCTTGAATTGCTCTTTGGTTTCTTGCCCAATAACACTTTGGAAAGTTCTAACTAAGGTTGGGTAAGGATGTGGTCCAATTGCAGATCCGACAACGTAATGAGTTGACTCTAAATTAGAGACCCAGAATCTAAAAGCTTCACTGGTAGCATCCCTCAAAGTCATAGTACCAGCAGTGACTGGAACAACCTTGGCTCCTAAGATCTTCATCCTGAAAACGTTTAAAGCCTGTCTACGGCAATCTTCTGCACCCATAAAAACGGTACATTCCATACCGAACTTGGCACATGCAGTTGCAGTTGCGACACCATGCTGACCAGCACCAGTTTCAGCAATAATCTTCTTCTTACCTAATCTCTTGGCGATTAAAACTTGAGCTAACCCATTGTTAATCTTGTGAGAACCAGTGTGGTTCAAATCTTCTCTCTTTAACCAGATTTGAGCACCACCAGCGTACTCAGTTAATCTATCAGCTTTGTGCAAGGAGGATGGTCTACCAATGTAACTGTACAAGGCTCTAAACTCTTCCCAAAAGGCTGGGTCTGCAACTGCAGATTCATAAGCTCTTTCTAATTCAGCAAGACAAGTGTGCAAAGCTTCCGGAACGTATTGACCACCAAATTCACCAAATCTTGGAGAAAATTTGTGGACTTCATTAAAATCGGTTTGAGCAGAAGAAGACTCAATAGATGAAGTAGAAGTAACTGGACGAGTGAAGGTTTTTGGAGTGGTAGTTGGCTGGTATTCACCTAAAATAGACTTGACGTAGTTCTTGGTGACTTCACCTCTTTCACCAGGTGCACTTTCACCCAACAAGTTAATAATCTTACTTCCAATGACAACACCATCAGCAGACTTCCCCACCATAAGGAAATGTTCTCTTGTCAGGACACCGAAACCAACGGCCAAAGGAGTATCTTTACCAACAAATTTACGTACTCTAGTACATAAATCAGTGATATTATCAGTGACACTAGTAGTAGCACCAGTAGTACCCATTCTAGAAACAACATAAATGAAAGAATCAGAGATACTACCAAGCACCTTTAATCTTTCGTCAGTGGTGGCAGGTGCAACTAATGGAACGTAACTTAAGCCGTAGTGGGTACACAAACCTCTGAACTTTAAGGCTTCTTCAGGTGGTAAGTCGACAACAATGTAACCGTTAGCACCTGCCTTGGCAGAGTCTTCGATCATCTTTTGTTCCCCATACTTTAAAATCGGATTGTAGTAACCCATCAAGATGATTGGAACGGTGACACCTTCAGCTCTAGCTTGGGACACCAAGTCTAAACACTTGCTTACGGTAATACCATTATCTAAGGCCACGTTATTAGCAGCTTGGATGGTTGGGCCATCGGCGATTGGATCAGAAAATGGGATTCCTAACTCGATGATGTCGACTCCACCATCTTGCATACCTTTCAAGATAGGTAAGGTGTCTTCGATGGTTGGATAACCAGCGGTAATGAAGTTGACAAGGGCATTACGACCTTCTTTTTTGCACCTTGCAAAGGTTTCTTTAAGAGAAGCAGACATAGAATATTAGACTAGCGTTTTTAATAGTAATATTTAGCAAATATACAGATATAGATAGTGGACTAACTTTCCATTTCTTAGGAAATTAGTAGCACCTTTATATTTTTCAATAGTCGGGGTTTTGTGTAATTTTTCAGTGAGTCAGTTCAGGGTAACTTTGAGCGAGACCTTTCAAACAGGATAATGACCAGAAGAGATAAGGTAGAGCCCAGTCGAGGCGTGGGTATGGCGATCCCTTGATGAGAAGTATGACTATTAAGACGTGGTTGGTGAGCTAGGGTTTTTAACATAGGAGTACGAAAGAGATAAGGAATTGTTTTATGGAAGAAACTAAATTGGGTTCTGGACTGGAAAATTATATTCGTATGCGATGCGATCTACATAGGCTGCAAAATATAATGCACATCAATCGGTACTTTGATATACTTCTGTAGTGAGCTAGGTAATCTGTATACTTTTGCTTGTGAGGCATTCTATCTAGGCCCATATGGCCCGTCATATGAGGAAGATCAATGAAGATTGTTCTTTGTCTAATACGCTCTGGTCATAAGCAATGCGATGTGTATTCCGCAGTGAGTGAAATAGGCTCCCTGAGCACTCATACCGATGTAATTAAATCAAGAATGCTCCTGGTCTCGATACCCCACTGAAGCAAGTAGGGTGATCATCGTCTCCTCTTTATGCGTCGATTCCAGATCAGGAACCTTAGAATATGGCACATACATCTCGTAGAGGCTTGTAGTGTTTATCCAAGGCGCCCAATTCTCCGGGCTTTGTCTTGTTTCCCTTGCTACACTCAAAAATACCATAAAAAATCTGACCAAGTCAGTACACTTGGGTTCGAATTACACTGTGCTCAGCTTCCCAAGTGCCTAGGCAGTTTTCATAGAGCTGCGCGACCTCGCAGAATGATGATAAATAATTTTTTTTTCCAGTGTTGAAGCAGAGGGGACCATAAGCAGTAGTTGTCATCTCACATTGATACTTACAATTCGATGGGCTGGGTAACAGTACCCTTTGCTTTTGAACCACTACTTCTTCTTGCAGCAGCAGGCACCTGCTTTCCTGCCAGGCCGCCATTACCACTTTCTTGCAGCAGCTGTTTCACAGGCTGTATCTCAACTTCATGCCCCAATTTAATTTGTGCCAAATTAATTATCGGTAACAACCGTACGTATTGGGAATAGTAGTCTGTAATGCTTTTCTGGACTATGCGTAATTTAGACTCTACATTTGCATAATACGCCAGCTGGGTTTGTCCATCGGGGATACTTGCAAGCGCTTTAACAAATATTGACATGTCATGGCGGAGAATATTGATTTCAACTTTCAATCTTTCCAACTCCGCATAAATCACCTCAGGCTCTATTCTACCTGAAGTGATATCATCGATTTTTATCGTGGCTGGGAGTTCCGACATGAAAAAAGATTCTTTTTTTCTCTAAATGCTAGTTATATAGTCAATTCGATGCTCCGTATTCTACACTTCATATGTTACTACAATCAAACGGCTATCCTTTTCCGATATTGCCATGCACTAAGTCACCACAACCAGTATAGTCTATACGTTGGTAAGAAAAAAATGAAAAGATCAAGAGAGAGGGGAAAGTACTGCATACAGATCACTCAAGGCAAAAGTGCTCGCGCCAAAACAAAAAAATATTGACGTGCTGAAAGGGAAGCCCAAAGGTGAAATAGTCACAGGAAAATGCACGCGGCTTTGCCCAAATAAGAACGATTGATTGTTATTGAAAACATTCTAAACACTGGTACTAGTTTCACCTGAGACGAAACGAAGTCGAGAATTCTGGGTTTGGGTTCCTACTCTGTAGCCTAAATATACTAAATATAGTTTGAATTACACGCAAGTGGTCTCAGACCGTGTACTAGCTACCGTCTCATCTCACAAGAAGATTGACTCCAATGGAAGAACTCTGAAAAAATACGTCTCGGTACATTCGAGCCTCACTAAATTTTGGCACCCTCCACCATTGCAAATCTAAAGAGCCTAGAATGCTCACTAGTCACGATTATTTTATTTTCGTTCCTTCTTGCGTGTATTTTCTTACTTACTCCGACAGTCGATTAAGACTGTTTGCTATTGCAGGATCTGATTGGAACAGACAGGTTCAAACGCGAACATGCTGGTACCTGACTAACTTATGGCGGAGTCTTCGTCTTGTAAGCTTTTGCTCATAACATTCTTATCCCTAGCTTGTAGGCATTGTTTCCCAAACAGTGAGAGAGTTCATTATTTCGTTTTTTTTTTTTTTTTTTTTTTTTGCTGTATAGCCCCCGGTTAAGAACTTTGCTGCAACTCGAAACATATTTTGGTGAAATTCCCGGCCAGTCGCGTGATTGTTCCGCGAATGGCTGCAAACATGTACGTCAACCACCCTATTATGCAAGTAGCTGTGTTTGTTTTTTCACCTCGACTCCTACCGTCTAGGTTGAAAAATTTCTTTTATTTTTTAACCTGTAAGCCTTGATATGCTTGCTGAGAGAGCAAGTATATAAGACTGAGCAGTCCTTCAGTATTCGTTATAAATTCTTCTTCTTTTTTTCTTTAACCAACTAATCTTACATTCGTTCAACATATTCATAATGCAATTCTCCACCGTCGCCATCTTAGCCTCCGCTGCTTTCGTTTCTGCTGCCACCGTCACTGAAACCGACTCATCTTCCACTTTAGTTACTATCACTTCATGTGGTTCTGAAGTCACCGACTGTCCAGCTGACTCCACTGTCGCTGCTGTTGCTTCTTCATCTGTTGCTGCCAACTCCACTCTTGCTAACGTTACCACCGCTGAAGCTGGTGCTAACAAGCAATTCGCTGCTGCTGGTGTTGCCGCTTTAGCTGCTGGTGCTTTATTGGCTTTATAAGTTATTCACTAATTTATTAGAGACGCTTATGAAACAAAAAAAAATTTAAGAATATTATAAATACATATTGAATATATTTTATATATTTTTAATTACTTGTAGCCTAATTGTAACCAAATTAATATCAGTGTAGGTTTTATTGACTCAAGAGTCTAAAGTTTAATTCATACCATGGTGTATTCAGACTATTTCGATGCATCGGCTCTCCACTCGTTTGTTTAGATCCGTGGTTTTCTATTTTTCCTTTACACTTTTTTTGTCACTCTCTCATTCAATTATTCTACATAGTAATATGTATACTATATAGGCTTCTTTGCTCTCTCTCTTAGTATCACCACTTTATCATCAACTTTCCAAGAGCAGTTATATTTCTCTACTAACACACTCACATCTACCCCGTTTGGTAAGACGCAATCCTCTAAGTACAGTTTGTCCAAGCTAAAGTATGCTGCCGTCATTACCTTAACCATCGAGTTTAATATTTTAGTTAACCCCATTCGCATAATCGCAGATTTGCACCCATCACACTCAGTGTTGTATATTCTAGTCCAGTTCTGGAAATCTCCCACAGCCCAGGCCTTTAGACATCTTAGTAAAGAGACATTCTCAATGTTGTACTTGTAATAGACTTCTATGGCTCTTAGATTATGGTTGTTAAAGTGTGCAAGGTGTAGAGCAAGTAGAGTCGCAACTTCCGCAATTTCAATTTGCGTGAGAAGGGACTTGGCATTCTCTAATAGGTAGTTAATACTCGGGATATAGGTATGATACTGTCCAATGGATGCAGATATGCGTATGGAAAACAAGAACACTCTCTTAGAGAAATCATCTGGTTTAGCAAATAGGAGTGCCTCCCTTAACTTTCGCAACGACGTCAATATGGAGTCGAGGTTAGTTGTAGGAGTTTTTCTGTCTTGGGCATGAATTTTTCTATCTTCGGTAATTGTTAGGCCATTCATATCTTCGCCAATTTGAACAGCTTCATCACTGCTGTTAGCCAATTCCTTAACTTTTTCCTTCAAACTTGAATCCAGCTGTATACAATAGTTCATAAAGTCATTAAATATCTTCTCGAAGAATAGCTTTCTTTCACGTTCACTACGTTGTAACCGATCATCTTCTCCTCTACTTACAAATCCGTAGCCTCCTATTCCTCGCCCTGCACTGGTCTCATTTGATTTATTGAACCGTTCGCTCCTGCTCTTCAATTTCGATTCATCTGACGCCAACGAATTATTTGACTTGGCCTTAGAAGACCAATTCCTTTTAGACGGTTTTCCGTTGCCTGACTTCTGCATAAAGACACTAGCAATACTTGCCCAATCGTTAAGATAAAGAAACGTTTTTTCTATTTGATTCCGGCTCGCACCACTCAAACTTAAATTGGCTCTTTGGTACAAAGAAGGTTTAAGGTATAAGGTTGTACACACACAAACGGTAGTTGATTTCCTATATTAATAATTTACATATATACAAAAAATACGACAATATAATGAAGAAAACGGTGCTAAAGCTAAAAAATAATATACTGCGTTCATAGTGCTTATGGCAAGAGTAGAACTCTTCTAGCGCATCTCGAATTCGAACTGTTAACACTGATGACAAGAGTAGAACTCTTCTTGCTTATGGCGGATGGTTTAGTTTATGGGCCTCTCTATAACTGTATTCCTCTTCTTCATATTTAATGCCACAACTGCTATCGTGGAAATCACTGTAACCCATATTGTCAAGTAAAATACACTCCCATAACACTCTCTACCCAAGGTACAGCTTTGAGAACCGGTTGCTTCGATTCTCACGGAGTTCGAATCATAAGTCTCTCCAAATAAATTGGTAAAGTAAAAGGATGGTAAAATTGGTGCCAAGCCGACGAAACCCCAATTTAAAGAGTAGTTTTCCATTCCAAATGTATCCCCCACAATCAATGGCATTATGCAAAATGTAAACCCGTAAAAAAAGCCAATCAATAACGATAAAAGGGTCAAATTCTTATAGTCTTGGAAAGTATATCCCATTATTTGAGTTAGCAATAAACCAAGCAGGGGAATAAATAGCAACCAGGATCTTGGCTTATTCCTTTGTGAAACTATGTCTCCCAATATCCCTGAGGCAATTCTCCCGACGCAATTTGCAACTGAAAGTAAACCCACTTGAAACAGTTGGTTCTGCTGTATAAGTGTGCCTATCTTTGTTTGAAATTCTGGATCATTTTCCATCAGGGCCGATATATGGCCAAAGGAAACTAACGCCTTCACGACATATCCGACTGAATAGATGTACATTTGCCCAAGGGACGCAAGAGATCCAGTTATGAAGAATATTATCCAAAACTTTTTATTGTAAATCAAGTCAATGCCACCAACTTCACCTCCATCATCTTCAAGGCCAAGATCAAACCCAAAACTAGAGCCTCCAGCTACAGCACCATCGTCTGAACCAGTACCAACCATACCGACATCTTTATGCAAGTGTGGCCTGTGATGCACTACTGGGTTTGAAGTTATGGTGGACAATTCAATTTCCTGAATAGTACCTGCTATTCTGGCCCTTCTCCTACCATGTTCCATGTCATATATGATAATGCTCGGAGTACAGATCACAAATATAATCGCTGAAGAATAGGATAGGAATCCCAAAAAGTCACTAGTGTTCCCAGGGAAAAACAAGGCTGCAATCACAGAGTAAAATAAGGCACTCAAGCCATATAATGCCAACGGCAATGAGGTGGCTACTCCTCTAATACTGGGGAAACTAACTGCGCAGCATTTCAAGCATGCAGAGTTCATAAAGGTTGATCCACATCCGATCAAAAATATTAACAATGCAGATAAATGGACAGATGAATGCTTCGAATCATACTGCTTCTTCATTCCGTAGTAACCCAAGATTACAAATGCACCTCCTATGATCAACGATACAGTATAACCTCGCTTGTCAACTAATCTACCAGCTACGGGCCCAGCAACTGCGACACCGATTGTTCCCAAGAGAGCTATCCTCGACGAATCGGTTGCAGAATATTCTAATCTACTTGCAAATTGCGGAGAATAAGATGAGTATAAGTATAATGTTCCACATATGAGTCCTAGAAACGTACAAGAAAGCAAAAGAAATGCTTTCAGGAAAGCGGACATACTGAAAGGAAACCTTTGCACTTCTGTGTTCAAAAAACTATACCTGTTAACTTTAGTGTATGTCCTTCTATCAATCTCCTTGCTTTATTATTTCAAACACTGTTGTTTTACAATTGCATAAGTTACAAGGAAAGGAATTATTGCATGCAAGAAATATAATGATACAGAAAAAGATCTTTTAACAACCTTGAATCTAAGTGTTAAACATCAATCTTAATAGAAGGAAGTTAGGTCGAAGAAAAATAACACGCACCAGGAAGGTTAGATCCACCTAGGAAAATAAATGGAAGACAATAAAAAATAGAGGTGGTAAAAATAAAATGCAAAAAAAAAAAACTTTAGTTTAAGCCCATGACTTCTCTCTGTATATGGAATTATATACATCTAGAAAGAAGTAAAACGTATGCACATTTAAACGCATGCATTCCTAACTGAACGAAAAATTATTCGGTGCTAAGTAGAGTGCAGGTTCCAGTTCCAAGAAAGAGGTAACCATTATTTGACACACTAGGAGAGTGATTTCTAATTTGAGTGATACTCAAATGTTGCGTATTGCATTCTTTGGATCCGACATTTTTTCAGTCAAAGCCTTGTCCACATTACTTGATGCCAAACTGGCTCCCAATAATAATCTAATATCATCTTTGGATGTCATAACCCGCTCTATAAAGCCTCAGGGAAGAAAGAGAATACTTACTGATGTACCCATAGGCACATTTGCAACCAATGCGAACCTTCCCGTACATAGAGCTGATTCAAGAGATCAAATACTTCAGTTGTCCGAAAAGATAAACCCAAACTTAACTATCGCGGTTTCATATGGTAAACTCATACCCGCCGATTTTATCCTGAAATGTGAATATGGTGGACTAAATGTTCACCCTTCACTACTTCCCAAATACTCAGGATCATCACCAATTCAGTACGCAATTAGAAACGGTGACCAAACTACGGGTGTCACTATCCAGACATTACACCCTACAAAATTTGATAGAGGGGAAATAATAGCACAGTCTGGAGAAGTTGACATCTTAGAAAATGAAAATTACGATTCTCTCTTGGAAAGGTTAGGCAAGTTGGGTAGTGATATGCTTATACAGACTTTGCAAGATGGTCTTTACAAATCACCAATAACACCAATAATACCTTCCACCTCGTTTTCATTGGCTCCCAGGATTTCACCGAGTGAAAGTGAAATACTTTGGAATGATCATACTACCAAAAGTGTGATTAATCTTTACAAATCTTTGGGTCCACTACATACTTTTCAAAAACGTTTGACCAAAAAGAAGAAAAATGCAGACGCTGTTGAAGAGTTGTATAAAGTTATCTTTTCAGATATAAAGATATATACTGGGCCTTTGGAATTATCGCAAATCAGTTTGGGGGCATTTCACCTAGACCTGGTTAATGATCGACTCTTAGTTAAGACTAAAGATGGAGCTATATCTGTTGGTCTTGTAAAATTTCAGTATCAGAGTTACGAAAGCCCTACGAAGTTTGTTAGCCAGACACTGAAGAGATGTGGCGTAACTTCATCTAAAACTAAGTTTATTCAATCTATCTAATTATTAATGAACCTCTTGTATATATTTATAATTTAGTAAAGAATCACAACACAAATTGGCAATGCTTATTGAACTCTTGAACAGCAATTCTGATTTTACCATACAAAAATGACCTAGCGTTTTTCTCAGGGATAGGAATGAAAGGACCCTCTTTCTTGTTTTTCAATCCAATGTTAATACCTGTTGGTTCTATTGAAATTGACTTAATATTCTCAAAGTTGATCACCCACGTAGATTTTAAAGAATTGACTTGAAACAAAAATATCTTCTTGAAAGTTATTAAGATACATTTTTCTTCTCCTGGTAACAACAAATGAGCGAGATATTTTTCATTGAAATACTCTCCACCATCTACTGCATTTAACCAAAATTGACCCTGTGCCTCTCTTTGAGAAAAGGGTCTTATAATGTGATCATAAGCAGAGATGTACCTTGGTAAACGAACTTTATCCAAGCCTTCAGCATCAAAAACAGTAGTCGTATTCCTGATACCCTCACTAACATTAGAAGCAAGGTCAAAGAATCCAATAGCAGTTTTAGTAGGTAACCCAACGACACCTTTTCCTAAACCTTTGAAGAAACCAGCGGCTCCTCCTTCAGATGCACCTTCAATGGGAGCAGTAGCAATTCCAGTTACACCTGACGAAATTGATTCAAAGAATGAATTTGCACCCAGAGCCAAACCATACAACGCATGCTTTGGTTTGTTTCTACGTTGATTCAATCTTCTCCTTTCTTGAAATCTTTTATCTAAAGTCACGACCGACAACCCTTTAGCAACTGAGCCCGTGAATTTAGCGAATGAATCTGAAAATCCGAATATAGATTTCTTCAAGAAACTTAAACCACCTTTTGCAATACCAATTCCCAATTCCTGAGGCCTATCATTAATGATGAAACCCTGATATGGCTCGTAGAATATATCGAGTACCCCAGAACTGATGTTATTAAATAAACCAACTGGGTTACCAAGGAAATCTGCTGATCCCAATATCTTATGCAACTGATAAAAGAAAGCTTGGCCATAATGTGTTTGAATGGATTCAACCAAAATAGGTATAGGAACTCTTATATTCTCAATGAACAATGCATTTAATTTAATAGGAGCATCGTTAATGTTTCCAATTGCCATAGTTAATACGTTGAAGAAGAACATTAATGTATTTTGGGAGGTCTGTTTGTCTTCGGCATTAATTCTTTCTGTACGAACAAAGGACAAATTGGCCATTGTCGGCTGCAAATGAAGTGCTTCAAAATATATGTCGCTACTTTCATCCAAAGCTCTCGGTTCTGGAATATCCAAATTATCGTCACAGAGTACATCAACTTGTCGCTTATTCCAGGTTGCACCAGGAAATTTAGTGAAATCAAGTAGTGCAAATAAAAAGTCCTCGTCTATTTCAATTGTCATTTCTTGCAATAATACTGTAGCGTATTTAATAAATAAAACACCATGACTATCATCTTTTACTTTACATATCGATGCTGAAAATGATGGGTGGTTATTCATTTCCTTACCTGATTTTGGAATAACACTTGGGTACAAGATAATTGGGAAAATTCCACCATACAATTGATTATCAATCTGAATCCATTTCAATTTAACACTCAAATTTTGATAGAGTTGTGATTCATTGTATCTGATTTCAAGTCCCCTTAACGTTATGTAACATAACTCTTGGCCACGAGTATTGATAAGAGATATACCGAAACCCTCAAATTTAGTAATAATTTTTGTGTGATACTCATCTTTCTCAGTTGCCTCAAATCCACTTTCACCAGTTGCATTTGTAGATAATGAAGTCATACTTGCAGAGTCAGATGTATTCTTCAACTTATACAAACTAACGGATGGATCATAATTAGAAATTATTAATGATTGTGTCGGACCATCTGCAACAACATTCAAGTCTACAATAGTCTCTTTCTCATCTTGGCTTCTTGGCGGTAACCTAAACGGTCTGAGATTTCCAATCTCCGCCAAGTTCACACTTCTTTCTCTGTCATGAGATCTAATATATAGTTCTTTAATCACAGCATTTGGATAATCATATGCGTAAGGCATGACACTTTTCGCTGGTATCTTATAGAATATTGGCTTAAATGAAGGTGAATCATGCCTGACAACATCTCCATTTTCATTCACGTTTGGGTCTCCCTGATAAACATAAAATTCACTGTCTGAAAAGTTTCTAATGGAGAAAGGCCAGTTGTTATTCGCATTTTCAACAGAAATAAAAATAGTAGCATTTTCAATGATAGTATTAACCTTGAGTAAGACTTGACCAACTCCATCCTTATAAAGCTTTATAAAAATTTGTCCAACATCGTCAATTGAAAATGGAGCAGACCAAGGTTTGGAAGAGTGATTGAATTTGATCAAAAGAGATTTTTGGTCAATCTTCCGCAACGCATAGAGGGTTTGGATAGTACCTCCTGATTTAACAACTATTGGCTTTGTTGATCCATTTTCAACAATTTGTAAGTCATCATCCAAATTATTCCTAAATATATAACGTGGAGCAATAGTTACAACCTTGGTTAAATTGTATTTGCCCTCTCCCTCATTGACTGTTATACCAACATTCATTTCAGCTTGTCTGCCATTTAATTGAGCCTTGGCTGCAATGTTTTGACCAATAGCATCAAAGCTTAGCGGAGTGGTCCAAGCAGAGTCTCCAATTTTAATTAACGCTCTATTTCTTCTGTCATCATCTTTCTCAAAAGAAAACATCGAGGGAACAGTAAGTTGTGGATTAGATTTACTGTATAAATAATTTCCCCTTTCATTTATAGTCAAGTTTTGCCCAGTTTTATTCAATATTACATATGGAGAATAGATAACCACTTTTAAACTAGTACTGTGATTCTTTTTCTTCAAGTAATGAATTTTGAATCTGAGTTTTTGCCCATTAGTCTCATGTCTAGTTGACATCACTGTTTCTCTTTTGAACTCGCTCTCACGAGGCGCATTTATAATAGCAAACTCGGATTTCAAATATCCACAATCTTTTGGCTCAACACTAAGTAGTAATAGTGATTTCAAAGAAGAAACATGAATAAATGTTTTGACCCCTTTTGCGATAGTACCACTCCAGTCTTTTCTTGATGACTTGTCATATAATCTATAGTCAAGGTCAAATGGAAGTAAATTTTCAACTTCAACGGGCGCAGAGATAATAATCTTCATATGAGGATATATCTTTGCTAGTGGCTCTTCTGAATCGAAAACAGCTTCTACTTGATAATAATACGAAGAATTATCTGAATTAGAGGAGGCATTACATTTTATAGGAATACCACCACCTGATTCATTCCCTTTCCTAGCTTTCATTAATGTCTTCCAATCAAGTGACTGTTCACACCAGGAGTAGGAAACATCAGTAACTGGTTTGATTTTGTAAGTCCCATTGTAGACACTATCAATGGGTAGAGACTTCGATTCATCAGGTTGAATAGTTAAATTGATCAAACGGTCAGAATATGCCACTTGGATGTCAACAGCATTTTCAGCATCATTTTGAACGAGTATAGTTGACCTTAAAGTTATTGTCTTCACGTTATCTTCCCCTAAAATCACTTCGAAACTCAATCTACTGTGAATTCCATCAATTGGAGGATTCAATACAAAGAGTTCTTCCCCTTCACCTGTAGCTGAAATTCCATCAATTACATCATAGGGCAGATCCAATAATTCCAAACCAAGGCTTCCTTGCTTTTTGTCTGTATCTAAATTTTCACGAACTTCTTTCCAATCCTCAAATTCCCATGGGATCAGATTTCCATCATCTATTTCTTTTTCTACTTTTCGATCCGATGACTTGTCGTTCCATACTTTAACCTTGTAACCAGTTTGATTAGTAATTCTATATGGACTGTCTTCACCCCTAGGTTTGATCTTTTCATCAGTAGTAATTAATGACATAACTTGCGATAATAGTGCGATTGAACGAGAAGAGACAGTGATTTCAGTCAATTTTCTTGAAATCACATCTACCATAATACTTGCAGTAGGTAATAAGACTCTGCTAGCATATATGGCAATGGGCCATGGTTCAACTAATGGTTCCCATGATGATCTAGCATAGTTATAAATGTTCACGTAGGGTTCAAAGTGAGTTTCAGAGCTGAGATCCGTTGACCAGTTGATAGCTTTAATATCGAACGGTTTAACATTCATATCAAGAACCGGCAATTCGTGAACATCACCAATGAGAACAAACCTCAAACCTCCTATAGAGACATTCAATTCCTCTCCTTTAATTATGACAGCATCAGAGGATGCTGCTGTTGCCTTTTGCAAGTTGGACTGGCTCTTTGATGTAGAAAAGTTTGAAACTATAGTCGGAGCATAATGAGATAATCTTTTCTTGAAGTCATCCAGAAAGTTATTCTCGTTGTCGTCATTAGACTGATTCGGCAAACTCTTATTCTTAGCTTGTGCTGCCGTGTAAAGTTCGGAGGCATTATTGAATATTGTCAAAGCGAGTCTTATATCCCTTAACGATACTCTGACCAACAAGGGATCAACTGAAGCCTGAATACTCGTAAGGAAACTTGTGTCAGTGGATCCTCTTGAATCATAAGCAAAAGATATAGAAAAATCATCAATGATTCTCAATCTTTTGGTCTCTATGTCATCCATCTGACAAAGGAATAAGCCTATATTGTTAGATGCGAGAGAAATGATATTTTGAGAAGTCAATAAAATTTGTTCAATCTTAAAAACTACTGCTTCGGTATCAGTTTTACTTGAATCAGCAAGGAGAATGACAGAGGGAGAAGTAATGTTGATTGAAAAGCCAATCCTGGATAGGGATGATTCTTCTTCACTATCACTGCTCGAACTAGAATTGGATGTTTTCTTACTGATATCCAATTTTAGATCTTCCTTACCATCATCGCCATCATCTTCATCATCTTCATCATCTTCTTCATCCTCAACAAAGCCAATATTTGGCTTCTCATCTGGTAATCCAGACTCCACAAAGGTTTGAAGTTCAAAGATGTAATCCATAGCTAAAATCATTTGTGGACTATCAACAGATAACATGAGAGTCATGTTCTTGTTATCAGCTGCTCCATCTGACGTAGCAGAAAATGCAAATTGGTTTTGATCATGCTTGAGTAGTGGAATTATTTCTCTGAATTTATTAGCAGAGCCTTCTCTTATATCTTTCACAACAAATGAATGCATGAAGAGGTCGGATGAAAAGTGAGTATCCTCTTTCATGTTGAACAGGACTGTCAATCCATTAAGAGTAAAGGAGGTTAACTGTTTGCCAATAATTGAAGATGCAGCAGAAGTGTTATTGTACAAAACTAAAGAGAGACTGGGAACCTTGAAACTGAAATCCACTTTACTATGATCTTTCGGTATATCCAAATCCTCAGAATTGTTACTATTCTTACTAATATCACGAATGACATCTGATTTTTTTGACTTTTCCTTGATATCTGTGTTATGTGCCATCACCTTATTTGCATTTAGTGCATCTAGTTCAATATCTTCCAAGTCATCATTCACTACTTCGGAGGTATCTAATACACGAGAAACCAGATCTGAAAGACTCATCAAGTATTTCAATTGTAATTCTGTTAGTTTTAAATCAACTTCTGGCATATTACCATCCACAATCAAGGTTGGGCGTCCCTTAAGGTACTGTTCCAGGTACTTTCCATTAAAGGAAATATCCAAATCTTCCACGATATCAGATGATTGTACTATTAAGGTATCATCAATATTATAGTCCCTAAAATGGAATATAGAAGATACGCTAATATTTCTAATTCCCATAGAGAGTAAATTTTGTAATCCATTTACATTTTCATCGACAAATGAATTGTTAGCGTACAATTCTCCTAATTTAGCAGTCAATTGATCGTACTTGTCACTCTCACCTTCAACTAACTTAGGAAAGACAATCGTAGGCGCATTAACTAGAATATCAAATTTGATTCTATTAGCATCAACAATTTGACTAGCTTGATTGATGGCTGCTTCTCTTGCACCATCATAAATTTCTTTCATCCTTTGGAATTGACTTGCATAGTTAAATATTTTGCTGAAAGAATCTTCGACAAAATTCACTCTTAGAGAACCCGTTTTGAACTCAATTTCCGTATGGAAAGGATTAGAATTGTTGGCTGCGTCAAATGTCTTGTAAGAAAACTGAGCCAAGCTCTTCTCCTCTCCTTCAATTGAAATAAGATTCCTTAAGATAGAATCTCTAGGAGAGCCACTATTTACTTCATCGTGCAAGCTAAGCGCACCTAACTTACCGCTGACTTCCAACTCCTCAGGCAATACCAATACAAAAATGTTTGCAGTCAGAAGTTCTAAAGTCGCCAACTTTAATCCATCTTCATTAAGGACAAGAATAATACTATCCATATTAACATTCACATTTATCTTAGCAGGTGATGTCTCATCATTGCTAGGATCATTATGCTTAAGCTGATCTGCAGGAGTTTCTGGAGCATCTGGGTCGACAAAAGTATTTAAAACAAAATTAAGCAAGCTCAATAGTGACTTTCGAGAAATAACAAATTTAACAGTTGCTATACTTAAGTCGATGTCTTGATCAAACACTTCAATACTCTTTTTATTGAATTCTACAACCCTCAAAGTTCGTGCGTAATCAACTTTGAAGAGCTGGCGCTTATTCGTAAAATCATCCAGTTGGTCAAAATTATTTGAAGACACTAACTTGTCAAACTCTGGGATTCCTGATTTTTCAATATTATCAATAAGATTTATGTCTTCCAAAGTTAACTCAAGCTTCAAGTCATTTTCTGTCTTGAAAAAGAATAGTTTTAAATGATCACCAACTAAATCAACTAATGGCTCCTCTTCAAGTGAAATACCATCAATACAACGGAGAAGTGACACATTAACCAAGTCAACAGAAAAATCGAACTCAAAAATGTGTTGTTCAAGTGCAGCCGCAGAAAGTTCAGCTTTCTTAGTTTTACTGCTCATTCCATCACTATCAAATTCTTCAATTTTTGCTTCTTTGTATTGCCCGTAGGCATCAAAGAGTACACTTTCATTAGTACTTGCAGAGTCATCCAAATTAGGAATGGCGTTATCAATCAACTTCATTATTGTTTTATATTGAAAGTCATTCAAGGTGAGCTTTATATTGGGTACCTCCCCACCAATCTTAAACTTAGCTAAGTTGTAGGCGTCTGGTAGTATTGAAATGCCTAAGGTCAATTTTATGTTCAATTTGTCAAGTATAAGTGCAGACCTATTACCTTCTTCATCTGTTTCAACATGGAGTTGTTCAGTGGTAGTCTTGATATCAGGACCAACCAAAAATTGTGCATCCTGCAAATGTATATTGAATTGATCGTACATTAACGTATTCAACTGGTTCCAATCTTTTTCTGAGTAATTGTCTTTACTTTTGAACTCTTCGATTTCTTTTTTATCTACTAAGTCACTTACCACACTAATATGTCCAGCATCTAGAATTGCAACAGGCGACTTCCAGTCTTGTGGATCGAGTGGCAAGAAAACCAACGGAGCTTGTAAATCCAACTTAACATTGATAGTTTTATGTTCTTCCAAAGCGTACTGCAATGCTAACCTGGTTTGAGCAGAGAGTCCCTCCATGGTTTCTTCTGCAGCATTCATAATCGCTCCAATTGTGTCAAGATGAATCTTAGGAGGAGTGAAAAACCTGACAACCTCCTCAATGAAGTGAGGGTTGTAAAATATTGTCATGGACTTAAGTTTACCTAAGAGGATAGAATCTGCACTTCCATCTAATGGATTGTTTTCAAAAGATATCTTAAAGAATGGATCATTCTTACCATTTTCTTTTTCTTGCAATTCGCCTTTCTCCTCGTCTTTTGCGCTGTGAATATGACTATGTGATTGCTTGACGCTTACAATATGTTTATATAATGTGGTCTGAGTTCCGTCTTCAACCCTAAATTCTTGTAATTGAAAATTAGCCAAAAACGAATCTGGTCTTTGGTAGACTTGAGTAGTACAACCTTCAAATACAATTTCAGCCAAATTTGGTTCATTTTTGGCACTTCTAATGGAAATACCACCTTTCTTTAAGGTAGCTAGCAACTCTATTTTAACCCTATCTCTTGGTATTGAAATTGCATTAGATATCTCTTGGGACTCATCATAGTCAATAGCATCATAAAGTGCCTTCTTTTGCGAATCAGAAAGAGCCATGGAAGTATCAGATTCATCGCCAGTCGAAGTAGCTGATGATCCGTCTGCGGTGGGAGCAGCTCTCCACCAACCCGAGAGCCAACCCTCTTTGGCAGGAGCATGTGTTGCAGCTTTTTTGATAGCTAAATTTTCCTTCCTAACCTCGTTACTTGCAAGAGATCTATAGAGTTTAATATCTTCGAACGTCAATTCTTTAAGTAAGGATTCAAGTCTTTCATTCTGTTCTGCGGTCAATACATTCCCTAAGAGATGTAACTTCCAGAGTGAAACATACTCCTTTCTTTGATCTCGTCTTTTTTCGAAATATTCCCAAGTCCATTTGTAATTTCTTTCATGGATTTCATTAAGGATCAGTTCCGCTGCATATTTGAACCAACGTTTTGGATCTTCGGAAACTGGTATCTTTGGTCTTAGACGTCTAAATTTATAAGTTTTCATATACCAATGGAATTTAGAAGCAGTCCATAATATATCTTTATACTGCTGCGAATCTAAATCTACTCCAAACTCTTCAAAAAAGAGCTCAGCCTTGATATGGGGTGATGATTCAGTAGCACCATGCTTGTTTACTGTAAGTCTACCCTTACCAGTTACTGGCCTAAGTAAGTACTGTAAGTCTAGTTTCTCTTGATTGTTACTCTTTTCCACGTATTCTGAGAACTCCTTCAACAATTTTTCCGAGTCTTCATGATATATGCTGGTAGAATCAGTATTCATATAAACACTTAAACTTTTTAAAGTCAATAATTTGTGAGTAAGGGCCTGGGTAATGGAAATAAAACTAGGCAACCAGGAGTTATCCGTGGAAACAGCACTCAATTCATCTAAAGTCAAGCCAATTGAATATGGTAATTCAGTTAAAACCGAATCATCTTCATATCTTACATGGATGTTTCTAATAGTTACTTGCAAATTATCCACGATTTTAGTAATCAAGTTCTCCGTGAATGTTTCATTGTTCTTCAAATCAGAAGTTAGGGATTCATTTTGATTTTGCGCCTTTTCAATTGCTTCCAATTGTTTCAACTTTTCTTTCTTTACATTCAATTCTTTCTTCATATCTTCTTCCAAGTCAAAATCCTCTAATATTATAGGACTGGCTAACAAGTAAACATCTTCAATAATGACCTTAACAGGTTGACCTTTTAAGTTAGACCATGGGATTTGAAGTGTCAATTCACCCAAATGGCCAAATTTTACATCTAGTGGTAATTTCAATTCATCCAAGGATTCCTTCTTCAAGCGAAGGTTTTTCAATTTAACATCCCCACTCCATATCCCGATATTAAGTTGCTTAGGATCAAAATCTTCGATATACGATCCTAAAAATCTATTAAGAATTGTAGCTACAAGGGACTCAAACATATTTTCAAGTTTTTGTCGCTTAGAATCTTACAATTATATAAACAATTACCTTTGGTACAGAAAGAGCTGAGAAGTAAAGTACAACAACTTTTGCCTGTTAGTTGGCTAGCAATGTTGCACAGAAGCGCATTCCATATATCGAGATGCTATGGTTGCGGTGCAATATACAGGACATACTTATTGGAAAGTGATGGGATTTATGTTCCGGAAGGTGAGAAGTCATCCTAGCGCCAGGTACAGTACAGACATTCTGTAGATATAATTGAAACTTTCTTGAAGTACTGCCGTGTCAGTGTGGTGATGTGAGTTCAGAATCATCCCGTCATTCTTTACGTTGGTAGTACTGGGATTTAAGTCAGAGTTGTGCGAAAATATGGGGTACTAGAGGTGCAAAATAAAAGAGAAGAATGGCAATCAACAATTACATCCCTCGAGCAGTATATTATGTATATTATTATTACTCCGAACAACATTACTAATATACGAAAAGATAGAGTGATACTGTTCACTCTCCAGATTAGTCCTATTTGTTGATATCCATTGATCGAGTCGGTAAACGCACAAGATTGGAGATTGTGAGCCCTGGTACCAAAGCTACCATATACGTACAGCCCAAATTATGTGTCAAATATAAACCTTAGTTGATGTGGTACAGCAGCAGAGGAAATCCATTACAGACAAGTCCCGAGTAGATTCCACCTATAGAAGTTCAAGTGGGTTATAAACTTAACTTAAAAGGGTATTGCAATTAAGTACAATCTACGCTCCCCGCTCCTCGTGCAGTAGAATGTAGCACCAAAGACATCTATACACCTTTAGCATGAGTAGACCGATGTTCAGCTCCGCATCATCAGTCCACCCCAGTACAATTAATGCTCGTCATATTTATTTTTCCTGATCAAAGCTTATCTTTGAAGTTCCAAAGTAAAAATGTACACAAAAGATAGTATTAAATCCCCCAGCACCCCCTCCACCCCTCTCTTCGTAGCTTTCGTGTCTTATTGGCGTGATTTAAACTATCGTCATTGCAACCAAAAATCACGACTCACCTTACTAGGAGTGAGGAAAATTAATCCAAGTTTCCTGTATATAGCATCCATCAGCTGCGGCTCGAATCTAAGAACTTGCTTTATCTTATCAAATAAAATTCATAACATGTGGCGTGACACCTGTGGACTAACCACAGCACACTAGTTGAAGGCATAGCTATTCCAGAGTAGTGTGGATGGAACACACTTGGAACTCCGAAATTCAAAGTTTGTAGCTCCCCTCCGTTTAGGTTTGTTGAATAAGGCGTTTCATTCTCCCACTATTTACGCGACAATGACTGTTGGGATGATATAAATCTTCAGATAAACTACATACAGGGAAGAAAAAAAGCTGGAGTGCGTGTGTTCAGCTAATAAGAGCCTTACACCTAGTAACCTCTCCTTTCTTTTTCCTAATTCCAAATCCTTGTTCCCTTTCTCCCAACTTTTTGCTCTCTGTTTCTCCTTTTCTCTTGCTTTCTTGTTCTCTATCTTGTATCTCATTACCTGTGAATCAAGATCCACACGAGTATACACACAGATTGTAACTATCTGTATACAATTGACTTTACAGTTACTCCAAATATACGTGTTCCAGGAACCGCAAAATATAGGCAGATCGCTCCAATTCTTTCTGTATCTTACTTAGGAATAAATAGTCTAGAAAGAAAATAACATAAGGACGAAAAAAGATAAAACAGTATAAAAATAGCAAGACAAGCAAAACTAAAGAGTCAAGGACAGCAAAATCATATTAATACTTAGTATATATTCTATACTATCTCGAATTGAATCCATTAATATCGGGTGCTGTGTCCCTCCATCTTTTACTGCACTTAGTATCTTTTATTTTTCTTTTTCTATTTTGTTTATCTGATAAGGATCAGATACAATATACTGCATACTAGGCCACAAGCACACATTAGCATCTGTCCACTATATTCCTTATATTGGTCAGATAACAGTATCACTCGAACGGACTTCTTATTAAGCTGTACCTTACTAGTGCCACTGATCCCATCTTTCTATAGGTTTCCGCTGGTCCCACTGCAAGGCGAACCATAGTCAGTATTTCATATCCTACCAACAAGAAACCGAACTCGTGACTTGACTAGTGCGATTACGTGACTCACACGAGATCAGGCTAAAGTTTCTTAGCAACGCTACAGCTCTCTACTTTTTTATTGGGAAACGTGACACACAGTTTGAATTAGCTAGCATCTTCTTTTGATGTATGCACATAGATAGTTGATTTATCATCATAAATTCATTGTTATAGTACTACATCCCGTATTAGTGACCTCGCACTGGATTTTATTATATATTGCTTGCTTTCACCACTGCTGCATCCTACAACCTAACTCGCGAGACTTGACATCACAGCTACACACAGTCCCTCCCATATTTTTTGTACGCGCAGATCGTTTACAAGGCTTTTCTTACACCACATTTTATTGAGTTCACTTCGTTTAGAATTTTCTACTTCAATACTGGCTTATTGAATATACAGCTTTGTTCAATCTGAGGGATATTGAGAACAGAAAAGTCAGACACACACAGAGTTACTCAAGAAAGGCAAATTAGTAATTAATTTTATTTAGCACCGCCGCCAGCATTATTATATCAAACTCGCACACTCAAACACTCACACAAACACATACACACATACACACATACATACATATACACACAAACATGTCTAAAAGGGATAAAATTGGTGCATCTCATATCGGAATCTATACCATTGGACCCGAAATAGGTAAGGGTTCCTTTGCTACGGTGTACAAATGTATAGATAACAAGACACATCAACCAGTGGCAATCAAGTCGGTGGTACGGTCCAAATTGAAACTGAAGAAGCTTGTGGAAAACTTGGAAATTGAGATTTCTATCCTTAAGACTATGAAGCATCCTCATATAGTTGGGCTCTTGGACTGTACTCAAACTTCATCACATTTCCATTTGGTTATGGATTATTGCTCCATGGGTGATTTATCATACTTCATACGGAAGAGAGACCAGTTGATCAAAAGCCATCCAGTTATATCGTCACTATTGGAAAGGTACCCTTCTCCGGAAGACTCCCATGGTTTGAATCATGTGCTCGTTACGCATTTTCTTAAACAATTATCATCAGCCTTGGAGTTCCTTAGACTGAAGCTGTTAGTCCATAGAGATATCAAGCCACAAAATTTGTTATTGTGCCCACCAGCGCATTCCAAGGAGATTTTTGAAGAAGGACAATTCACCGGACTATGGGAATTACCAATTTTGAAGATTGCTGATTTTGGATTTGCCAGATTCTTACCATCAACCTCGATGGCTGAAACTTTGTGTGGTTCACCTTTGTACATGGCTCCTGAGATCTTGAGATATGAGAAATATAATGCCAAGGCCGATTTATGGTCTGTTGGAGCAGTCTTATATGAGATGAGTGTTGGTAAACCTCCATTCAAGGCTGACAATCACGTTCAATTGTTGAAAAATATTGAAAAATCAAACGATAGGATCAAATTCCCTTCTGTTTCTAAAGTGCCAGAGTCTTTGAAGAAATTAATTAGGAGTTTACTTAAATGTAACCCTACGGAACGAATTTCATTCACTGAATTTTTCAATGATCCATTGATTGTTGGTGAATTAGAAGGTAACGATAAACCTCTCGATACTAGTGAAATGGACGAGAATTTATTTATTAGTGAATATATTAGTCCCATCCCTAAGATTCAGGAATTGAAGCAGCAACAATTGCAAGGACATAACTCGAGACAAATTCCATTTCCCAAGTCTACATCCTCTTCAGCTCGTGATGAAGAAATTAAGACCATAATTCACAACAATTCTCCAGGAAACGAAGTGTTGAGTAACTCTATTCAGCCAAAACAACTTCAAAGTGAGACAAGTGGCTCGCTTATACGCACCAGTAGAGAGAATGAGATTATAATGGAAAAAGATTATGTAGTTGTGGAGAAAAGAGCTGTTGAGGTTAATGCTATCGCTGATGAATTGGCACATGCTGGAAGTGGTGCAGTCGCAATTAAAAAACCAGATTCCGATAAAGCGCCTCATCAACAAAAATCTCAAACGCTGCCACTGCAGACACCTCCGAAGTCAAGCTATAAAAGAGGATCTATCCGTTCCAACTCAATGACTGGAGGACGCCGTCCTTCTTTCACAGAAAGGAGAATATCTATTTCCATTTCTCCTACTAATGCGTTAAGCAAGGCTATTGGATTGGCTTCGAACAGGTTGTTTGGTACAGCTTCTTCACAACCAAACAATCAGATTACCGAAAATGTTATTGGCGATGAAGGAACTACATATTCAACTGTAATTTCTTCTCCAAATTTTGTCAACAATTTACTACTTCAAAATTTGAATTTACCAACTTCAAATACGATGGCAATGCAACAACATCTTCAACAACAACATCAACTGGCTTTGGTTAAACCACTGTCGAAATCTGATGAATACGTTCTTAGTAAGTTAGAGTCTATTGCAACTAAAGCGCATGCAATCAACTTATTTGCCGATGTGAAGTTTAGTCAATTGATTCCTTCACCTCCTTCTACGGAAGGCTTGGAAGACGAACTAATGATTCAAACGGATATATTACCACCAAAAATCGTGAAATCCGTAAGTGAGGAAGGTGTTGCATTGTATGTGAAGACGCTCTCTTTGCTTGTTCAAGGTATGGCTGTTGCAAGTAATTGGTGGTACCAGCAACAGCAGCAGCTGCAGGAAAGCTCGTCTTCATTGGATAGTAGCGGAAATAGTAGTATTCATCTTTCGATTAGAATCAATGAGTTGGTTCAATGGATCCGAGAAAAATTCAATGAATGCCTCGAAAAGGCAGAATTTATCAGGCTTCGTTTACAAGAAGCTAATCAAACTTTGAGAAAAGAAAGGGAAGAGGAGTATGACGATGATGATTACCTGGAAGAAGAAGTTAACTTAGAAGAAAGGGTAATTGCAGAGAAATTGATCTTTGATAGGGCATTGGAGATGTCAAGAAATGCTGCTGTCAATGAACTTGTCAAAGAGGATTTAAAGGGTTGCGAACTAGCATATAGTACAGCTATTTGGATGTTGGAAGCATTACTTGATGAGGATTCGTCCACAAGTGCTGATGAGAGATTGGATGATGAAGACAAAGCAATGGTTGAGAAATTTATTGTTAGCATTGGAAACAGATTGTCAGTTTTGAAAAAGAAACTCGGAGACGAAGAGGGGGGTTAGTATATTATTGTTTGTGTGCAACATTTTTCCTCCCTTTCGTTTTTAACTGTCAATCTGTATTTTTTTGAACTATTTTTTTATATTATTTTTATTTATATTATTTTTGGTTCCGGTTATTATTATAAGGTGGGAAGGAATGGATATTCGTTATAGGTGGGGTCTACTATTTATGTATATATCTTTATACTAGTATATACTGGATTATTTTTAATCTACTGTTTTAAAGAGAAAATCCGAGATAACACTTTCCTCTTACTACTGTAAAACTATAGCTTTCAATTTCCCATCAAATTGTATACGAAAATTGCTAATTTTGTCTATAAAGTTTATCGGAGAACTAAAGAAATCATCGATTGCTTGAAGTAAGGCAATCCATTATTTAAAGAGGTAGTATCAAGGCAGTTCGGATTCTTTCGCCTTATGTAATTGAAGGAACCCTACAGTAATAGAACTTGATCTATAGTGCTGTGGTCTAGGTTCACCCTTTGAAGTCGCCTTAGATGTACTTTCTTTATCATTATCGTAATGTATGGCATTAGGAAAAGGGAATGCAATGGGGTCTTTTTTATAATGATTGTTGAACTGGCTGTTGAGGAAGCTTGGATTTTTGTTATCTCCATTTACGTACGAAGCAACTAAATGTGAGTTGATCGTAGCATTATCGGCCGAGGGGGCATTATTTACCAATGGAGATGCAGCTCTTTCCCCTCTTGCGTAGAAATCTCTTTGCATTTGGTTGAACTTGGAATCAGGAGTCAATGGGCCCCCAGTTGAATCAGACGTTCTCATTTTGTGGAGTCCTTGCAATGGAGTAACAGGTTGTTGGGGGGAATTACTAGTTCCAGAATGTTTAGCACCGCCATTTCCAGGCACTATGGTTGACGAAGATGTAGTACTGGATAATATTGAAACTGAAGGCTTCATACCGGTTGCTAGCGATATGCTAGGTCTTGGTACACCGGCCATAAGACCAGCAGGGACATCTTCAAACTCTGCACCTTGCTCATTGAAAATAATTGGAACATTTTCGTAAATATTAGCTGAATGTTGTGCCAAGCGAGGCAAGTGCGAATCATGCGACTTGGCTCTATTGCTGTGTGAAAGGAAATGAGGACGAGATGATGGTCCCACTTTGGAAGAGAATGCAAGAGTTAAGTTTCCCTCTTCTTCTGAATCGTCTTCTTCTTCAGATGAGGAAGAAGACGCAGAAGAACATGATGACGAGCTTGTGTTTGTCATCCCTAGGTTTCTTCTACCGATTGCAGGGGTGGTAGGTTCAATTCCTTCACCGGAATCTTCATTGATATTTTTACCAAGATTAAATTGAATCTTTGGCTTCATCAGCGATCCTAAATCAAATTTCTTGAAACTTTCATTGATTAAGGAAATATTTGGACCATTATTGTTATGCTCATTTTCGCTGTAAAAGTGATCCAGCAATTGTGATGTTGAGCTGGATCTTCTTCTAACTCTTGGATAATGGCCACCTTTGGTTTCAGGGTAATAGTTCTGAGTGAAATAGTCGTCACTGAAACTATCCAAGGATGCAAAACTCTCGTTTAAGGGAAGTGAAATTATGGAGGATGGCCGTTTATCTATATGAATTGGTCCTACTTTAGGATACTTTCCTGTATTTGCTTTCGGAAGTATTACTGGGTCAAAAGAAACTGAATTCTTAGCTGTATTGGGTTGTGAGGAGGCAGGAGATGTAAATGCACTAGACTTTCGCCTTTTCTCATCTTTTTGTTGAATTCCCTTGATTGCATCTAAAGCTGATTGATTTTTTAAGTATAAATCCCCTCCTACATTTCTTTTAGTTTCAACCATTTTGGCTTCCGTAAGTGCTGTGGCAGATCCTCTCCTAGAAGAGTTTGTTGATGAGTGAGATTCGATCATGTCTTGGAGCAAGGTTCTAACTGGAAGTAGTTGCTGATCTTGTTCATAATATATTGGAGTTTTCACTTGTTGTGATAAACTGGAAGGAATATGTGGTGTGTTGTTGGCATTACTACCATAATTCGTCAAGTTTTCTTGCAGATTTTGTTGTGAGAGTTGCATTGTATTCGAATGTGAATGTGGAGGTGTGGATGTTTGAAGGGATTCTGAGACAATGACGGATTTTCTATGATTTAAAATTCCGCCTGGAGTGGGTTCTTCGTCATCAGATGAAATATTTTCGTTTTGAATGAATTTTTTTCTTATATCATCGCTACTGGCACCACCATATTTTAGTGCATTGATAATGCTTTGTCTAATTTTACTGCCAATGCCGACTACTGCATTGTCAATATCATCATTCAGGATATCAAATTGATTGACAATACCGTCCGCTCCAAATCCTGCTCGATATCCAACTCCTTGATTGGAATAAATAAATTCATTCAATTGTTCGACGTCATTTTCCAAATCCATTAAAACAAATGGATGTAATTTAACTTCTGCAATATCAATTCTAGTTTCTTGGTTCTTGTCGAGTAATTTTGATAATAAATCTTTGGCTAATTCAAATTCTTCTGTACTAACATTACCAGGAGAATTGAACGATAATTCATCTTCTGGGAAACGAAGTGGTTCATTTACAATGACATCAAAAAGTTTAAACTCTGAGTCTGCGTTGAAGGGAACTTTACCAAATAGAATACAGTATAATGTGACACCCAATGCCCAAATGTCAATTTTATGATCAATCTTGGGTAATTTAGAATATTTTTCTGATTCATTGGCAGAATCACCATTTCCTTGATCTTGAACATTTGTAGATGAGTTAGATGGCGAATTAGCATTAGTTTGGCACAACTCAGGTGCAAAGAAAGCAGGTGTTCCAGCGGTTTTAGCCAATTCCATTTCATTCACTAGGAATCCTTCATCATTAGTATTTAAGAAGCTGGCGAATGATACACCAAAGTCACTAATCTTGACCACATTGTTGGAACTGACCAACAAATTTGCAGGCTTGATATCTCTGTGAACTATTCCTTGTAAATGGAGATATTCTAAGCCCAAAAGTACATCTCTCAAGATTTTTCTAGATTGTCTGAAGGTAAGATTTGGAGTAAATTGATCCAGCAATAAATTGTCCTCGTCGTCTTCAGCATCTTGTGAAAAGGTAAGTGATGTTTTACGAGTATGGTTTTCGCCACAGCAAGGGATATCTTCAGATTCTTCAATGTGGTTACTTGGTGTTCCTACCTGACTCACAGAATGACTAACATTAAGACTATCGCCTTTCCTCTTCCATTTGATTTCACCCTTTTCCAAATATTCAAGCACTAAGTATATTTTATAACTTTTTATATCGTCGAGGACTTCTTTGAGTCTTACTATGTGTTTGTGGTGACATTTCTTCATAATGGCAATTTCACGCTTTATCTTTAGTTCGTAGCCATTCAATTTTTTGAATTGCTGGTGTTGTTGCTGATTGGGCAGAAGCTGCAGTTGCTGTTGATGCAGCTGTTGTCTCTGGTTTATGCTTTCTTGTCTTTTTTTGAAAGAAGGTCTTTCTTTCTTAGAGTTTCTGTTAACTATTTTAATAGCAACAAGGTCGTTAGTTTCCAAGTCTTGTGCCAACTTGACTTTCCCGTGCTCACCTCTACCGATTTCTCTTAGGATCTCATATGTATTGAGCACTCTACGCTTGGTGGAGGGGTCATATTCCAAGATAACTCTATTGGTTTCCTTTACGGTCTCTTTGTGCTGAGACTCCCGCTGACGCAGGTGAGTGCGTACAAGGTGTGGAGGGAGCAAGTGATGTTCACCAGCGCCACTACCTCTGTCACTTGAATGTGTTCTTGTTCTTACTATATCCGAATTGTTTCCACTTTGGATCAATCCTGAAACCTTACCCAATAGCGCACTGGCCACCGATCCTCGCCTAGAGGGGCTATCCAAATCGTTCAGCGAAGTTAATGTAGGGGTTATCAAGGTATCAGGAGTCGATATCTCCGTAGTAGTTCCCCGTGGGCTCGATATTTTGGGAATTAGGGCCGGCAACTGCTGGCGGTCACCATTATCTACTGTGGAAGACATTTCATGGGTATATATGCGGGTCTTTACTGGTTCTTACGTCGACTTAGTTCCTTTTGGCTTACGAGAAAGAAAAAAAATCTTGAACAAACGAACTGCGAGCAAGAAAATGGAGCGCATAGAGAAAATAATTTTTGCAATGGAAGAAAAAAAAAAAGACGCTAAGATCCAACAGAAAGATGTACGAGAATGCGATTAGGGTGGGTCAGCTACAGAACACGGCGGATGCTGGAGTGGAAAAGAAGGTTATATTAAGAAAAGTTAAGAACAATGAAGGGCAATTGAAGTGTAGATCGCAAAAAGATAGTATGAGTCTGCTCAGAAGGGAAATGGGGATTCTTACGGGTGATCTTCCATTGATCTGGTGTACGTTGTAGTGTCACTAATATGTTTGATTGTGCTGCTCAGTGCTATTTTTCCTCGCATTTTTTTTTTTTTTGGGGGGGCATCAGTGGTGAGGTGTTGCTCAACTTTTTCTTTTTTTTTTTCTTCTTGTTCTTAGGACCTGCGGCAACTTAAATTCTAAATGAGTGTTCAAATCTTAAACTGATACTGATAAGATGAAACGAACAGAAGGATGGCATGTATGTGAAAAGAGCCAAACAGCAAGCACACGTGAAACACTTGCACTCAAACTAACACTTACAACCTTTGAGCCTGTTCCGCTGGTCGGCTTATCAACACCACTCTCCACTTTCTATCTTTACGCTAGTTCCTTATTTTTTAGTTACTCCAGGCTTGTCATGCATATACATCAGGAACATTTAGCTAGTTGTATGCAGCGTGATCATTTTACATGCAAGGAATAAATTTGCTGATTGGCAAAGCCATTTAATGTACGAAGTGCCATATGAGCTCAAGAAAAAGGCTGAAAAGCTGTTCTAGTGCTATTCTTAGGCTGTTCTTAGGCTAATTTAAGACATGGGACTATGCTGAGACATAACTGATGCGATGTGCAGTGAAAAATTGCTAGGAATGTTCACAGGATGGTCAAATTTGCGAGGTGTAGTTCGAATGTAAGTAGTCTGGTAGTGCACAGTGCAGTGTGCAGTTGATGCTGATAACTTTTTCACAGTATGGACACTTACTGTGCAGCACGCCTTTGTAGCAGTGTCAAACTTTGAACTTTCGTTCACTTCTTACAGATTAGGATCACTTGTTTCATTTCGTTTATTCTATCATGGTGTATTTTCAATTTACTAATTTAATGTTATTAACTAAAACTTTAGTCTTTTTTTCTTATGTTTTATATCATTTTCCTTATTTCTTTACTTTTGATTTATCAATTCCTCTGCTCTGGTCGACCTTATTCGGTTAGCCAATGTACATCAGCCCAGGCCCGGCCCGTTCAATCTTCTTTCATTTTTTCATCCTCTCCTTCTTCCTTGCCATCCTTCTTACCAACAGATCTGATACCGTTCAAAAAATTCTCAATTCCTTCGCCTTGATATTCATACTTTAAAGTTTGGGCTAATAAATACCCTGTGCCATTACTCTCTCTCAATTGTTCACTCAACTTTTCAGAGGCCACGCTGAAAAATCCGTTTTTGATCACTTCAGTTATTTCCTCTTTGGTAGGATTGGTATTCTCTGGCAAATAATCAGCATATAGTTCTTTCAATTGGGATTCTGAGAGTCTCGAAAGGTGACTCTCAATCACATCCGGCCTAAGCACATCCGATATCGAATGAATTGGGAATGTTGAAGCAGCGGTCGCAGCATCTTCTGCTGGTGATGGACCAGACGCTCCAGATTGGGAACCAAGTGCAGATCCTGTACTTATCTCTCTTTGAGGTCTTGAGGGTGTTGTGTTAATAACATGACGAACAGGCAATGGAAAATAAAGTCAAAGCAATGACAAGAGAGTGAAATTAAACAAAAAAAGAAAGAACAAGAGACATAAAAATTATTGATAAACTTTTCCTTAAACTTACTTACTGACTCTTATCGTCACTTCCATTTTCATAATCCCCACTCTCTTTTGCAGTTTGTTCCTCATCCTCATCCTCATCTTCGTCATCGTTACTCAGGATCATCTCATTGATGCCATTGATAAGATTTTTATCCTTTTCAGTCAATTTGCTCAATTCTTCCTCGTCGTCAGTACCTTCACCCACATCTTGTAGCCAGTAAAGATGTTTTGCTCCTGATGACAAGAAAGTCAATGCTACAACTCTTCCAGTTGTACAAGATTTTACATGCTTGAAGGTCACATCGCCAGGAATGATCAATAATCGATCAGATTCTATGTTACTTGTACTCGATCTTGGAGACCATTTAAAATTGAAGAACCCTACTTCTTCCTTGGAAGGACGCATCATAATTACTCCCTTGGTAGGCAATGGCGTACATTTGTGTGTAGCTTCATCGTATTGGACTTTACCAGCATGTATTCTCAACATTACTATACTATTTGATATTATAACGATATAAAAGGGATTTGCAATACAACTTACAGGCCTACCTATCTGCTTTCTGATTATTGTGTATTTAGAAGTCGCCACTTTGACTTTCCTAGTTCGAAAAGGTCGTTCGAAGTTCAAAAAGCCTGGCAAATGTGAAAGTGCGACAGCTTAGGGCATGGAGAGAGATTTGGCCATGAAGAATATATAGGTAAGATATGGAGTGTTGTACTTTTTTTTGGCGATTTAGTGAGCTGTTTTCATATCAGTGAACACCACTCTAGAGTGATAAGTCGAAAACTCAGCAATTCAGGCCGATGTCGTGTCTTTTCTTACTCTTAACTCATTTGCCTGGCCGATTTCGTGACCTGCACATACGTACATGGCATTTCCAGATTGATGGATCTTGAGGTAGCGCAGCATCAATGCACCAAAGGTAATACTAACAGGCAGCACAACTGATTTATACTCTTTTACCCGAAGTTGGGGATTCGTGGGGGTTCGATCTCTTGGTTATGGTCTAACTATTAATTCTCTGCTCCTTCTTTGTTTCTTTCTTTCTTTCCACTAATGACCATGTGCTTCGTGTCAACATGTGGAGAGGCTCTCTCTCCTGTCTAATTTTCATTGATCTACTATCCTGCATACATGCGCAACGTTATTTCATGATTTTACACATACGCTAATATTCCCAGTAGCCACTCGTGTCTCTTTTCGATAGATCCTACATAAATATATATCTCTTGATGTCCTTTCCCCCTGATGAAGTTAAAGAGTTGGTTTTGGAAATCTCCCAGATTCTAAAATCAAAAAATCAAACGCTAGCCATATCGGAAGCGGCGTGTGGTGGGCTTTTATCTGCGTACCTTGTGTCTGTCCCTGGAGCACTGGCATTTTACATAGGAGGCAAGTTGGTGTATTCTTTGAAGCAAAGGTTGAAGCTTTCTGGTTGGTCAGACGAAGACATAAGGAATTATATGGGCCCCTCGGAAGCAGTTGCTTTAAAATTGGCAAGAACCACGAAGTATGAATTGGGCTCAACCTATGTGTTATCGGAGACTGGGTTTGCAGGTCCAACCACAGATTTACATTTAGCAAATGATAGTAAAATTTCTGATAAATCTAAAGGCGTAGGAACAGTTTACTTGGGGCTCAGTGGACCAAAGGGTGATGTTTCGTGTTCATACCATACAGACAGTTCAGATAGATCGTACAATATGACACAATTCGCCAAGATGGGGCTACAATTCTTGTTAACAGAATTGCAGAAGGAATAGAATAAAGCAAAGAAGTTAATGCAAATAATTTTTTTTTTTTTCTTCTTCTTTATTTTTTTTTTGAAAACTCGAATAATAATCAGTAATATTTAAGCTAGCATAGAACGCTTAAGAAAAGATAAAGTAAAGGGAAGATGAAAGGTAAAACCTTACCAGAAAAGATTTGAATGGAAGAAAAGAAGAGAAAAGAAAGAAAGAAAAAAGAATTCCTGAAAAATCAACTGGCACAACTAGCTAACTATGAACATGTTCTTCTTTGTTCCAAAGAATAATAATATGTGCATGGTAAAGCGGGCCTCAGAATTGCAATTTGCTAGCACCCCAGTTCCATGCCGCACCTTTCGGCTGGTGTTGTTCCACCTCTCGGCTGGTGTTATTCTCCTATTTGCTAGCTTCCCTTATCAAACAATATGTACATATATAAAATAATTGAATGATGCAAATTTTAATGCAAACAATGCCATGTCTTGGAACACCTTAGACTATCATTCATTAATTTCGTAAGCAGCATCACATTTTCGTTTTTTTAGTGACTTCCATTGCTACTTTGGGCTGTATCAATCAACCGAAACTTCATACAAAGTTACTTACCGAATAGTTATATGCAGTCCGGTGTTTACGGAAATAAAAGAAAGAAAAATAAAAAAAAAATTAAATAAATAAAAAAAAGTGCTGCACTTAAAACACTGAACGACTCTATCTAATAGCTCAGTTGTTTGTTCTAGAGTAGTTACATTCCTTTTAACCTGTACTCAGTGCATCCTTCCCGTAACAGAGCCGCCTAATTGACGCCAATTCTGTAGAAAACAACCTAAGCAACGACATGTCGGGGGACCAGTCAAATACGTCTTACAACGACGTGCAAACGAAGAAGTTGAGAAGGAAGCCTCCCCCACCATTGAACGAAGCTATAAATGATCCCACGATACCTTACAAGCTGCAAAATCAGCAGCAGAATCAACTGCAAGGTATACAGGCGCAATACCAGCAGCAATATAACACATACAACTCTCCAGATCTTCAGAATTCATATACCCATTCCCATCAACAAGGGTTCGCTCCGCAAAGTCCACCATATGTGAACGTGCAACACACACAACACTCCTCTGCTCAACAGATACTACCACAATCTCCTCCACAAAAGAGGTCACAGATGCAAGATTCACGAATACACCAACGCCAGTGGTCCAACGGCTCGATGCAGTTTTCACCACCTTCGAGATCTGGTGCCTCCGGCTCCTCTATGATTGGATCTCCACCTGAATATGGAAATACTTCGTTTGGGTCTGATCGTCCCCAATTTGGTGATGCCAGCATTAAGACGCCGCCTGCTGTTCCAGCAAGGCCGTACAAGCACAGAAGTTTTGACGTGCCGTCACCCACTGCTGCATACTCCTCTGGAATCTCAGGACACCGACTAAACGGGCCCAAAGATTGGCACTCGATGTCAGCGCCTCTGAATCCTTCACAACAAGCAATGCACGTTCCAGATATACTTCAGGATCTCTCTTACATAGAGGATTCGTATAATGAGGATCAGTCCTACAACTCTATAGATCCACGACCAATTGGCCCTAAGGTCTTGGCAGATTACGATATCTCAAGCGACTCTATGAATGGGGCTAATACATCTGTTCCCTACCCATTGACAGATGTGACAGATGCTGAGTATGGGATTTCAAAAGATGAGTATAATTTCGAAGGCGGTAACTCTTCTTCTGCTTTTAATACCCCTACCCACCAAAGTATACAATACCATACAACAACTCCCACAAAGATCCCGCCATTGATTGATACGGGGTCATTAAAGAAAATCCAGAAACCTGTTCCTCCACCTCCCCCCCCTGCACTTTCAAAATATGGCCAAAACAATGAATTGAGTACTCCTCTATCACCTGGTTCTTCATTTGGGGGTAATAGAAATGCCAGATCTCCCAACAGGAGGTCGTCATATATTTCCAATTCCTCTCCGACCAGATCGTCGCCTACAAACCGAAATTATATCAACTCTGTATACTCTGACAGGCTATATGGAACAAACAGCAGATCTCCTTCGCCGAAGAAAAGTATCAAATATGAAAGGTCTCCTTCGTTGATGTATAAGGAGGATCATTGGGGCGTAAGAGGTCTGGATGTAGATGAATACGGTGATAGTATCAACGAAAATTATAGTACAAACCACCGCTACTCCTACGACTCTACAAATGGCTTTTATGATATGGACGATGATGATGTATTGGAGAATGAATTCTATCCAATTCGAGATGACAGCATTAAATCTTCCACGACTTCCAACTACCAATATTTTGACGATGGCATTTCGGGAGAGTCTCAGGGAACTGAAAATGTATTCGATTATTCTATTTTACCAGAATTACCTACTTCTGCAACCAGTGAAAATATATCCCAACCTTCTTCTCCCGGTAAAAGAACTGCTTTGCATTCTGCCTTGTCTTTTTACAATAAAAATCATCATTTAGTTTCTAGTGAATCTGCTTCTCCGGTATCCGTTGATAGAAAAAGATTAGACTTCGATCTACCACCCGTACCTTTGGATTTGCCTCAGTTACCCTTCACCTCCTCATTATTGAAGAACCAGCACTTCCAATCGTGTTCTAAAATATGGTCTATGAGCGAGATCTTGAATTGGTGCTTGAAGTTAGGTACTTGGTCTCATGATCTGTTCATTTCAAAGAAAGAATTTAAAAATACCTTAAGCAAGCTATTGGTATTCCACAGAAGTGATATACCTTTGGATGTCATAACCAGGAACGTCGATCACATTATGAATATTCTCCTCAAGGAAGGTGGAATTGATTACAAGGAAGAAGTAGACCTCGAAGAAATAAAGGTAACAAATGGCGAGCAAGAGTTAAAACCTAACCAGAAAGCTAAGAGCAGGATAAGAGTGGTATTCCATTCAGTTTATGTATCAGGAGTTCTTACAGAATTGCTTGAATGCTATTCACACGATAAAGAGCACTCCCGCATAACTAGTGCTGAACCCACTGAAGTCTTACGTTGTTTTTCTTCAAGGTGCTATCTCAATCAAGTAATTGAACATCAGCTTCTTTGGAAAAACACAAATATAAATGAGATTATTTTAGCTGGAGACTGGGCAACTCACTGGAAGTTGACGGCAGAGGATATAGGTAGATTTGGAAAGAAAATCGTTGAATCTCAATCTAACATTTTTGACTTACTTAGACTTGAGCAAAATTTTATACAGAGGGGGAAATGCTATGTCAACGTCGTTGGACCAGAATTTATCAAAGTATCTATCCTGATTATGGGTGGCAAGAGTTCAAATATAATCTCAATGAACAATTTTAGAGATGATGTGATCAAGCCAGGCTCAGAGTTAGTTCAAATTCATGAGAAGTCTCTTTTTGAACCATTATTGAAAATCTTGGTATCTGAAGGGAAGTTTGTTAAGTCAATAGTAGATATAGCAGATCTTTACTACAATTGGACACAGGATGTCAGACCCTCATTCTTAAAATACATTAGTACTTTACCAATGATAGATGAGCTATTTCATAAAGAACAGATTAAGAACTGGGCTAATAACGAAGTTAGAAACCTTCCGGGAGTGAAGGAACTAGGAGTCAACGGTGAGATTTTATTAAAAGGTACCTTTAATTCTAGATTATTTCTGTTACCTTTGCAATTAAGTGAAATTAGAAAGCTGTATGACCCTGAAGAAGAGGAATACATCCTGTTGACTAGAGCATTAGAAGGAGTTAAAAAATTAGCCTCTAGAGTGAATGAAATGAAAAGGCATGCAGATACAGTTTTTGCCTTGAAAAGGATCAATAAGCAATTGCTCTGGAAGCAAAATATACCACTAACAAATCTCAATTTAGGACTGGATAATAGAAAATTATTCTTTAGAGGAGATTTAATTAGAAAGGGAGACTTGAAAATTACGCTGTCAATTAATCATGTCATTTTACTTGACAACTTCTTATTAATTACTGAAAAGGTGAAAAGTAGTAGCAGGCATGGTTATTCGGGCTACAGGGTTATTGAAAACCCTATAGCTGTTGAATTATTACTAGTGGAGATAAAAGATGTAGACCTGGAAGTATCAGAAGCAGTTGCGAAGAGTTCCAACGATGCAAATATATCTCCTAACATAACCGAAAATTCGACTTCTGATATGATAAATACCAATAGCAGTGGAGGAGAAGACCCAAATGAAGATTCAACATATTCATTCAAAATACGTTATGCTGGGCGTGGTCAAAAGAATGCATTTATTTTCTCCACCAAGTCAGAAAGAGAAAGGATCCTATGGATATCTACTTTAATTCGTGCAAGAAGTAATCTTTGCAAGAGATTATCGCGCACGGAAGCATTTACTTTGAAATCTATTGGAAAGACGAGTTTTGCTTATGAGCCTAATAATAGAGTCATAAAGTTACAGGTTTGTGCTCCCCATGATCCTATTGAACCAGCTTCTGAGGTAGCGTATCAGACGTTTAAAAAGTTAAATATTAGAGATATTTATAGCTTTAACAACGCAAAATACCATTTAATATTTGGGAAAGTGACAAATATGTTATCCTTTGATTACAAGGGTAACAGATTCTTTTTGGCAGGCTTATCTCTGGGAGTTTATTGTTCTAATGTCCAAATGGGTTGGAAAAAGGTTATTAATGGTCCTGACATCAGTAAATTATCAGTCAATACGGAATCAAATTTGGTCGTGATATTGGGTAATAAAAATCTTAGATACTATTTACTTGATGTGTTAATTGATGTTTACTTCGAAAAAAGGGAAAAAATGACTAGTGTTTCGTTATCGAATGAACCGGTAACATTTTTCGAAATGGGAGTACACAGAAACATCACCATGTTGTTTTATGCTAAGAAGAAGACAAACTCTACTCACACTAATTTCAAGGTATTAATTCCCGAAACCGATAACGATGGCGTTTTCAATTCCTTCAAAGTAGCGAAGAAGTTTTATGTGCAAGCGGATTGCTATGGAATAGCGTTGTTCAATACTTCTTTTGCTGTCTTCACAAATAAGGGATTTGAAATTTTGGAGTTAGATAAATTATTACCAAGATCAATTCCTGAAATACCACCCAGTGTAGAGGTTGGAGGTAGCAAGAAGCATCAAAATGCGTTGTCGCGTAGTACAACCAACAGCACAACCGCATCAAATGGTTCGATGGCAAGCAGTGGTAGTAGTAACTCATCTAATTTTCATCCTGGAATTGAAAGCATCCGAAGAGCTGTTCATTCTGGTAGCAGTGTTAAACCAATGGGGATGTACAAGCTCGCAAATAATACCGAGTTTCTTCTTGTATACAATGACTGTGCTATTTTCACCAATAAGCATGGTAAATTGTCCAGATTTCAAATGCTAACGTTTGCCTTCAAGGCTAAGAAGATTACATTTTTGAAAAACTACCTTTTCGTTTGTTGCGAAGAGTGTTTGGAAATTTGGTCTATTAGTGATTTCACAAACGGTACTAATAAACTCATCCAAGTCATAGTTGGAAAAGATGTTTCTATGATAAATGGTTCAGGAGATCAGATATATGTAACGATGGCTAATCCAAAGGTAATTGGGTTGCAACTAGTTTTCCAGCTAGAAGAAAAATCAGGTGAGCTTACTACGGCTTGAAGAATAGGAAATTAAGAAGATGAAAATGAACATGAAAGAAGAAAATAAGAAAGATAAAAAAAAAGAAAAAAATGGAATGGAATGTAATGAAATATAATGCAACTAACGATGTAACTTTAACTAAAACAAGATTTGGTGATTGCAATTTTGCAAGATGATTTAATGAGATAGTATTATATTTAATAGACGAACACTTAATTAAACAAAAACAACTTTGATCTCTACATTTCTAGAAGAATATGGTTTCGGTTTCGGCTTCGGCGCCGTTATGGAAACAAACATTACTAATATGAGATGTACACCGTTAAGCTCTTCCCGTAAGTTAAGTTGATGCGCAGCATTCGAAATACCGAAATCACAATCTTCACAGGTTAATCTTTTTTCCGCGCCATTGCTCGCAACCCCGAGGTTGATGAGATTTCATTTTGTGGGGTATAGGAAAGATACAATTTTTCAAGCCAGAGGTACTGGAGAGATTGCAAGTTGCAGAGCTCTAGACCACTCACAATTGAGAAACAAGGCTCTCTAAGACTCTTGGAATGTGCCTTAGAATGTATCTTAGAATGTGCTCAACATTGGTGTAGACCAACGGTAACTTTTCGCATCTCGCTCTTTACAGTCCTACCTCTGATTCTTGTATCTATGTTTAATCCCCTCCTCTATGAGATCCGTTTCATCTGCGGAAATCACACCGATGGCTTCGCCTAGAAAGAGAGAATTTGGCCATAACTTTCCGGTTCAATTTTCCAACCTAGCCAACCTTATTTTTTCTTTGGAGTATTTTTGCACTCTATCTGAATATATATTTGCCGATCTCGATTGTTCTCCATATATAAATAACTCGATATCCTGCAACGAGGAACTAAGAAAAAGCAAATAAAAAAGTGAAAATATTATTATTACAGTTATATATAAGAAAATAATATCTTGAATTAAAAATGGTCGATTACAACGTAAATGGAAAAGTTGCTCTCATCACTGGTGGTACTAGAGGTTTAGGTTTGGACATTGCTGAAACTTATGTTCTTAACGGAATTAAGACTGTCATTATCACATCTCGTAAAGCCAAGGCTTGCGAAGAATCGAAGGCATATTTAGAAAAAGTAGCTAAAGACAACGGTAAGAACGTAGAAGTTATCTCTATCCCTGCAGACATTTCCAAGGACTCCGAATTAGCTAAATTTGTGTCTACCGTTTTATCAAAAATTGATCAGTTAAACATTTTAGTTGCTAACGCTGGTGCTACCTGGGGTGCACCTTTGGAAGAACATCCTATCAGTGCTGTCAGAAAGGTTTTGGACTTAAACATAACTTCCGTTTTCGCTTGTGTTCAAGCTTTCACTCCACTTTTAGAAAAATCTGCTACTTTTGAAGACCCATCCAGAGTTTTAATAACTTCATCAGTTGCTTCAATGGTTGCGCAGGACGGTGCTGGAACCTTTGGTTACATTGCTTCCAAGGCCGGTGTAACTCACATGGGTAAAAACTTAGCCATCAGTTTGGGACCAAGAAATATCAATGTCAACTCGTTGTCTCCAGGGTTCTTCCCAACAAAGATGTCGAATGGATTAATTGATATTTTCGGTGAAGTTTTAACTGAATCCAACCCTAAGAGAAGATTGGGAAGAAAGGCAGATATTCAAGCTGCTGCACTTTTCCTCTCAGCTCAACAATCCAACTACATTAACGGTATTAATTTGCCAATTGATGGAGGTGCTAATTTGGTTGGAATGCCATCCAAGTTGTAAGAACTTTGAACAATGGAAACTAGATTGGCTGTGGTTTCTGTAGTATATGGTATAGTAACACTACTTTAAACTAAAGTATATCAGAATTTCTATTATTGATATTTATATATGAAGCAAAACAAATTAGCCAGAAAGAGAAAATTGAAGACCTTTTTTTCACAGGAAGTAGCTAGTTGCAGTTTGAGCATGTATAGAGAGAATTTGAACGCTATCTCAACAATATCACCCCTGGGAATGTAGTTCTTTAGCTTCAATCTATGTAACATGGAGTTGTACTGGAACAGTTTCTGTGGTCCTGCATATTGTCACAGTAATATTTTTTCTATTTTTTTTTTTTCTTTTTTTTTTTTGACGTGTGACGTCTGAGAAAAACGACAGTCTCACTCTGAAAATGCCAGATGAAACTCAATAGACGTCCATGGATCACACCTGTTGTCTACATCTAACAGATAAGCCCACTAATTCAGACTCAAATTAAATAGCTTTGCAGTCTTGTCTTCCATTCGGATTACTGGCTTGATTTTTACTCACATTTATTGGTCTATTTTTCTTTTGCAATACATCACTATGGGTGCAGCATCTTCTAAGATAATAGACTCTCTCATGGAGGGCACCAATTTCGATAGAGAAGAAATCGACAGACTCCGTAAAAGATTTATGAAATTAGATAAGGATGGTTCTGGTACTATCGACAAGAATGAATTTTTGGCAATTCCAGGGATTTCTTCTAATCCATTGGCTTCAAGATTGATGGACGTATTCGATGAAGATGGCAGTGGAACCATTGACTTCCAGGAATTCATTGGAGGATTGCTGGCATTTAGTGGTAAGACTTCACATTTGGAAAAATTGAATTTTGCGTTCAAAATTTATGATATTGATAGGGATGGGTTTATAGGTAATGGTGAATTGTTCATTGTTTTGAAGATGATGGTAGGGAAGAATTTGGAGGATGAGCAGCTTCAACAGATTGTAGATAAAACCATTATGGAAGCGGATGAGGATGGTGATGGCAGGTTGGATTTTGAAGAATTTAAAAACGCGATAGATAGTTCTAAGGTTGCAAATGCCTTAACATTGAATATTTTTTAAAGGTAGAAGCAAATGGTATACGTATGTGGAGCTCTTTGGAGACTTTTGAATGCTTGAGGAGAGACGAAGGGAGTGAAAAATTAATGAAACAATAACACGGAAATTATGGGCCAGGTAAAGCTGCTAGCAATAAGCTTACCTCAATGAATCGAAACGTTGAATAAGTTAAAGTATATATACTTGGAATACAAAGAACAAATGAAAACAAAGAAGAGAATACTATGAAAGTAGAGAAACAAACATCAATACACTCTGATGGTGACTGGTGTGTGAAAAATACATGTAGGAGAGCTGTCTATCGTGCATTCATTTCTATGCAGACTACCGGACATCAAGCGAGTTCACTCGCTACCTAAGCATACGCTGTATGAGCCTCAAATTTGAGATACTTTCAATTCCACCTTCACCTTGTAAAGCAAAACCTAAGCAGGTAATAAAATGTCAGTTTCTATCTTATTTCTCTTTCTTCTGGCATCTAATTGCTGCCCTATGTAGGCCCTAGCCGTTATCAGTGATCATCAAAATAAATTTGTTGTCGTGTGCAGGAAAGATGCACCTCTATCTGTGTGGCAAGCGAAACACCGTTATCTGGGGAATGATTGTTCCTAGATCCTTTCTATATCTAAGGTATAGGCACTTTCAACAATTAAATATATATATATATATTCACCCATTAGCAAGTACCTACATGCATATATGTCTCAAGAATATCAAAACAAAGTATTTGAGTCTATCAATCTAAACAACGAGCATGGCGAAGATGGGGACGATGATGACGAGTTGATTTTAAATCACACGCAGCAGCATAAACATAGCGGAGCGAAAGGAGGTACTAAATCGACCTTCAGATATGTACCAGGATCCGTTTCAGCTACTTCGGATGAGGAAGACGAACCAGATCCCATGGAATATTTGTCGACAGAGCCGAAAAAGAGCCAACCATCACATGAACATACCAACGCATTCGTACTGCACAATCTGGGATCCTCCTCTGGAACAACATCTACACCAACTGGGCTAACCCCTACAGAAAGTGCATTTGTGGAGCAGCAGCCCCATCAAAGAATCATTGACAGAGTCCCAAATGTAGAAGAGGATGTACTTTTTCTGAACCCATCTGTAATATCTAGCGATGATCATCGCCAACCACATAATACCCACCAGCGAAAATCTGATGAATACTCATTGAAGGAATCGAGTCCCAGAGAAAGCTCTGCACGCTCCTCAAATGTGTTTCAGTTTGCAAGGAAAGGTCCTCATTCAGACAGTTCTAATTCTGTATCCTTGTCTACTTCTTCATCGTCAAGTAGCTCGCCCATTGAGTACGTTCTAAACCGTGCCAAATTTCTCCAAAATGAGCTTCAAAAGAACTTATCCCTTCAGTCTAAAATGCTTGAGAGTGGGGATTCGAGACTTTCCAAACTCCGTCAAATGATAGCGCAGAATTTTGATCAAATTGCTGAAAATAATGAAGCATTGACAGAGCTATATTCTAAAGATCTTGATAATACTCGCAGACTGTACGAACAATTTCAAAAATGGGAAATCAGAAGGGATAAATTGCTTTCTAAGATAAAACTGGTAAAGAATCCTGAAAATAATAAGTACGGTAAGAAATTGGCTTCATTGGCTGATGAATCAAAGGATATAGATAGTCAAATTGTAGACTTGGAACTGAAGCTACAACAATTGAGAGAAAAGAAAGTTTTAGTTAACCAGGAAATCGAACTCACCAGTTCAGTTTTGGAAAGCAGAACGTCACAGTTTGTTGAAAGCTTTAAAAATTTGGAGATTCAGGGAATAGCAGCCATTCAATTAATACTAGACCAGAATGGTGTTTCCAGAGTAGAGCAGGAGAATACAGTAAGGAAAATACCTGTTGACGTGACCTTTGGAGGAAGATATAGAAAAGATCAAGTAGACGAATCCGAACCAGTCCAAGATTCTGTGGTGCCTGCAAATTTTTCTCCTGCTCCCAAAAAACCTTCCAATATGACAATTCAACCCTATGTAATACCTGAGACGGCTCTGGAAAATGTCATTACTCCAACACTTGCTAATAGATTAGTATCACCTGTACCCACACCACGAAGCTCGGGCTCATCTCCACACCCGTTAACGAATCCACCGAGCAACAGCTCAAGTCCCTTTTCACCATTCGAAAAAGGGTATGCAAAGGGCACCAACTTATCTCATAATGCGAAAGAGAGGCTATCTACATTTGTTTCCGATATACTAATTCCCACTTTCAATACTACACTTACCTCCTACAAAAATAATTATGCATCTGCTTCTTCAAACTTGGCTCATGAGCCTTCCCTTGATGATGAAAATAATACAATTCGAGAAATGATTGATTTGGAACCTATCCTTGGCCTTTTGAAGTATAAAATTAGTGCTCTTCAGGACCTAATTCAAAAGAATTTGCTATTGTCTACAAACTATCATGAATATGGAATAATTTGGAAGGATGTCATTGACGTGATTAATCAAATGGAGAGCAAATTATTCAATCATATTTCCACATCTAAAGTTCAAGGTAATGAGATGGATGCAGATAAATTGGTCTTCAATATGTTAAGTGCATGCCTTGATAAGATAAGAACAAGATTCGAAGTTCAAGTTCAGTCATCTAGGTTTTCTCAAGGTGAGAAACGTAATCCTCTTTTTGCCGTACTTTTAAACGAAATAAGAGCAGTGGTTTCTGCTATAGCCATGGTGTCGAAGGATAATAGCTATTTGGATATTATTGGTGAATTAGAAGGGTTGACCGGTGAAAGTAAAGATAGGATCCTGGAGTCTCCTAAAAATGGTAGGAATACCAGCTCTCCAATTCCAACTGGCTTCATGAATACAGTTATTGATCATAGGATGAGAGCTGAAATAGAACTTTCAAGAAATAAAGAGCAAAATGTACAACCGTCCCAGATACTCCAAGTGAAAAAGGATAAGTTTATATGATGCTAATATTTATTATATATGTACTATGCTATAACTTTTTAATGTCGTAATAAAAATTCCATGTAGGACTAATATGCAATTGTAATTATGGTTGAGGGCGCCTCTTCTTCTTCCGGTTGGATTGCAAAAATATAGAGGGCTCCTGTCTTTTTCTGGGCGGAAGTGTGCCCGAATTAGTAGGATTAGTGCTACTTGGAGGAGCAGATGGCTTTACTGGTAAGTTAGGGGATGCCTTTTGAATAACTCCAGAATTTGAAGGTTTTGGGTCAAGTACCGTTGTCGACAAGGATTTAGCATTTTCATTCGTGTGAACTACTTTAATTTTATGATTTCTGGACAGTTTGACTGTATTTAAATCTGTTGAAGGCTCAAAGATGTTTGACTTCGTAGGTTGAATTTTATTTTCCCTATTTTGGTTAACTTTTTGGGGTGGAAGTTCGCCCTTGCTGGACGGCTGAATTGAATTGGAGTTCAGCAATTGATTGGTTGACGAATTTCTTGGTTCATCTTCCACTAACTCATCTTGGGTTGGTCCACTTGAATCCTTTCTTATTTGCTTAGCAAATTTAGGAATTGTTCCATTGCCTAGATTTTTCATAAATCCAGGATAGGCAGTCGTAACTTGGCTTCTGTCTTCGGCATTCTTAATAAGATGGTTCCAAACATTATTTCGCATCAACGACTCCTTGTTCCCGAGGATCCATAGAGATGTCCTTGCTCTTGTCAATGCAACATTCATTCTTCGAACATCACTTAAAAATCCAACATTACCAGTCGAGCTGGCCCTAACACATGACATGATAATAATTTCCTTTTCTTGTCCTTGATATCCATCAACTGTGTTGAAATCAATTTCATTTAGGATTCCAATTCCGTATTTATTTCTGAATAGATTCTTCAACGTTCTAATTTGTTCTTTGTAAGGGGATATGACACCAATTCTCCCCCCAAATGATTTCTGAGGAAGCATCTGCATCAACTTTTCCACCATCTCTAGAACTATTTGGGCCTCTGATTGATTAAATAAAGATTTAGATTGCGAATTCTGTTGGTGTCTACCAACTACATCGAAGAATCTGTATGGAGAAAGAGGAAATACCTTATGCCATTCTCTAGAATTTTTGACATCCATTGCGGGCCCATCGTGCAATTTACCACCATAGAATTCTCGACTTGGGAATAATGAAATATCAGGATGCATACGATACTGTACGTCCAACAAATAAACGGAGTTAGGATGAAGCTTTTGCATTCTTACAAATAAAGATTGCTCATAATTTAAGGAGGCAGCCTTCTGTGATAAAACGGTAGGAGGCAATTGATTAGGATCACCAACCATGATGCACTTTTTACATCCATACCTCAATGGGATAATTGCTGATAATTCAACACATTGACAAGCTTCATCTATAATTACCTGATCGAACTTAATAGATAGGGCTGCAAGGAAATCATGAGCAGATCCTGACAAAGTTGAGCAAATAATTTGTGCTTTATTCAAAATTCTTGCCTGGATCTGTCTCCTTTCAATTTCTCTAGTACGGTACGCAATTGATACACGTTCTCTTTGTTCATCCAATTTCTTTCCTAACTCATTTCTCCTCTTATTAACGTCTCGCATTTGTTCCTCTAGTTTCAGTATCTCATCTGGTTTCAAGTCTGGGCTACTCAATCTCTCCCTTAACATATTTCTTTCAGAAATGCATTTTGTGTGCTCTTCACGAATTTTTGGATCATTTGAGGTAGTACTTTCCTGTTGTTTTGCTTGCAATTCTTTATCGACTAATTCTTCCAATGTAAGGTCTCTCACAGATGCATTAATAGCATCACTCCTACCCATTCTGACTACTCTTGGAGAAATGGATTCACCTTTATGATTCTGAACTCCACTCCTTAAACGAAGTACAAGCTCATCAACTGCAGCATTTGATGGAGCACAAACTAAAATCTTTGGGCCAGTTCCTTCTCCCTTCGAATTTTCTTCCTTTTCAATTCTAATTGCACCATCGTTTTCTCCTTTACTTAAATAATAGCCTACTATTCCCAAAATCGTCTTCGTCTTACCTGTACCTGGTGGACCTTGGATCAAAGAAAATCCTTCCCTTCCATATGTTCCTATGATGGCCCTAGCTTGCGATTTATTCACGCCGTAAACCTTTTCCATTTCAAGTGATTCTTTCTCGCTAACTTCAATAGGCTCTTCAGGCTTTGCTTGAAATATTCTATCAGCCAAATCATAATATTCTACTCCTTTCAATGAAGAATACTCTCTTTCGATTGTTATCATTTGCATAACCTTCATTCCAGTTACCACACTTTTGGGAGTTAAAACACCCATCATTGAACCTTGCGGGTAAACTCGGATTGTTATGTCGGCAAAATCAATATTTGCCAGTTTAATTTCTCTTACCTTAGCTAAGCAAGTGATACTAGACTGATTCTTAAGATATGCAATCGCGCCCTTGGCAGTATTAGTTCCTTCTTGTCCTTCCAAGTGGCCCAAAACTAACAAATCGGAGTCTCCAATTTTTCTTTCTTGGAGGACATCCTTTCTAATGGAAGCATAAACATCAAAGAAACCATCACACAGTGTTCTGCTCCCAATGGAAAGTTCAAAGGGTATCTCGTTACCGGTTTGTTTCGTCGACTGAATTCCTTGCCAGCATTCGAGCATTAATAAAGGCTCGGTTGTCTTGATATAATCCTTGGCATCTGCATAAGTATCTTTTGTCGCCCGATAAAAGTCAGTTTCTTTGGTAGGAAATTCACTAATAGAATTATAATTCCATTTCAAAATAGTTAAATAGAGAGGTTTCAAATTAACGTTTAATCTCATTCTCATTCTTTCCTCTTCCTTGCGCTTATCGCTTAATTGCTTACTTAAACTTGAGGCATGTTTTGATAATATTGGGCGACCTGATAAGTCAACTTCAACTACCTTTGCTTTTTTTCTCTTTTCTACGAATAAATCTGAAAAGTCTACTCCATTTCCTTGACTCTCTTCGTCCTCTTCTTCCGAAGAGTCTGAATCAGAAGACTTTTTTGCTTTTTTGAGCGTATTTAAGGACCTTCCTACTACTGTAGCACCCTTAGAATTAAATCCCGCTGGTCTTGGGAGTGCGGGTGCTACTGTCGGCAGTAATGTATTAGCTCTATTGGCAGTCTCACCTGGTTTTCTAGTCTGTTGCAATGATTTTCTTATGGATTCAATTGAATTTGATTGAAAGTTTTTAGATTGTGTCGCCGGTGCAAGAATAGGCTCTTTTGTGACAACACCAAATCGTCCTAGAGTTTGCTGTCTAGGCTGCTTCAAGTGAGATTGATATTTATAGATTGCACCCTCTTGTTGAATTGGTGTCTTTTGATTTGTCAATGAAGGAGTGTCTGTTGCGATGGTACTCGCTGCCTTCGACTTTTGCCTTTGCTCTTGAACTTCCCATATAATTTCATCCACCAATCCGTCATCATATTCTCTTGCTTTGGCTAATATTTGTAACCTTTGGATTTCGGAAAGTTTATTGTTAAATTTCTTAGCTTTAGCACCATATTTCGTAAAGTTGATCAAAAAATCTTTATTTACTGAAAATTTCAGCTCCAGTGATAAATCCAACGCTTTAAACACAAGATCAACACACGAATTCAACAAGGACACATCTCCTAATCTTAGCCAAACAATTACATACTGCATTGCATCCATAAAATCGGAAGCAAGACTTTCCTCTTTGACCAATTCTGAAATCATTGAATATGAATCTAACAATCTTCTACTCAAGTCAAGTGTGTCTCGAGTAAATTCTATAAGCATTTCGATGTGATATTGATTTGCCCACACCAAAGCCCCCTTATAGATCATAGTAAGAAATTTCCAGGAATACTTCCAGAATAAGTTAAATTCTTCAATTCCCAAGTCTCCTTTATAGGAGATTAAAACTCCATATAAAGGATCCGTTAAAGCATCCATAACATCCATCAATATTCTGACTGCCTTAGGAGATGGTTCAAATGCTTCTAGTGTAGTCAAAGTTGACAAACTGCAATTTATAGCATTCAAAGTGTATTTCAAATTGACTCGTTTAAATAATGAGCGCATAGATTCCAATCTACCTCCATCTTCTTCAAAGACGTGATACAAAATATCTACAGCAGCTTGGTTTGTCTGAGGTGAAAAAATACAAGACCAATAGCTTTCGGAAAGTTCACTATAAGCATCGTCCAGAAAGAGACCCTGTTCCACAATCAGAGGCTCCATTAAGATAGTTTTGTCTAACCATTTGCCCACAAATTCTAATATACTATCAACATTCTTGTTATGCTGAATAAGAGCAGTTCCTAGCTGTTTATCTATAGTTTCGTTGTTTTTCTTTGCCTCAAATCTGATTATAGTTCTAACAAACTTAAATGCCTCTATCACACCCACAAGAATATTTATATCACGATTGTCTAATTTTAATAGCTCAATCCAAAGTAAGGGGAATGTATCAAATGATCTTGGTATTGTCCCACTTCGCAAAAGATTCGAATGGTGACCCAAACTCGATATGTCGTAGTTGATTGAAGAGCAAATAAGTTGCATTGCCGCTGAGAACCGTGGGTAGCAGTTGTTGACAATGATTCTTGACATATTGTCAATTGCTGCTCTGCAATCTCTTCTCAATAGAGTGTCAGATGTATAGCTCGCAGTTCCAATTGTTGGAGGATGCTTTCCCTTGATACATTGCAAGAGCAATTCGCATCCCAAATTACAAGCAATTTCATTGTTAAATCCCTTTTGTTGCACCAAAAATTGCCCCAATCTAACTCCAGCACTTTGATGTTGAGGTCCATATAATGACTTCATAAATGGTTCTATCCATAAAAGTATATCATCATTTCTGTACGCCGAGTTGCTTTGCATAAAGCTCATTAAATTTGGATTCAGCAAAATCGTATCTATAATGTTATTGAAAGTGTAATAAGGAGCAAATGACCAAAATTCTGTACCTAGTCTAGTTAAATACACATGGAACGCCTTAAATAATACTGGTAGAGGTTCATTCAAACCTGCCATTATGTGGTTCAATAAAACTCTAACTAGAGGATAGAGCCTTAGGTTCTGGTGAATAGAAGCTAGCTCGAGATCTTGAGGTGAGTTAAAGTCCAGAATTAGCAACTGGTTACTGATCATATTCTCCAAGAGGAGAAAATTGTCCCAAAATTTTATGCAACTTTCGTTACTGAAATGTTTTGCATTCTGGATTTGATAGAACCAAATTTTAAACTCTTCCAAGAATGGAGGTATAGTCACAGTCTCTTGATTGTCCGAATGAAGCTTTGGTATCGTAGCGCATATCAGATTTGCCCAGTTCACCTCTTCTGTTGTACCTTGAAAGAGGAAATACACTATACCAGCAACTAGCAGCGATGGTTGTGGAAGAGCAATTTTGCTTGCAAAGATATTGGATATGCACTTCTTTACTTCAAGATTTATTCTCATTATATTTGGATTTAAAATACATGACATCAAGGCAAATTGAACGTCCGTATCTACTTCGGAATGATTGCTGCTAACATCTTCATGTTTCTTATTTGTCACATACGGAATTAAAACTTTAGCAGCAGAGTCAGCTTCCCAAGTGTTAATGATATTCATAAACTTATCCACTTGTACAACGGGAATTTTTTGTTCAAATAAAAGTCTATTTCTTAATATTACCTTTAGCTTGTGATATTCAAGAGTACATAGTTCACAGTTATGACAGTTTTCCTCTATCTTCTCTCTAATCCATATCTGTGGATCATTTAGAGGAAATGAAAATACTATCATAAGGTGCAACACAACAGGTGACATATACTTATCACAGAACCAATGTCTACTAGGGGTATTCCTTTTTACGTACTCGAATGTATTTCGAAATACTCTTTCCTGAATCTGGCCATCTTTAGCATGAGCAAAGGACTCTTGGATTTCTTCTAAGATAGATTCAAATCCAAGTGGTGCTTCATCTCCATCATCTTTGACTGTAGAGGGAAGAGCGGTATCGGGCATAATAAATGAAAGAAAATTTGGATAAATCCTAAGTACTAATTATTCGTTCTACAGTAAACTATCTCGATATATCTTTACTAAAAAATCACCACGTTGTTTTGTGGAACTGGTATTGGATCAATGGTGGGTGGTGGGTCTGTGTCGCTTTTCCTTTTACTACTTGGATCACGAGTACTATCTCCTTTTTTTTCTTTTTTTTCTTATTAAGTATTGATAGGTACTTACTATAGTTGGTAACCTATTAATTTTCTTAGTCCATAGACCTTTTCCTATCGATACCCTCTAGTTTTCGAAGACTTAAAAGAGGTGAAAGACATTGACTTTCACTACTGGTTTCAGATTTTTTCATATCGTTTTTTATATGCAGAACAAGTCAACAAGCGAGATGAGAAAGAAGCGTACGCGTTCTCTCTTCTCTCTGACGTTGATGTGATTTGCACCCATTGCTTATTTTCCAAGAAGTGTTCAAAAATTCTTACTTGCGGACCTCTTAAAGACCATTTTAAATATATGTATCTGATGTATTCTAAAATCTATAAATTTTCCCTTCGTATCGATTATTTCAGATCCAAACTTCCCCGGTAGAGAAGCCCTATTATTAAAACACGGGGACATCAAGCCTGTAACTCTTCCCCTTAAAGCAAGGTAATATCAATGTCTAATTCATTTGCCACATACATCCAATCTGCCCCAGTTTCCCAACATCTTTCCATAATCTCCAAACTTTTCTTTGCATTTGTGAGTCCCATTTCAGCTAATGTTGTGAACCTTGCGTGAAATAATTGTTGCATAGATATATTAGTAGATTCACAAGCAGCACAAAATGTGCAAAAGATGGAGCAAATCTCTGCTGGAGATTTAGGCTCGATGCTTAGTTGTAATATGTCACCAATTTCTTCACATAAATCTTGAATAAGACTAGATTTTCTTTCCACCATAAGTACCCTTCTATACAAATTTAATAATCCCATATTGAAAAAGATTTTATTTGTACTCCTCAAGATAGAATCCTTACGTAAAATGTTTGTTGTATCTGCTGGTGCGCAGCGAGGACCCTCCAAACGTTGCTTTGTAATATTCGCTTTCCGTATTACTCTTTCTAACCTTTCTTGTCTTTTATTTTCTCCTGTAGCGAATGCAGAACTCAAGCTTTCCTTTGTCTCTAATGCTCTGGATATCAATGAAACTGGTAACATATTCGACCTTGAGCCTGACGTTAATAGATACTGATTGGTTTGTCTAATGAGTAGAGCAACATCTGCCAAAAGGGGTAAAAATATAAGATCAAATCCTAATAAACGATCAATATGTCCCGATTTGTATCCCTCTATTTGCTCACCGTTATTATTATGATATAAATCTTCACCTTGCTTATGTGAAAGATAATTTTCTGAGTGTTTAGTTGCTGATATCGCCCCAATGACATCAACATAGGCAAACCATCTCATAAGGAAATAAGCGACATCAGATTCTGAAGATGTATCATCATCGTCATCCACTAATGTATCGTTATACATCGAAGATATTGTTGAACCAGGTGAGAAATATGAGTCTTCTGTCACAGCAACTTTAGATGATGTAGATCCGCCTACAATGTCCTTGACTTCATTGGCTTTATCAGTTACAGAATCAGAATCTTTATTCAAACTCAGATTCACATTTTCATCCTCCAATTTTATTTCCTGTTCATTCTTAACCTCCTTGAACTTCTTGTTCTTGGAAATCTTTAATCCTCTTGATAAAATGATTTGTCTTGCTCCTAGCGTATGTGCTCTGTGTCTATCAAAGTTCCCACAACTAAATACCTCCAAGCAGGAGAGTAATAAGACCGTTGCCAATGTAGCATCTGAAGTTGCCTTGTTTTTGTCTTGAAGCAATTTTAGAAGCTCAGTACAAGATCTAGCTAAAAGTTGGTCTATTATCACTTTAGCTTCATTCATGGAGAAGTCGTATTGCGCTCTGACAGATTCTGCAAACGCCAAAATAGTCGTTAAAATGGATGGAGACTCCATCGCCATTCTCGGTAAGATAACTTTAAAAGGATTTTCATGGTACATAGTTGAAGGAGCAGGAACTAAGTGATCAGAGGCAACGGTTATCCAAAAGTGGAATAAATCTCGATAGTAAGGCACCTGCAACAAAATCTCAGGTAAAGGAGACATTGAAGGTGGGATTATGTTCAAAGCATCCAAAGGGTTGATATTCTGCAATTGCGAACCATTATCTGGAGATTCTCTTTCTTTACTACTCTCAACGGAGGAAGCTGGGACTTTTCTAGAGAACATTGAAGAGGAAGCTGGCGAGAGAAACTCTTCTAAAAAGTTTGCCTTGGTGTGTGGCATTATCTGTTCAATTTTAGAAAGATCTGCTGAATAGTTTTCAAGATGGAGATTATCCCAGCCAGTAGTAGGTATTGGAGTGAAACTCGTAGGAGTCACAGCCTGATTTGGGTCGGCTTTTAATTCGATGGTTTTAAATTCTTGTCTGAGAGGAGATTGGCCTACTTGAGATTGAATGTTCGGTTGTGATTCTTCTTCCTTTTTATCTTCAAGGTTCGATAGGACGAAATTATTGAATATTTCTGAGTTTTTAATGTTGAACTGGTTCCCACCGCTGGCAATGCTTTCAAGTGCATGAGACAAGCTTTCAATTCCATCGGAAATTCCAGGAAAGTGTTCAATTAAAGAAAATTTGTCTCCGGGACTACCTGGAGTACCAGTGTTTGGAGTCTGTATTAGAGGACCAAGTAGATGGTGCTGCTGATGATTTTGAGTGGAAGTCGGGTTTCCCAATGCATTTAGTAAGTCTTCCTCCTGGGGTGAGTTGAAAGACATAATTTGATTTTGATTATTAGCTGGCATTGAAATTGATCGATTCATATCCGTAGCTCCTACCATATTACTAGCGTCTTTGTCATTATCACTGTAAGTTTCAGATTTGGATTTCTTCAAAGGGGTAGTATCAAGATGAGTTTCCTGCGTAACCTTCAGGTTTTTATCAAAAGTATTTACAACAAACAGGACCCCTACATTGGAGCCCTTTGATATCGATCTTTTCCTTTTAGAAGGCTTCGCATCATCTTCAGCAAATGTTTGTCTTTTATCAAGATTCTTGAAGGGTCTTCCACCCCATGTTAATTTCATGGAATAGTCGCATGCTATACCGGACTTTAAACAATACGAACAAGATGGTTTCTTTTCATCGCACTTTATCTTCTGCTTCTTACACCGATGACAGCCGTTTCTAGATCTTTTGATTTTCTTTTTCTCTTTAGTGTCCTCCATCTTAACAATGTGAATGATGAACAACAGCAAAAAGAAGAAGAAGAAGAAGAAGAATTCTAAAAGCAGAGTTTGCTAAAGAAAGAAAGAACAAAAGAATGAAAAGAAAAAAAGAATAACTTTAAATGAAAAATTATTATGCAGCAGCCATGCAAAGTAAAAAATATGAAGTCTATAAAAAATAAAAGAAAAAGAAATTCGAATGAAACCAAATCTACATCTGATAACGGTTTTCATATCAGGTTGATTAGGAAAAACTAGTAGACAATGGTTAATCGAAGCCGCTGTGGCAGTAGCATTAAGAATCTTTCACACATGCTTGAAAAAATAATAAGAATAATAATAATAGTAAAAATATTAATCTAAATAACATGAATAGACAACTATTGTTAGAGGGGATCATATTGAAGACATCTTGGAAAATACGAGGTCTAGAGAGGGATTCGAGTACCGACTAAGTTGGGAATTATGGCAAATACTTGTGAATTTCAAGTGAATAAAAGACAGTTCTGTATTTCGGACTCTAATTGAACTCAAATGGCGGTCCACAGTTGGTAAAAAGGTAGTACTGCTTCTTAATGCGGCGAGCTTGACTAGCTGTTGCCAGGCTGTGGGTACCCCAGGTTATTTTGGTCTACCAAAATTGAAAAATTTCTCTCTCTAATCTCGACCACAGATGAATACGAAAACCGCATCGAATTTCCTAATTAGGATCGGGCCGCCAACATTTACGATTCAGGAGCTCTTCACAATGCTTAGAAGGCAGGCTTAACCTGTACATAGAATGCTGGGAGGGATTGTGCTCATCCGTTAAATCAATTGAACGTGGCCATCACTCATAAGGGTTCATTTATCGCTGCATCTTATTGGTTTAATGGTGAACCACTTCGAACCAAATCCAGCACGAAAAATTTTCTTTTTTTGGCGGCTTCCTGTATGTTCCCCTTATCTTAACGGGCCATTGTCTCGCTCGAGCTAACGGTTTTTCATCCTCTTAGATCTACAGTGTCGCTTAATTTCAGACTGTATGTATTAATTTCTGTTCTACGTATCGGGCACGAACCATCGTGCTATTTTTTGCGGCTTGCAATTTCGAATGGTTGCAACTCTCTTAGCATTTTGCGGTTTTCAATTGAATGTTTTAAATGTTAGTAACCTGTCTGCATTTACTTTACTTTCTTTTCTTTCTTTACACCATATCACATCAATAAGTACGACCGTCTTCCTTTTCCCCTTCTTTCTTTTTCCTCTCACTGTCCAATAACCCACCACTTAGCTTTTCAGTATCTCTGTTGACATACTTTTTGCCAAAGAGGATTGATAATAATTTTTCATACAATCTGTACGCATAGCCAGCTAAGACCATGATTCCTCCCAAGATAGTTGCTAATCTGGCCACAAATTGGAAAAATGGTATTCTTTTCTCAATAATCTTCAACTTAATTGGTTCAAAGTCGTACTTGAAGAAAATTCCTGGTACTCCTGTTGGATTCCCATTATGACTTGTAGGATATACGATATGCAGTTCAGTCAACGAATATTGATTGGTATCTATAGTTATTCCCAATCTTTGATACTCCGTGGGCACAACTTGAGTGTAATACTTGTATGCAATGAATTTTTCATCGGTAACTTTACCAGTTTGGTCCAATGGGTTATCAATAAATGGATAAAATTCCCCAAATGAGAATTCATTAATAACATGGCTAAAATTTAATGCCTCCTTCGATACGTGATGTCTATCACGATATCCTAAGCCCTTTGCTGTTATATGGAAATCTCCCTTCACTTGATTTACTGGAATTGATCCAAAAATGTGGCATGCTGGTGCCCCCTCATCGACTTTCAACCCTTGCAGCAAATATTCCGCTCTAAATGATTCTTGCATAATTTCATCCAAATCTGGCGTACTATGTTTATCGTTAACATTATTGATATTAAATCCTAATGGAAGAAACCAATGTATTCCTGCGTAATTTAATAATTCCCCGGCAAGAAACTTATCATCAGTGATATCCATAACATTCGTATGGACGAATTCACAGGGCATATTCACTATAAGATCCAAATTGATCGTTAATTGAGAATTCAAATTTTTATCTACCGAAAATTGATGATCAACGTACCCTCCTACATAACCACCGACCTCAACCCAAAATATCAACAAACCACAGAGAATGGTAAGTAATGTGGAAAACCCTCCTCTTGTGGATCTGACTTGATGTTGAGCATCCACTTTTGGGAATGCATCAAACGTTCGTACTTTTTTGCTGAACTCCATAATTAGTCGAGTGAATTAATCAAGTACCTTTATAGCTTATTAACGATCCTTACTGGTCCTGAAGTCTTCACAATATCAACGACAACTATAGTGAAAAATTCATTTATGTGTATCTGTCAATTTTCAATTTTCGTGTCAACTAGCGAAAGTTGACGCGCAGAAACCACAAAGCCAAAGTTTTGGCTGCAAACCAGACAATAAAAAATCTACTAGAGTGAAAAGAAAACACAAGAGCCAAACAATACACATGACAGCTATTGTAAGTCTAAATATTATTGAAGGAGTACTCAGATTATTATTCTCAGAAGTCTCTCTACTATTGTAAAATAAAAATGTCTGCTGTACTTTCTAGTGATTAGCGTGCTACACATTTCTTTTTTAGAGACGATTAGAGCAGTGTGAGAAGTTTCCCCTTGATATTGATCTCGCAGGCAGCATTCACGTAAGCACAGTATCCAGCATTGCAGATAGTGTGGTTTCCGAGCGAAATCCATCTCACTGACTCAAAATTTACTAAGCTTATTCTTCACCTTGTCCTTCACGGTCTTGATGGCAAAACACTTGACAGAAAAGGCGGGAAAAAATCGTCATGGGCATGGAGTGCGGCTGCGAGATGCATCATAATTAGGATTTACTTTAGGTAGGTCATCGGATGGAGATATCAAAACCTTTTTTCACCTTCTTTCACTTGTATTCTCCATAGCTTGAACTACACTATGTCTGAATCTGATGATATACCGAATATTTATGATCTAAGCATTGAATCAGAGGATCTAAGAGTCCAAGAGTTGTCATCTTTAAGTGCTATATTCCCTTCCACACTCAAAGTTGATGGGTTCTCTGGGTCAATTGAAATCCCACTTGATTCAACAGTTGCTGTTAGGGTTCAAGATGGGTCGACACCAAAATCTACCTTAGTGAGTCATCTCCCTCCTATAATATTTGAGTTTATCCTCCCTCCGACTTACCCTCATGAAACCCAACCCACCTTTAATATTAAATCTAGTATTATCTCCGAAGATAGTATAGAGATTCTAACCATAGAACTATCACAATTTTGGGAAGATTATAAAGATGTAATATTATATTCAATGATCGATCATATACAACAGAACATTGCAACATACATACCTTCAAGCATTGATTGTGAACAAGACATGGAAAAGTATCATACACTTTTATCGTTTGATAAAAAAGTAATTGCTGATGAATTTGATCTTCAAACTTTCAATTGTCAGATTTGTCAAGACGATTTTAAGGGGACGAATTGCACCCAGTTTAAATCGACATGCAATCATATATTTTGTAATAACTGCCTATTTGATTTCTTTTCTTCATTAATTACCTCTGGTGAGATATCTAAAGTACACTGCCCTGATTATGAATGCACTAAAAGGTATCTTAAGATTCGTGAAAAATATTTGAGAATAGAAAACGTTGCAGTAGAAGCATTCAATTTCAACGAGTTCAAGGCAAAGATTATGACTCCACCTATATCTCTAGAATTATTGAAGAGTATAATAGAGAAAAAGGTTTCTAAAGAGGAAGCACTGGAGTTAATGAATCGATATCACAGGCTCTTCACTAAGCAACAGTATGATGCTATATCCAAGCTATTCCCATCAAGATTAGTGGACTGTCCCAGAGTTGGTTGCACTGAACAAATATTCAGAGAAAACTTACATGACCCCTTGGTAATTTGTAGGAAATGTAACTTTGCATTCTGCAACTGGTGTAGAAAATCATGGCATGGAACATTAAATAAGTGTGGGAGGAAGAATAATACCGGTCAATATTCTGACATTCCGATTGAGGATATAGAATTATGGATGTCTTCAGAGGACGGGTCAAAGGAAAGGATAAGGCTTTCGTATCTTCACGGCAAAGTATTGCTTAAGAGAGTAGCAAATGAGTATACAATGGATAAGCTTTTTAATGACATGTTGCAAGACTCATCTCAAGGCTTCCAAAAATGCCCAACATGCGCCATGATTACTCAAAGATTGGATGGTTGTAACAAGATGGTTTGTTCGACTTGTTCAACAATTTTTTGCAACTTATGTGGAATATATTTGGATTCTTGGAAACCATACGACCATTTCCTGTTGGAAGATAGTACATGCTATGGAAAGTTGTTCGAAGGAATGCCTGGTGCTGAACCTGAACCTGAAAATCTTGTAATTCATCATGACGACGGCCTTATGTAAAATTTCATGAGGACCTGCTCAAGTGTTTGTTAAAATCTGGAGATGGTCTTGTGAGTTTCGTAATCAAAAATGTATTCCCGTGCGTATTTTTTTTCATTCATTGACATTATTGCACTTCACTTAGTTGAAATACACAATATTAGAATATCAGGGTCGCTAGTATCATATTTTTACTATATTTTACAATAAACTTGTATAAAAAGAAAGCTCGTATACTTAAATTATATATGTATGAATAGTATAAAATTAATGTTTTTGTCTTTTAGGCTCTTTTGGAGCTCTAGAATACCTAAAACAGTCTCTCGACATTCGTCTTCTTCTAAATTGATACATTGAATCCAGATCTTCTACATTATCGTATATCCAACCATCATGCTTTCCGTTTGGTATGAAGAAACTGCTTTCATCTAAAGATCTGCTGGCGATGAAAGTAGTTGGCTCTAAATCAGTAACCCATTCATTGACATAGCCAATATCAAATTTCCAATCCTTTGGTGGTTGAATTTTACCTAAATGTTCAACGCCTTCCGGTCTCTTTCCGGAGGTTCTCATATGATCTTTTATATCAAACAATGTATTTGTGTAGCAGTAAAATGACCAACCATTGCCAGTCATGTTTTTCCTGTGTAATTCAAAAACTTCAACTTTCTTTACCTCAGCAGAGTCATCTATAATGATATCTTGCCTTTCAACTCTTTCTATTGTTTCTTTGACTTCTACGGTCCTTCTCTTAGTGGATGGTTTTTGTTGGAATTTCTTAATGTGCTTGGCAGAGCCTGGGTGAGCAATGAGAAGGATGGCCCACCCAGACAGGATGAAGATAATTCTCCAAGGGATATAAGGTCCAAAGAAAAGGACAACTCCGGTAAGTACTATCATCACGTAGAAGATGAGGGTACTTAACGTTTCGTCTTTAAATCCACCGGTCTGGTACCAGAAGATTTCCGCCTGATCGTAGCCTGCTATTATGTCTGTAGTGAGGTTTTGAAGGTCCTTCATGTTCATTAAGAGGGTGATTTGAGAGGTAAAACGTGATTTTGATCTTTTGCTTGCCTTCTTCTCGTCTTTGGTCTCGTCGTCCGAGATTTCAGAGGAAGCACTTTTAACAGGCTGAATACTTTCTGAATCATCAGGCTCTGCTACATCAGCTGTCGTGGGGTCTTCACTGTTCTTCTTCATCTTTTTATGGTCCAATGCCTTATCGTAATCTTTCATATTGTCTACTTTTTCCTCCCCCTCCACATCTCTCATAATATCCTCTAAGATGCTTCTTTCATTTGCGTGTGATTGACTCAAGAATTCAAAGATTGTTTCACCACGCTTCTTCACTTTTATGAACTCTGGCGTTCTCTCTGGGTGTCTGTATAGGTATCCAGGGATCATTACTGAAAAAATCAAAAATAGTAAGGGGTATGCCAATATAAGATGTGGCCAAAGACATATCCACGTGTACAAGACTAATACACTCAAGGTCTTGGCTGGGCGTTTCCACGTCACTATATGAATTATCCCATACTGGAGTTCGAATAACAACGACATTCTACTTGCCAAGTTCTTGAAATTGGAAATCAATATCTTAATGGAAAGATTTGGACGATTGGCTCTTTCTGGGTCCTTGAACTTCTGCTCCAAGATCAACTTCTCCGGATCATCTTCAGCCATAGCATTATTTATTAATTTTTCCAAAAGCCTATCGGTAAAGTGTGACGTTTTACTAGCTGACTTCGTATCCAAGTCAATCAGATACTCATCGAAGTCTTTGACTTTATCCTTTCCTTGGAAGGCATCCAATCCCATACCGAAAAGACTCGCAGCCGCACCTGAAGCGAGACGTCTATTGGAATCATTCGCTCCATCATCCGAATACTCAGAAGTATATTTATATAAATGATTCAAAGCTGAATTGGCATGTTTCTTAGCAGCTTCTCTTTTACTCATGTTTAAAGGATGCGGAGGTACAATTCAAGCGCTATTCTTTGCCTTTATCCTTGGTTGGTGACCTCCTTTATACGTTCATTTGTGGGGATGCTTGAGAATTCATGTGAAATGCTTGATTCCTGCAGATAACTGCGTTGCACCGCAACTTACTTGGCTAACATGCTAGGTGCTTAAAGAGCAAAGAGGCTAAAAATAAGAAAATTGGTTACACAGTAGGGACATGTGTGAAGGTAGGCTGAAGCTTGAGTTATGAAAGCAGTGTGAATATATATATATATACATATATATTTATTTGTGTGTATGTACAGGTATATATATATGATACTTAAAGTATATCATAGCCGAGAAGTACTTTCGTTTGTAAGAATAAAAGACCTTAAAAGCATTTTTGGGAATATTAATAATATTCCAGTTAATGGAACCTCAGATTTGGGCAAAACTATACGGTTACTCTCATCGAATCAACAATACACCTTTTAATTAAAGTAGATATATGAAAATGTTAAAAATTTGAAAACAACTAGAACTCCTTCTCAGTGTATAACTTAGCCTAAATTGGCACTTTTAAACTTTTGCTTGTAAGAAAGCGGTCTTAGCTCAGTTGGGAGAGCGTCAGACTGAAGTTAAACATCAGTCACAGTTAATCTGAAGGTCCTGTGTTCGATCCACAGAGATCGCATTCTTTTTTTTTGGCTATGCCTTTAGTATGGCACATACTCACAGTACAATTATCACACCTAAAGCTGCATGACATTTCATTCAGTGGTACCAACTATTATATCTCACATCGTGATAATTGTAATAGTTACATACTGAATATGCAGAGACTGGAAAATAAAGTATTACACTTGATGGTGCGTCACTGTACACCTCTCGATAAACATCAAAGTGAAATATAGGTACATGGGTGCAACAAACGCGTAGCACTTTCGAGCGATGTCTTCCGAAATGCTCGAAGTAATAGTGTTAATGGTAAATAGCAGCCTATGATATTGAATACTGCCCATTCATCAACTATCTACCACAGGAATAGCCCTAGCCGTGTCTCTCTGGGCATGTAATATACACTACCTGCAGGAATATGATATCTTGAAATGGTTGCAAATACTGCATATAGAACGAATTGCAGCCATTGAATTGAAGTCCTTCAATCCTAAGAGACGTCTTCCTGACCAGCGTAAGTAAAGGCTCAGCAGGATTATTAGTACTACTCATTCATTTTCTGCTTATAAAATTGTCAAGACGTAATACTCTTTACACGTTTCTGGGATGCTTTGAGGTATATCCTTGCAAGGAAAGTTAACGTTAGATAGAATCATTTTCCTTTTGTATCTTCTATTTGTGGCTAAAACAAGTAAAAGTGCCTGAATTGACCTTGAAATACAGCCAATATGGACAATAACACCAGTAGCTTACCCAAGTTCATAGTAAAACGACTGAAAGCTGTAGGACAAGCAAGCCAGAGACGAGGGCCACATATTAGTATACAGCAAGTATGGGCAATCCTCCTAGTTGTCTGTAGAGTCCAATGTTCACAAAGAGACCAACGACTATATTTGAAAGTAAGAAATCAACACATCTAAGTATACCATTATGTAGCTGGAGACGTAACTATGACATCTAACGTAGTTTCAACTTCATAGGATAAGAAATAAAGCCACAGGGGTAGAGGTTTCAGAAGGCCATGCATTCATACTACAAATTCCTTCAAACGATAATCTTCTCAAGAAAAAAGAAGCTCTCTTTTTTCTTGAGAAGATTATCGTTTGAAGGAATTTGTAGTATGAATGCATGGCCTTCTGAAACCTCTAAAATATTTTCTTTGGTTTGTGGTTTATCCACAAATGGGTTTTGTGTAACAAAAGGTCGTTTTCTGCTCAATATGAAGGTCGTGGACGTGTTCAATATGGAAATCGCCAAATTAAACATGTTTCGGACTTGTCAAAAAATTTTAGAACCAGATTTTCGAAAATGCAATTTTAAAAAAAAATGTCAAAATCATAAGGGGGGGGTACACGATTTGAATGCGAGAAGTAATTTTGAAATTCTCCTAAATTGGCTTCCTATTCATAGTGAATGAATTAAATAGCCCAGAAGAGTATTTTGGAACATGATAGACTGTTTATAGCGCTCAATTTTGAAAGATATTATCTTAAACAGAATTTTTATGTGAGAATAAAGAAAAACTTAGCTCACAAAAATTGATCATGTTTCAATAAGAAACAGTTATATGAGACACTTTTGCAAAATGAGCCAATATATGATGCATCGTATCACGTGACTTGAATCACCTAGTCTTATCTAAGCAAGGAATGGTTAATACTGATTACATGTGTCAAACTTGCTCAAAATCTCTTGAGCAAGGTGATAAATACTACCGGTGTGCCAGTTTCTGGTATACATATTCATGTATTAATGCTATTTAATCAGTATTGGTTAAAAATGAACTATTCAATAATTCTTTTGCCGATAATCTAACCGTAGGATCCCATTGAAAGATACCATTCAAAAATTTGATAAAATTCGTAGTATCTCTTCTATTCTCGTTACTTATTCCAACTTTAAGTAGTACTTCAAGAATCTTGGAGTTTAGCTTCACGTTCCTCTTGGTGGATGAGTTTGCTGAACCAAATGAAATGTCTAAACCATTAATATGCTGCTGTTGCGCTTGTAACCTTAAATTCAAAAATTGTAAATCAATTTTACCTTCTAAATCGAAAAGAGAAAACAATAATGTTTTCTTAATGCTTCTTTCGTCAATTTTAGGCCCATTATAATGGGGCCCTCCTAATCCTCCAAACTGACCTCCTGTAACAGGATCTACCTGTGAAATCTTTTGTTTACTTTTCTCAATGGAGCTCATTATGTTCTTTCTAAAATTTTGGATCAATGAACTGGGCGGTGAGCCAAACAATTCGAGCATTAAGCCAATCTGTTCTAACTCATTATGCCCAGGTAGTAAAGGTGAACCGGTGTATAATTCTGCTAAAACACAACCAAATGACCAAATGTCGATCTTCTCTTCATATCTTGCCCCTAAGACGACTTCAGGAGCTCTATAATAACGAGATTGAATATATGAGTATGAGATTTCATTTTTGAAGCACGAAGAGCCAAAATCTATAATCTTAATGCTCAATGTGTCCATGCTAGGTGATGTAGGTAATTTAATCATTATATTTTCAGGTTTTATATCACAATGGATTATGTTCATGGAATGAATAACTTCTAACCCAGTGAGTATTTGCTTACTGAAATCTTTCAATATATTAATCAGGAACCCCTTGTAAGAAGATATCTCCAATAATGAAAATAAATTCAATGATAAAATCTCCGATACAATGCACATATGTCCTCTAAAGTGAAAGTGCCCAAAGTATTTTAAAATATTGGAACCTTTGTTCTGTTGCGATTCGTTTAAACTTTTTAACATTTTAATCTCATAGACTGCTTGCAAAGACCAATTCAAATCATTCTTAATAATTTTAATTGCCACAGCCTTTCCCTTATTTTTTGAGCGAGTCTTATACATATGATCGGCACACTTTACAACATTTCCAAACGAACCATTTCCCAAAACTTTCAATATTTCATATCGGTAGTTTATATGATCGTTTGGTATGATAACATAGTTGCCCTGTTTATCATCAAACCCAAAGTTTTCTCCATAGTTTTTGATATTGATCGATCTTTCCGAAAGTTGTCCTTGCGTGTTGGGTTTCTCAGCTAAATAGTAGATATCCTTTCGTCTTAACACCTCGCCTCTCTCATATATGGAAAGAGAGTTGTTGGAGTCGTCTTTGACAATATGTTCTGGCTTTAATGGGTTACATACAGTATATTCATTGTCATCTTCCGTATCATCTTCAAACAAACTAGGGTCTACCTGGTATATTACTGAGTACAATTCTGTCAAAGTCTGAATTTTTGACAATGCGATAAGCGATTTAGTGGAGGTAGATCTGTGAAGTATTTTCGGAGTATCCTGTCTTGGTGTAGATACTTTACGCTTGTAAGAGTTATTATAGAGCCTATTGTAAACGTTCAGGTCCTGAACGTTATGTCCCAGATTCAGGTTCATGCTCTTAACGTTCAGAGGTTGATCTACTTCTGGCAGGGATAATTTCTGGCTCGAGATAGAGTTCAGTGAGAACAGAACAGGGAGTCTATTCCTTCTCTTCCCTGTAGAGAGGGTAGGAGCACCAGAGGAAGGTGACTCTAGCTTTTGGAGAGAGTGAGGATGCAGTTCTGAATGTGGCATTTTGCCGTATTCGATTCTATAGTTGGTGATATCAGAAGGTACTGCTCTAGTTATGTGCGAGGAAGCTATTCTTCTACTCTTGGTGATAGGGGGAAGTTTGCTTTGGCGGGTGTTTCCTCGTAACTGGCGTGACCCGCCAGAGTAGTGTCGGACTTGGGGCCGCACTATGTTCTCATTATTTATTCCTATCACCTGGTCTACTTGCTTATTAATTGATGAAGAGGTTTCTCTCATAAAGGAGAAAGATCTTGTCGTTGGCGGGTTGTTGTTTACGGGGTTCAGTATGGTTCTCTTTTCGTTAGCTGATGAACTTGAAGTGGTTGAGGATACTCTCGATGCTACTGTGGTCTCTGGGGTCGCCGAGATGGACGGCTTTCCGCCACTTTTCGTTCTAGATTCGGCTCTTTTGGCTGTGGATAAAAAGGGGGATTTTGAGGGTGTAGTGTTCGGAGGTGGATAGATATGTATTGGGTACTTTTTGGAAGGGGACCGCCTTGTCCCTTCAGGAGTAGTTGAAGCATTTCCAGTGGGTGTTATATCAATTCGAGAGAACCGAGCCTCAAAATTTGGCGATAGATTCAATGTTTCGCCACCACCCATGATGCACAAGGTACAAGTGAAAATAAACTAGCTCTTTTGGTGTTTAGAGATAAAGATAGACAGATAAAAGAGAACAGGAATCCAAAACACAATTTTGGTGTTACATATTTCCTTGACACGCCATGTATGCAGGTCTAATGATTTGGTATTATTGTTTACTAGAGAGAAAAAAAAAAATTAGAGAGCTTAATTTTTTTTCCCAACTTGGCGATAAATAAAAAGAGCTCCTTCACTAGTACACTTGGTGGATAAACTGGCAATGATATCGTCCAATACAAGAGACATACTACTTCTTCTACAGTTGATACATTCCAAAGGATTGATCGACCCGAAATCCGTCAACAAGAATGAGAAAAAACTAGCTGGCATTGGAAAAGACTGGTTGAACCATAAGAGTACACAGCTAAGTATTATACAGGGAGACTTACATGCCATGAAAGCTGCTCCAACTCCGGATCAAATAGTTAAAACGTACCAGGAATTACTTGAACAAAATAGTGAGTGCCGGAATACCACAGACTTGGCCAACAAGTATTATTATGCCAGGATAATAGAAGTTGAAGAGAAGATAAAGGAGAATAAGGACGAGTTCAGGAAGGAGCTTGAAGTGAACAAGGTGAACTAAGAATGGAAGAGCGAAAAAGAAAAAAAAAAAAGAGAATAGTATAATAAGTTAGGAACAATTGTGAAGGTAAGGAAGCGGCAGGGACTGAAACGAGGTCAGAAGGTGCACAGCTTCCAGAAGTAACCCCAAGAGCGACCGACCGACTGACCAAACGGCCAAGGTAAGCGTAGGCGCAGGATTTGGACCTGCCCTGCCTTGTCATGGAAATCTCTTCCTCGCACAAGCTCTCGCAGATAGAAGAGCCTAATGATGCGCAGCTGGGGGACACACATTCCTGCATGAGTGCAACAGAAAAAAGTGGACCTTTCAGGCTCAACCCTCGTTCGCCAGGGTGCAACCATATGGGTATTGCACGTAGAGGAGAAGTAAAAACACATCCCGGTCCACATTATCGTACATACGTAAATAAATGCACCATGCATATGCACACACCATAAATCCACACAACATATATCCTCTCACCTCTACCAATTTATTCCTCCTACCTATCACCATTGTCTTGAATCCATTGCTAATCTTCACCTACATGCACGCACGCACGCATCTATTTCGGTCCCTCGGTAAATTCACATGCCCCACATAATCACTTTTTTCGTTCTATATGCCGGAAGTATAAGCACAGAAAGGAAAATAATCTGGAGAAATTCAGTGGAGGGGCAGGGGAGGGAAGAAATTTTTCCATCGAAGTGTTTTCTTTTGAGTTTAAGATTTCAAGGCTGTTGTGATTTCAGTTTAGTGTTGATTTGATCCATATATTTATTATATTGTTTAGCTAACGATATTCTTTGATCCTGATTTCATATTTTTTTTTGGATCTAGGCTTTCATTTTGCATAATGTCCACTCAGTCGCAGAAAGATAAGTTGGGGTTGTCCATTTTAAACCTTTATAAGAGCAACCGTTCACTTTTTTTGAATTCTTCGTATGTTATCCTTATAACACTTGCGTTTTCCAGTGCTACTAGTAAAGGTAGTGATTCTTCACCGGACAATAAGAAAAAGAGCCTTGACTCGGCGGTACCCAACGACTCCTCGTTGCTGAAGAAGGCAAGCCCCAGGATTTCTAAAGATGCTGCCAGAAGGCTCTTCCACCTGGCGATCCCGAAGTACAATAACCCCGCAATCTACCATTTGCTTGCACATTTGGTGTTATTGGTGGTTAGAGCCTTTTTGACAATCAAGGTGGCCACTTTGGACGGTAAGTTGGTCGGTGCTCTTGTCACTAAGAAGTTGAAAAGGTTTAGTAGATTGTTGGCATTCTGGATGTTCTTGGGTATCCCGGCATCCATTGTGAATTCTCTATTAACATGGACTCAGTCTAACTTTAGAAAGCTGTTGAGAGAAAACATGAATAATAGTATAATGGAAGGATACCTACCAGATAACTTAGACCCCAACTATTACTCGTTGATTCAACTAAGTGACAATAAGATCAAAGATCCAGATCAGAGAATCAGTACTGATGTTGCTAGATTGGCAAGTGCCTTGGCATCGTTGCCTGGTCAACTTTTAAAGCCAACGTTGGATTTGATGCTTTGCGCAAGAGAATTAGGGAAAAGTGGTGTAGGAAGTGGTGAGGGAACTTTGGCCTTGGGTCTTTTAGCTCACTTTTCAACTATCATCTTGAGATTCTTTTCTCCACCTTTTGCTAAGTTAGCCAGTGAAAAGGCTAACTTAGAAGGTCAATTAAGATCTGCTCATTCCAAGATCGTCACCAACAGTGAGGAAATTGCATTCTTAAGAGGTCACCACAGAGAATTGGACTATGTTGATATTTGTTATTATCAATTGGAAAAGTTCTTAAAAATGGAAATGTGGAAAAAGGCAGTTCACGAAATTGCTCAAACTTTCATTGTTAAATACTTTTGGGGGGCCGCTGGGTTGGTGTTGTGTTCGGCACCAGTCTTTATCAACAAATACTTGGGCAAGGAACCAGACTCGTCTGCCTCAGGAGATTTCATTACTAATAGAAGATTATTATTAAGTGCGCTGGATAGTTTGGATCGTTTAATTTACTCGAGAAGATTCTTGTTACAGGTTGTTGGACATGCCACCAGAGTAAGTGATTTCCAAGATGTATTACATGATATTCAACAAAGAAGAATTGAATTGGAGAACCTGAAAAATAAAAATAAAGATGAGGATAACGTCACTTATGGAGATGAAATTACATTCAAAGACGTTAGATTGGTTACTCCTGCCGATGTTACATTAATTGAAAAGTTAAACTTTTCAATTAAGCATGGGCAACATTTATTGATTGCTGGACCAAATGGATCTGGTAAATCATCATTATTCCGTATGCTTGGTGGATTATGGCCCTGTAAGGAAGGAGAAATTACCATTCCTACCACAGAAAATATGTTTTACCTTCCACAAAGAGCATATCTCTGTAAAGGTACCTTAAGGGAACAAGTTATCTACCCACATACAATTGAACAATACACTTCTGGTATCAGGGGTAAGAAGGATTCAGATCTTGAGTCTATTATGGAGATCTTGAAGCTTAAAGACCTTTTGATCGGTGACAAACCTTGGGACACCGTCAGAAACTGGAATGAAGAGCTTTCTGTTGGAGCACAACAGAGATTAGCTATGGCAAGATTATACTACCATCAACCTAAATTTGCGGTCTTGGATGAATGTACCTCAGCAGTATCTCCAACAATGGAGCAATTTATGTACGAACATGCACAAGAATTAGGCATTTCATTACTTTCGGTTGCCCACAGACCTGCTTTATGGCATTACCACAACTATTTATTAAAATTCGACGGTAAAGGTGGTTACTTCTTTGGAGAATTAGATGCTGAGAAGAGATTGAAAATTGAAGAAGAAAGGTTAGTATTGGAAAAGAATCTCAGAGATGTTCCTACTTTAAGAGAGAGATTACAAGAGTTGAAGAAGGTTAGTAACGCTCATCATTTGAAGTATACTGCTTCGCAAAAGAATCTTATAGACCTTAACAGAGAAGTGGATGAAGAGAAATAATGAAATAGAGTATGACATGAAATGAAAAAAAAAAAAAAAAAAAAAAAAAAAAAAAAAAAAATTTAGGAAATTTATGTTGCAATAGTTTTAGAAAATATTGCCTTATTTTTCTTATGTGTTTTATGCACCTAATTG